TTTTTTTTTTTTTTTTTTTTTTTTTTTTTTTTCAATTTTTTCAGTTTTTTTTTGTCCCGTACACCGACTCTTTTAACCTGAACAAAAAACATAAGGAAGAGTCCCATGAGTCAACTTGAGTCATTGGCCAATCACTGACATTTTGTGAGAGGTTTCTTCGTATCAAGTATTGATTTCTGCCCATCATTTGGTCTTCTTTTTCGACAGCTGTTAAAAGAAATATGAATGTCCTCGTTTATTCCGGTCCGGGGACCACCATTGAAAGTGTTAAACACTGTGTTGAGTCATTGAAGCTTCATTTATCCCCCTTTTATGCAGTAATACCAGTGACCGATACGGTATTATTAAATGAACCATGGATGTTCAAAACAAGTGCTCTTGTCATTCCAGGAGGTGCAGATTTACCATACTGTAAACTACTTAATGGTAATGGTAATGAAAGAATTAAGAAATTTGTTAAACTGGGAGGGAAATATATAGGATTTTGTGCTGGTGCTTACTATGCTTCTAAAAGATGTGAATTTGAAGTTGGCTCCCCGTTAGAAGTTACCGGTAATCGTGAATTACAATTATTCCCAGGAACGAAACAGGGTTGTGCTTATAAAGGGTTTGTTTATGAATCTCATCAAGGTGCAAGAGCAACTCCTTTAACTGTGAATAAAAGTGTCTTATCAAAGTGCTCAAATACCGTTTATAATTATTATAATGGTGGGGGTGTATTTTTAAATGCTCTGAGTCACCGTGGAGTTGAAGTTTTAGCAAGGTATTCAGAATCTCTTGATATTGAAGATGATGATAAAGCTGCAGTGATTTATTGTAAATATGGTAAAGGTGATGTGCTTCTTTCTGGAACCCATCCTGAATTTACTGCTTCGCTTATGAGACCGACCGATTCCCATGCCCAACATATCTGCGATACATTGAAAGATCAAGATATAGAAACCAATAGAAAATTATTTCTCCAACAATGTCTAATGAAGTTAGGTCTTCGTGTCAATGAAGACTTGAACATTTCAATACCGAAGACAACTCCAATTTATTTATCATCTTTCCAGCAGAATAAAGCTTCGGATTTGGTTAAGTCATTGAAAAATAACCTTGATTTTGTCAATGGCAATACTTTGGAAGATAATACTGATACTTTTGTCTTTCACGATGATGCATTTATGGATGAAGAAGAATCTGACGTCACCAATATTCAGGTATGCTGTGAGCTTCCAGATAATAAACTCACTCCTTATTTCAATATGAAAGATTACTATAATCATCTTGAAGAATTGTTTAAATCGGAACCAATTGGTGACTTTGGATCCTATTTGGGTTATGGTGAAGTAGTTACATCTACAAATGCTTTGTTAGAGTCTAATCCTCAATTATTACGCCACTTACCCAATGGGTTTACCTTCACCGCTACCACTCAGGTCGCTGGTCGTGGAAGAGGTGGGAACGTTTGGATAAATCCTAAAGGTGTCATGGCCTCATCAGTATTATTCAAAATGCCATCAGGATCTTCAATTGTAACTTTGCAATATTTATGTGGATTAGCAATGATTGAAGCCATTTTAAGTTACGGAAGTGATAAACCTGGCGAAGGTATAGGATATGAAGATATGCCCATCAAACTTAAATGGCCTAATGATATCTACGCCCTTAAGACTGAATTCTATAAAGACATCAATGATAAAAACATTTTTAACGAAACAGTGGAAGGTGACGATCAAAAATATGCTAAAATTTCAGGAGCTCTTGTCAATTCACAATATTTAGATAAAACATTCCATCTAGTCTGGGGTTGTGGTGTTAATGTATCCAATTTTGCCCCAACTACTTCCCTTAATATGGTTTTAAATCGCTTAAATGAACTCAGACAAGAAAAACATTTGGAACCTTTACCACCTTATCAACATGAAAAATTATTGGCCAAACTAATGTTCATCCTTGACAAGTTCTATAATGTCTTCCTCAAATCAGGTTTGGCACCTTTCCTACCATTATACTACAAAAGATGGTTTCATAGTGAACAGAAAGTTAAAGTTGATGTTGAAGGGTCTGGCCGAAATCTTCGTACCTGTGTGATCAAAGGTATCACTTCCGACTACGGCCTATTAATTGCCCAAGATACAAACACTGGCGAACGCTTAGAATTGCAACCCGACGGTAACTCCTTTGACATTTTTAAAGGTTTAGTATATAGAAAAGGTTAGTGTACATATATTTTGACTGCGCAAAACTGTAGCACTGTGTTTTTTTTTTTTTTTGTTTTTTGCGTTTGAAAGAGTAAATAAATAGAATCAACCATTTCTTTTCTGAGTTAAGTTTCAATGAAAGTGAATATTACAGAGTGGCACGCTGTGAGTACATGGCATTGGAAACTCACGAAAGACGGTGAAGAGGAAACTGGATACGTTGACGAACTCTGTGGTATATGTCGTGTTGCATTTGATGGTACCTGTCCAAATTGTAAATACCCAGGGGAAGAATGTCCCCTTGTTTTAGGGGGAGGATGTTCACATAACTTCCATCTTCATTGCATCTTGAAGTGGTTAGAACAGGATACCTCCAAAGGATTGTGTCCTATGTGCAGACAGGTGTTTACACCTTCAAATGAAAAGGCACCTGCTTTCATGGAATTGCAGAGCTTGATTGATGGTCATAGAGTTATGAGAGAAAGAATACAAACAGAGGGAGAACAGGACTTTGAAGTGTTGGATGATCAGGCCGAAATGGAGAGCTGATATTGTGTCTAAGGCATGTAAGAATCGATTCAAGTAAGGAAATATCTAGATCCAGAAGAAATCAAAAAGCTTATATTCCGCACGCAGTGCTTTCTTGGCTGGCTAATTACAGTTCGACGAAGCTATATCTAAGTCAGAAACACAACGAAAAAGCCAAACTATATCCATGCCAGAAACAAAACGAAGAGGCCAAACTAAGCTAAACAAATAAAACAAACAAGCTCAACGGGTAAGACAAACAAGCTAAACAAATAAAACAAGCAAGTTAAACAAATGAGCTAAATTTGATTAAGCAGACTTGAAAATACACTTCCACCGATTAAATGGGGTTCCGATTAAACCAAAGCTTAGGAAGATCAGGTATAAGAAATCAGATCAAAGGATTTATATAGATTGTATATTAATTTTAATTATTAAGTTGCATGTATTAAGCTGATGTATTAAACCTTTTAGTGGATTTTAGTAAAACCACTGATAATGGTATAATGGGGGCTTCAACTTGAATACATTGCATGTAAGCCTATTACTTTCAAATCATTTCGTACCCGTACATTTTTCAAACGGTTTTTTTTTTTTTTGTTTTTCAGTTATTCAGTTTTTTTCACTAGTTTAAACAATACCATATATTCATTCGGTTTATTATGTTTAGAAACTTACTATTGAAGTCTCCAATACGAACTTATCCATTTCCAGCTCGCTCCATCCTTCCGTGCCGTAACTTTCATTCCAGTATATATAGACTCAATAAAAATGAGATAGATACGCAAATTCAGCAAGCTAGAAGTAAATTCAAACCAGAAGAATTAGAAGCAGCCAGACTTGCACGTTTAGCTAGATTAGGTCCTTTTGTATCCAAGCTTCCCGAAAAATGGATTCCTTATGCCGAGTTGATGAGGCTTGAAAAACCCGTAGGGACTCTCCTCCTTCTTATTCCATCATTTTGGGGGATTACCATGGCTTCATATTCGATCAATGCCGGTTTTGGGACTTTTTCGTCAGCAATAGCCCTTTTCTCTATAGGGGCCCTTATTATGAGAGGAGCAGGCTGCACGATTAATGATATTCTAGACCGTAAATTAGATAACCAAGTTGCTCGTACTATGGAAAGACCTATTACCAGTGGTAGAGTATCTGTTCCACAAGCATCTGCTTGGTGCGTGGCCCAGTGCCTTGCTGGCCTCGTTGTCTTGTTGTCATTACCTTTTGAATGTTTCTATTTGGGTGCATTATCATTACCATTTGTTGCAACTTATCCACTTTTCAAAAGATTCACCTATTACCCCCAAGTAATGATTTCCATATGTTTTAGTTGGGGCTGTCTTTTAGGATTTCCAGCGGTTCATGCTCCAGTTGATTTATTAATTGCTGGACCATTGTTTGTTTCAAACTTTCTTTGGAGCATGATCTACGATACCATTTATGCTCATCAAGACAAAACATTCGATATAAAAGCTGGTATAAAGTCAACTGCTTTGGCTTGGGGTGATAAAACTAAACCTATTCTCTATGGATTAGGTACTGCTCAAGTGGCAGCTTTCACCACAGCTGGATTTATGAGCGGTTTCGGCCCATTCTTCTACTTGGGAGCTGCTTGGGGGTTTTCCAGATTGTTTTCTCAAATTAGAAAGGTAAATCTTGACGAACCAAAGAGCTGTTGGAATACTTTCATTGGAAATATTAGAACCGGTCAAATTTTATGGCTTGGAATGCTCATTGACTACATTTTAAAAGTTTTCGGATTATTATAATATTTATTGTAAATCCTTATAAAGTCTCTCATTATATTTGGAATCAACTCTACTGAGTAGTTTTTTCAAAGTGATTCCTCTTTTGCGAGACTCAAAATTAATAATTAGATTATATAGATATTCCTTAATATATGGTAACGGAACATATGCTGGTATAAATTTAAGTATCTCTGTAGGTTCAAAATAATCACCATACATGGTAATGAAGTGTCTGGTTGTAAGAATTTTACTTTGTTCATTGTCGATACTCATATATAGGTGAAAAAGTTCTTGTAAATCTATTTTTATATCGTGATCACTTCTTATTTTGTAGTATTTCTGAAAGTCATTAAAATAAATTGGCTTGGAAGGAAATGGCAACGCGTTATATGTAATAAAAATTTCAGCACTTGAATAATCACCTAAGTTGAACAAGTTTTCGATAGTATTTTCATTCTCGAAAAATATTTGTAGATATTCTAAATAGTCCTTATTTAAAATTTCTTTGAATTCGTTTAAGTGATCCAACTCTCTGGGGTATCTTAAAAAACGAAACAAAAGAAGCTCAAATACTTTTAAATAGTTCTCTGTGAACTTTTTGCACTCACTTCTATTTTTATTTATACTGAGATAGTCAATCCAGGATATTTTAGGCCATTCTGGATCGGCGAGAGAATGCTCAAGTTTGTATGTTTCTTTCAAAATGTTGAAATTGATAATTTCTTCTGTTTCATGAGAGTGATTTATTAATGCAGATAATTCAGTAAGCAATTCATCTATAGATTCTAGGGAAGCGTCAGACGATTCTATTGTTGATTCAAGATATTCGATTTTCAAAGAGTTGAAATCTAATTCACCTTGATAAGTTCTGGATATATCCTTTAAAATTGAATTATGTGTTTGTTTGTGTTTACTGGTTTTATTGGCCTTGAGATACGCAACACCATCATTTGGACAAATCTTCAACATTTCAAGGAGATACTTGTTGTAAGCTTCGCTATCATTGAAATGATCTTTCAATTCCTTGAATGTGATCTTTACCAAGTCAAAATTCTCATCTGAGATTTCTTCCTTTAGTAGTTTGACTGTCAAATCACAAATTTTAACGGCATTCATTTCATTTGGTTCATGTGCTTGTTGAAGTAGAAGAATATGTAATAATGCAAAATAGAACTTTTTCTCTTCCATGTACTTCAAAATTTCAATCTTATTTGATTCAGAAGATTCCCAGAATCCTTGATCATCATTTATAAGAGTTATTAAATCGGCATTAGACTTAATATTCGTGGTATAGAGTAAATATCTGAGATATGAAGTGACATGTGGAACGTTGGGCTGTCTATAGTATTTCTGTAAGACGAGCGATATAAATGAGTCATTGGTGATATTAAGATCCTTAACGAGTGAGATAATTGTCTTGATCCCAGTAAAAGTTGCAAAATCTGAAAAGAAATTTTCTGGCGCCTTGACATTGAATGCTAATAGAAAGAACCTTGGGTCTAAATCAATTTGGCCAAGGAGAGTTTCAGCTTCATTAAATTTATGTGATGCAATAAGAATAAGCATTTTCAATTGGAGAATGAATGTCTGTTTGGCATTAGATTTCAGTTCATACATTTTGTCAATTGTGGAAATAAGATCTTCATATGGTCCTTCCATAATCAAATTTTGTGCTCGACTGAATAAAGCAACAACTTCATCCTCTTCATGGAATAAAAAAATTTGGTTATTGTTGTATATCAAAAGCTTTCCACTAGAGTTATTCTCAGTTTGAGCTGAGATTTCTTTTTCCGTAAAAGTCATTATTTTCAAAATCGACTCTAGACTTTCATTATTAAAATTTATTTCTGAATTGACCTCACATATTTTAAAATTATTCAACTTTTGCTCATCCATGATCTGAGTAGGGAGATCACTCATTCCAATTTTATGGCGAATGTCTAAAGATTCTAAAGAGCTAAAAATCATTTGAGTAGATCCTTCGGGCAATGTGAATATCCCAATTACATATGGCCAGTGTATTACAAGCCCATTTGAAGGGTATCCCTCATTTATCCAAGAAATTGTACCTCTAGTTACATCGCCCAAGGAATTGATGAACATAGATATCGAGGCAGTGGCATCTGATCTTGCTGTAAGTAAAAACTCTTCATTTCCGGAGCTATTCTTGAATTGGACGATGAATGGTTCTACTTCTTCCGAAGGATCCAGTGTATATTCAAACAAGGGTATTTTTCTTGTTTGCTGTAAATCGACTATATCATAATTTTTATCATTTGCGACCAAACAAAGGTTACTATAGTTCAGGGATGTACCACTAGAGCAAGATATACCCTTTCTAGCTTTGGAGTAATTAATGACTTTTAATGATTTGATCAGGTCGGAGCTGAATTGGATTAGGTGAATTTTATCAGATGTATACACTATAGCTTTATCATTCGGTGGGTTAGGAATTGATTTTTTTAATTGAGTTAAATGCAGAATATAGGAAACGTCTTTTATTTTACCAATTCGACACGTAGAAAGCTCTGGAAGAGTGTAGACGTAAACAGTGTCACCACTTAATATCAATATACGTTCGGTATAAGACAACACAAGTAGTTTGTTAATTGGCCTTCTTTCACTTCCAACATTGATTTTTGAAATAAGGAAATATTCTGGAGCATCTTCAAACTTGTGATAATGTAGTATTTGACCTAAGGAAGTAGCTATATATAAATTTGCTTGATATGTAGATATGTAGGTGATACTCTCATTTTGAGCTGAATCCAACGGAATATCAGTTATTAACTGTCGGACCTTGAATTGTTGACGATTACCATCAAGCTCTGGTAGATGGATTGTTCGTGACAGGTCCATTATCTGTATGCTTCCGTAGATATGGATACTCCCTTGGATTAGTACTGCTGGTCACTAATAACAAATATATCAAATATACTTTATCAGTGAGAAAAAAAATTACTCCAACAGATCCTTTTGGATACGCAACAGTTTATAATTAGCAGCTTTTATAAACAATTACAAAGCGTACTTACATTGGTTCGTATAGATTGGTACCTCTTACCAGGTGATTAAACACTATAAAAGTGAAAAAAAAAAAAAGTAAAAAAAAGAAAAAAAAAAAAAAAAGTCTATAAGCAGTGTATTATGTTATATTTTCAAATCAACTGAAGAATTCGAATTAGAAAATAAAGAAGGAGAAAACACCAAGTTATCTCTATGAGCGATGTATTCACTATCAGCAAAACCCAAGGTGCTTTCGATTTCGTTACTTTTCAAGCCTTTAATCAACAGGATTTCGGTCGAGCTATAATTGACTCTACATTGGCCAACTTCAACTGCTTCGGATATTGGGCTTGACTTATCCGAAACGACTTTGATTGCCACACATTCACTTTCGTGGAAAGATCCTTCAACATGAACAACACCAGCTGGAAGTAACCCAGCTCTATTTTTACGGGTTAATGCTCTATAACAACCTTGATCAATGATTAGACAACCTCTTGTTTTCAACCCATGGAGAAGCCAGAATTTTTTATCAGATCTAATTTGGGTACTACGTGGTAATGCAAGGAATCTCGTGTGTAATGGAATGCTGTTTTTTTCGATTTCGGATTTCATGAATTCAATTTGCTCTTCTATACTTTTAGAAGTTCCGTCTAATTCTTGAATATTGGATACGATATCTAATATATGTTGAGGCATAGTCGACAATGTAATAATGGTGGTGACACCAACACTGTTGGCTAATTCTGCTGCGATTAATTTTGTTGTCATACCACCCGTACCGACTTTTGAACCAGCTCCAGCATCTTCAGTGTCAGTTTTGATTGATAAATCAGTAATTTTATCTACAAGGAGAATTGGCTTAGCATCCGGATTTGTTCTAGGGTTATCTTCATATAAACATTCAACATCAGTCATTAAAAATAAGTAATCAGCATGAATCATACCAGCAGTAATTGCAGATAAAGTATCATTATCACCAAACTTAATTTCTGCCACTGATAATGCATCATTTTCATTAACAATTGGAATAGTACCAGAGTCGAGCAATGCATTTATAGTATTAGTGGCATTTTTGTATTGGGTGAAATCCACTATATCGTTTCTGGTGATCAAAATTTGACCCACTGGTTGATCAAGTTGTCTAAATAAATCATCAAATAATGCCATAAGTCGAGATTGGCCCACAGACGCCAAAGCTTGAATCTCCGATAACTTAGATGGTTTGGTTGAAAGGCCCATTCTCTTCATCCCGAAAGCAATGGCACCCGATGAAACAATAATTATCTTATGACCAGCACGACGAAGTCTAACAACAGTTTCCACGATATTTGACATATTTGAAATCCTTGGTTCTCTGGTAACTTCATCCACCAAGGACGAAGTCCCTAATTTAATAACAATTCTATATGTTTTAGCAGCCATATTTCAATCTTTACCACTACCTACCCAAAAGTATCAATATCTTTCATAAAAAAGGGTATTATCATGTCTTTTTTTTTTTCATAAAAAATTCCAGATTTTTTTCCTCTTTATTCGATAATCATTTGACTCACAATTTTTCGGCAAAAGTTCATAAATTTACCGCACTCGTTTGTTGCAGCCAATGCTAACGGATCGTTCTACAACTTTGAAAATGATATAACTAATGGTGCATTTACTTATATAACTATACTATTTTTTTGCTTGTTGGTAATATCTAATCGATACTTTATCAGTGGCCTTTAAGTCTTTGGCAACCACGATTTTGTCGTCGCCTGGGAACAAATCAAAACCGTTATCTTGTAAGAAAACGTCTCTTTCGACGATTATTTCAACACCTTTGACTGGATTGTTGGCTCTAAGTCTTATTTGGCCATTCTCAACGGTGAAATCAACTTTTCTATCGTTGAACTTGAGATATTTCAACGGTTGAGGCCAATCAGCAGCACCAGCAATGATATTTCCTTTGTTATCAACTAATCTAGCGTAAATTACTACTGGAACATCATTTGATATTGGGTGTGATTCTACAAATTCAGTAGTAGCATTGGCTGATAAAGTAACTGGCTTGTCAGGAAGTGACTCAATGATATCCCCCAGGGTAACATTGTAGATGTCGATTTTTAAAGTTGAGGGTAATGGTTCTGTGGTAGCATTTACCCCCCAAATGTCAACGTTATACTCAGTTTTACTATAATCATGAGGAGCACCTTCTTTAGACACTGGCTTGGCTTGCTCATGAGTAAATTTCTTCTCATTTCTGTAAAGTCCAACACCAATTGGATGACTTTCACGCTTGACTGAATAGTATCCCAATTTTGGCCTTTTATAAAAATCAATAATTGCCCAAGAAGCCACTGGCCAACAATCATTAATTTGCCAAACGATTGCACCACTTGTATAGCGTTTACCTTCACCACGCCATTCACGTCTCCAACATCTATAGGCATAACCAAGACATTCGGCTTGCATCAATTGAGTAGCATATATCCAAGAATCTAAATCCAAACCTTCTACTTTAATATTCTCGAAAACATATAAGGCCAAACGACGTTCAAACCCATCAGATTTATTATGATGGTCAATTGATTCACTTTGGGGATATAGTTCGGTCTTATCAGTTATACAATCTTCGTATGTTTTACGATTAGGTAAGGCTTCCATACCGAATTCTGAGATAAACCGACCACCTAATTTATACCAATCTTGATACTTTTCTTGTGTTCCATGCCAAACATTCCATTGATGGATATCTCCAATAGTTGGATCAGTGGTATGACTACCACCCCAAGGAGATCCTGGATGATATGGGACTTGCGGGTTCAAGCTCTTGAGTGCATCTGGAATGACTTTTTCGTAAATTGTACGAGCTGGGAAGTCTGTTTTTGAATAATCCCCAGAATGATCGTTTTGATCCCAATGTAAACCAAAGTTTTCAGCAACTTGATAGTCTTCATTATTACCCGCATATACTGCCATACAAGCATGATTTCTAAGACGTTTGATTTGATGGTCGAATTCGGGCTTACACGTTTCAATGAATTCTGGGAAACCTGGATATTGGCCACAAGCAAACATGAAATCTTGCCAAACAAGTAATCCAAGGCGGTCACATTCATCATAAAAGATATCTGTTTCGTAATACCCCCCACCCCAGACTCTTATCATATTTTGATTACCATCTACTGCTAACTGTAACCAGTCAGTGTAGTCTTGGTCTGTCATCAAAGTTTTCATTGAGTGACAAGGAATCCAATTTGAACCAGTCGAATAAATTGGAATATTGTTGACTTTGAAATAAAAACTAGTACCTGGTTGATCGATAAGTTTTTCTTGAACCAATTCAACTCTTCTTAAACCTACCTTTTTAATTACTGTTTGAATTTCTTTCAGATTCGATAAAGTAACTTTAAATGTGTACAAAGAGGCTTCACCATGACCAAGAGGATACCATAATTCAGGATTTTGAATATCGAATTTAAAGGAATCCAAGCCATTTTTATCTACTTTGCTAGCGGCTTTCTCAATGACCTTACCAGAAGGTGAAATCACTTCAATGTCAATAGCGACTTGAGATTTGGTTCTGATATCTGTTTGCACGTCGATAGTTGCATTCAATTTTTCCGAAATTTGGGAATTAACATAAACATCATCAATGATCGAATTGAAAGAAACAAGTTTAACTGGAAGATGAGGACCGCAAGTCATTAAAATGGGCCCCCAATCCCAACCATAGTGATATTGAGCTTTTCTAACTTGTAAACGAGAAGTTTCACCATTGAAACATTTATATTGACCATGTTTTTTCTCCAAACTACGACTAGTTCTTAATGCACTGTCGAACTTGATTAGCAACTCGTTCACTCCACCAAAGTTCAAGTGAGGTTTAGCGTCGACTCGATATTCCACAAACATGTTATTTGCTTTCAATAACTCTTTACCGTTGAGCCAAACCGTAGCGAACGTATCCAAACCTTCAAAGACCAATTCGTGATTTTCAAGGTCTTTCAAAGCAGAGTCCACTTCAAAAGAGTTCAGGTACTGCCAATCCTGTTCACCAACCCATTGTACGTCACGTTCATTGGTATCAAGAAATGGATCAGGAATCTGTCCATTATTCAACAAATCAGCAAAGATCTCGGTGCAAGCAGCTTCCTTACGAGATTGGAACCATTCTTCAGTTCCATCTTTCCTGTACGACCAATTTTTTAAAACTATTTCTGAATTCGACATCTTCTTATACTGGAATCCCAGCTATCCAACCAGTTCAATGGTGATTTCTAACCCTTTAAGTACCTTTCAACCCGTATACTGGAAAATCGTGGGGTAAAAAAAGAGAACAATGTCCGCCGAATAGGGAAGGTTGTCCGAGCGGAACACTAACAAAAAGCGAATCCAATCGCGTCTCTAATGGGGAAAGCCTTCCGTTTCGTTTGTTCCCCCACGAAAAGAGTTTAAAGAGAAGGTTCAGAAGAGATGGTTCAGGAGAGTATATAGTCCAAGGATATGCTTGAATGGAGTATGGGTAGGTAAGGGAATGGATGAGAAGTGAAATGAGTCTAGCTGAGAGTATTGCAGTGGCAAGACCGGACGGTTTTTGGTGTTATTGTTGCATAGACAAGTGTATTATAATCGTGAAAAGTGGGCAGATCATACAGAAAAGCATTCAAGCTATTTGCAATTGTTAAGATGCTGATTCAGTAACGGGCATCAATTATTCTAGCAAGAGTACCTAATTAGGATTAGTTTTGAATTGGCGTTAGATTCAGTATTCTAGCAGAAAATTTTGTATATATTATGAGATATATATAAAATTATATATATGAATCATATATATGAATCATATGTATATAGTCATATGTATATACTCATGAGATATAGAAGCTCACCAGTGATGTGCAAATCTGTTAATGTATTGCAGCCTGAAGAGTCTAGGAGTTGATTCGCACGCTGAAATTTTAATGAAAATTCAAGTCCAGAAGATCCTTGAAAAACTTTAATAATCATTCATCATGAGTTCTACGAAAGCTATGTTCGATGAAGCGAAGTTTGTTCTTTTTGGGGATTCAATTACTCAATTTGCCAATGAAAATTTCAATGCCGGGCATCCTAATACCCATTTTTTCTTTCAATCTAGTCTTCAAAAAGACTATGTTCGTAAATTAGATATAATCAATAGAGGATTCAGTGGATACAATTCTAATCATGCCAGGGTGATTCTCCCACGCATTCTCGAATCTGATCCCAATATTAAACTAATGACGGTATTTTTTGGTACTAATGATGCCGTGCAAACAATCCAATATGTACCTTTGGACAAGTACGCTGAAAATGTATCTTTTATGATTGACGAGATCAAGAAAAAGAATATAAAACCAATCTTGATTGGTCCTGGATTACATCAAAGCTTTTCATTCGTAGCTGAAAAACTAAACTTAAGTGAAGTACCAGAAGATAATGGTAATAATATTACAAATAAAGAATATTCTGAACTGGCCAAAATGGTAGCAGAAAAGCATGGCATTCCATTCATTGATTTATGGCAAGGACTCAGAATTGCTGGCGGCTGGTCCGAAGATCAGTTGTTGAAACAAGATATCGATCTCGGTGAGTTTTTACTTGACAATGTTCACTTGAACTGTAATGGCTATAAAGTTTTGTACGATTTATTAATGGATTCGATCAGAAAAAATTATCCCGAGTATTCACCAGAAGAAATGGACTTCAAATGTCAATACTGGAGATCCATTGACCCAAATAATATCGAAGGAACGATTTTCCAATCTTACCATACTCCACCTTAAGACTGTGATCTTGTTGAATGATCGTGGAAAAGTAAACTACTTAGACAAAGCGATCTCACGTCTCGAAATACCCAGTATACTTTAGATCCATCCAAATCTGCCTCAGGGTCGTCATGAATTTTTTCATTTTCAAGCATGTCCCTTACTTGATTATAAATACTATTTTGTAATTCAATAATATTAGTTTTTTCCTTTTTATTAAAGTGAACCAAAACCAATTTAAATTCGTAAAATTCCATAATTTCATTTAGTTCCAATAAATTTCTCGCATTAATAACTTGACTATCTCCAATTATTGTCCATCTTCCAATTATGGATTCTTTTATTCGGAAGTTACTTCTGGCCATACCCGCTATAAAATTATAAAGTCCAGGAACCGCCAGAATCGCAGTTTCTGTACCCAAATTTTGTTTCCCCTTGACTAGAGTTGAATAGAAATAGATAAGCAAACAATTATGTACAACATGAAGTATAAAAGCTTCAGGAGAGGCAAGTAAATCATCAGTAATGACAGAGAAGTCTCGAGTTAACTTAGCGGGCCAAAGCAAAAGGTCATATTCCAATTGAAGTATTGAAGATCGCAGCTGCAAATTAGTTTGATTCATCCACTGAAATTTATACAAGTATACCCCCACACATAAAAAATGATAATTGAAAGAATTCAAATCGAGAGAACCTAGGAATACTTCACCTGATTCGATAAGCTTTGAATAGTGATTAGACGTGACTAAGGGAACGTCACGAATCAAGCTATTCCAAGCATCAATGGTCAAAGCTGCTATTAATAAGTTGGGTGAGAGCTCCTCTTCACTTTCAAGGTACTGTGTAAATGCCTTGAGTGAATCCAACACTATTTTTTGAGGAACAACGATACGTAAGGGCAAAAGAAAGAAACAAGAAAGCGTGCAAGGCTTCCAATCAATTTCACTTAAAGAATTATGAAAAATTTCCAATAAAAATTCAATGGTTGATTCAGGAATTTGGGTACGTGGAGACGAGATATTCGCTATATTGATACAACATTTAGATAGTTTATCTATCTTGTCCATTTCAAAAATTTCATGCAGAACAAAGGGGGTATATGGTTCTATATTAGATACGTATAATTTTTTCATTGAACTAGATGGGTTCTTCAATCTCTTTGTGCCAACTTCTGGTATGGGGAGGTTACTTATACTTGAAATCTCTTCTTTCATTGATTTATTCTTAATGTTAAGAAGCTTATGGCCAAATATACATTCATGCCCATGATTTTTGCAGTTTTCACAAACGTTAGAAAAGCTCTTGGTAACACATTTGATTTTTCTTTTACGACATCGATTACAAGCTTTCAAAAGTTTAAATGCATTAAAAGAAACATCTCCAGATTTCCTTCTGGGTCTTTGGTTTTTACTAATTTCGTCTGATCTTTTCGCAATCACATTGCCTAAGTCATCACTTATCAAAGCACGCTGTGCTTTGTTCTCAAGACTGGCTGGACTCGTGAAAGAAGTTCGAGACCCACTTTCAATACCAGACATACCAGCTGAAATATTTGCATCATTTTGGGACTGTCTCATACCGTAATTAGAAATCAAAGAATCAATGGACAATGAAGTTTTTTTAATAATACTCCCACAACCTTTTGTAGCATTTTCGTGATCATGTTTACTTTTCAGAACAACTGAAGCATCAGCAGGAGTCATAATTGCTTTATAACTGGGTTATATAAACGAAACTTATCTCCCCACAAAAAAAAAATAGGAACATCGTTATACTTGATGTACGGATGTATTAATACGCGTGGCCCTACCAAAACATTACGTGCCAAACTTTCAAAAATTTTTCAAATCGACCAAATCAAAAGAAGTGGTTATGTTAAGACGACAGTTTTCGAGAACTAGTAGTAGATTATACTTTCAATCGTATTACAGAACCATGTCATACCCATTAGTCTGTTTAGGTAACCCATTGTTGGATTTACAAGTTGATGTTGAGCCAGAATATTTGGCTAAATATGATTTAAAAGCTGATGATGCTATTTTGGCTGAAGAAAAACACTTACCAATTTATAAAGAGGTTATTGAAAAACCAGGATTGAAATTGGTTGCTGGTGGTGCTGCCCAAAACACTGCCAGAGGTGCCCAATACATCTTACCAGAAAACTCTGTTGTTTACTTTGGTTCTGTTGGTAAAGATGTTTATGCTGAAAAATTGAATGAAGCTAACAAACAATACGGTTTAAGAACTGAATACCAAGTTGTTGATGATGTTGCCACTGGTAAATGTGCTGCTTTGATCAACCACCCGCACAGATCTCTTGTTACTGATTTAGCTGCTGCTAACCTTTTCAAAGCTGAACACTTGGAAAAACCTGAAAATTGGATTCTTGTTGAAAATGCTAAATGTTTCTATATTGGTGGTTTCCACTTGACTGTTTCTCCAGAAGCTATTGAAAAATTAGGTAAACATGCTGCTGAAAATAACAAATTATTTGCTTTGAACTTTTCAGCTCCTTTCATTGCTCAATTCTTCAAAGATCCATTGGATGCTTCTTTACCTTATGTTGATTATGTCGTTTCTAACGAATCTGAAGCTGCTGCTTATGCTGAATCCCATAACTTAGACGTTGACCAAAAAGACGTCGTTGCTATTGCTAAGGAAATTGCCAAATTACCAAAAGCTAATTCCAAGAGAAACAGAACCGTTGTTTTCACTCAAGGTACTGAACCAACCGTTGTTGTTACTTACAATCAATCTACTCAAGATTTTGATGTTCAAGAATTCAAAGTTAGAGAATTGGCTTCCGAAAAAGTCGTTGACACCAATGGTGCCGGTGATGCTTTTGCCGCTGGTTTCATCGCTGGTTTGGTGCAAGAAAAATCTTTAGCTGATGCTATTGATATTGGTCAATGGGCTGCTTCTTTATCCATCCAAGAAGTTGGTCCAACCTTCCCATTCCCAAAACAAACTTACTCTGCTTGAGTTTATTCTGCCTCTAGTTATTTTATTTTTTTTCAAGATTCTTTACTTTTTAGTTTAATCACTTCATTTCAACATGGGTTTCATACAAGTCTTTGATCATCATCAAGCAGTTATGATATTTAATTTTTATATTTTCAATTTTTTTTTCATTCACTTGAAGGTTTGGGTGCTTTTCATTATCCTAGATTTATATACGCTTTAAATTATTAATAAACGAATTCAACATGTCGCCAAAATATCATTTTTGTATACTAAAACGTGTATACCATGATTTCATTCCAATGCTTTAGAAAAAATTAAGAGATGAGGCCGATGTCCAAAAAAAAAAAAAAAAAAAAAAAACGACGAACTAACATAATTGTAGTACTTTGAACTAACTTTAGCTCAAATTGAAGTCATGTCGGTGCTGAGAGATCATTATTATAAGTTAGCTTCGGAACTTCCAAAAGAAAGAATTGAAGCAGCCACCGCGTTGGTTTCGGAACTCACCAAAGCTGATAAGAAAGAAGAATGGGATTATGCTTTGAATAGATTGATTAAAGGTTTAACTACCACTAGGCAAAGTGCCAGGTTTGGATTTTCCATGGCTTTGACTGAAGTTGTTCGAGAATTAGTTTACAAAAAAGATTCTGGCTTGACTTTAAGTTCATACTTAGACCAAGTTCTTAAAGCAAGTGAAACCAAAGCTTCAATGAAAGGTAAAGAAGAAAGGGCTGTTTTATTTGGTCGTTTATTTGGTTTGCAAGTATTGGTTAATTCTCAATTACTTTTTGATGACTCTGTGTCAAGTGACATTTTACTTAAAGATTTTGTGAATGCCCTTATTGACTTATCAGGATCTAAATCATGGTTAAGGGAAACTGCTATATTTACTTTATGTCAATTTATACAATTGTATTTGAAAACAACAACTGATAGTTATGATTTATTAAAACAAATTTTACAAAGAATAAACGATATCGGAATCAATTTTACTACAGAAGGTATTGCAGTTTACTTGTCCATACCTAAAGATATTAGAGGTGAACTAGCTAATAGAATACAAAATCCAAAGTCAAATTGGAAAAACGGAGATCCTTTTTCAAAAGGGAATTTACCATTATTAGCCAAAGCATTAAAGGAAGTTGATATTCCTACTGATCCAGAAGAAAATGAAGATGGCTCCAAAAAAAATAAGAAACAAAAAGGAAATTGGCAGCCAAGAATACCATTTGTCTGGGACCTTATAGTTGCAAACTTCGTTAAAGCAGATGAAGTATCTGACGAGTCCGAAGAAATAGAATCACTGAAAAAACGTAAGAAATCATCAAAATCACACTCCAAGAAGCAAAAATTAGATATTACTGAAGTAGTCTCCCTAAAAGAATTTTGGAAAGTTGTCATTGATGAATCATTGTTTTCTGATAAATCATCTCATGAACGTAAGTTTTGGGGTTTTGAAATTTTTGCTAAATTTGTATCTGCCCTTCAATCTTCTCAAGTTCAATATTTATTCACACCTAACTTTATGCGTTGTTTGATTAACCAGTCTGCTCAATCAAACCGTTTATTAAATAAAATTTCTACTAAAACCTTGAATATATTATTGGATGTGGCCAAAAAAGATTATACAAAAGCCCCTGAAATCTTGAGCAGATTGGTCGATGAAAGTCTGGGAGGTTGTTGGAATTTTGATCTTATTACTAAATCTAAAATAACTGATACTTTAGTCACTATACTTGGATTTGTGGATAATGATAAGGTCAATGATTCAGAAGTTGAGCATGTTCTTATTTCCATCAAAAAACTTCTATTAGATAAATTTGAAAAAGCAGTTGAATCTCAAGAAGGAGACGAGGAAAGTATGAAAAAGCCAAATGATAATGTTCAAAAATGGGTCTTAGATAAACTTCTTGGTTTATTCAAGAATTCTAAAAAATTCGAAATGTTGGATTCTAAGTGGTTAGATGACATATTCAAATTCTTGATTCGTAATTCATTCTTCAAAAGCTCTCATCAAAAGAACATTTCAGGTAATATCAGAAAGCTTTCTCAGGATCGATTGAATTCATTTTTATCGGACACTTTATCCAGCACCAAGTCTAAATCATATACTTCCTTCTGCATAAAATACATTAATAAGTTGGAGAAATCTGATGAGTATCAACTCAGTTTAGAGTTTGATGACGAATTAATTAATGTTAAATCAGAATGTCATGAATTATTGTCAAGTATTAAAGAATTGAATAAAATGACCAAACTTGAATCCAGAAAAGACCAACTCAAATGTTTTGAATTATTATTCTCAATGGTTTTAATTCAATTATATATGGGAGATGATGAGACTGTTACCGTTTTAGGAGAATTGAGAGGCTGCTATGAAAGTGTTTTTGTTGAAAGCCTGGAAAATATTGATGTTGACCCTGCTATAGTTCTTACCGAAGTTATTTTATCTTTTGTTTCTCGTAAGTCACTCTTATTAAAGAAATTGTCTTTAATTGTTTGGGAGACTTTCTTATGTTCAAAGAATGACGACGGTACTGAAAAATTAAATGAAGAATGTTTAAAGCTTTTATTCGATGTCTTGGTGACCAAAGAAAACAAAGAAGGTCAACAAAAACTCTTTGAAGGAGAAGATGAATTCAAAGAAGATGATGAAGACGATGAAGATGAAGACGATGAAGATGAAGACGATGAAGACGAAGACAAGGATGAAAGTGAAAGTCACGACAGTGATGACGAGGATCAAGGAAGCGAAGAAGACAATGACGAGACCAACGGAGAAAGCAAGCAATCAGAGGTCGATCAACAGACTCAATTGAAGTTAGCTCAAGCATTGGGTATTCCAACTGAATCCAGCGGAGAAGTTAAGTTTGATGATATTGACTCTTTTGGGGATGATGATGGCTCCTCATATGAATCCGATTCAATGGATGATGAGCAAATGATGGCCATGGATGATCAATTGGCCAAAATCTTCAAAGATAGACGTGAAGCAATGTCTAACATCAGTTCTGGAAACAAGAGAAAGCAAGAAGTCATGGAAGCTAAAGAACAAATGATTTTCTTCAAAAATAGAATTTTAGATTTACTAGAGTCATTTAGCAAAATCAATTCTGAATCTTACTTGAACTTATCAATGATCAAACCAATTGTTATATTAATTGATTTAACTCTTGATAAAAACTTGGGTGTTAAAGCACATAAACTTTTGAAGACCCGTCTTAGCAAAACTAAGTTATCAAAAGATGCTTTCAAAATCAGCTTCGATACCGAAGCAAAACAAACCCATTACAAAGAGTCATTACTACAATCAATTGAGTTCTTCCAATCCAGAGCTGCTGAGAAGAATTCTAATCTGGCCCATTCTTTGGCTTGCAGCCAAGCCTGTATCACCTTCAGTAAGAACTTGGTCAATTTAGACCCAGATTATTTGAACAAAGTGATTGACTCCTACTCTCAATCTCTCAAGAACTGGGCATCCAATCCAAGAAACAAGATACAAGCTTCCCTTTTCTTTGACTTTGTAAATTGGTTAAACTCTAAGAGAACTGATAGATCTGAATAAAACCCTCCGTATATAATACAAACACCCATACACCATACTGACATGTTCACGCCAAAATGTATGTAGTACATAGCAACTCGAAGAGTTAATTTCAGCACGCGAACCCACCCACCAATTAAAGTGTTTGATTCGAAGACCGATACTGTCTTTTTCTACCAGGGAAAAAATGGAGGAAAAAACAAAAAACTAAGGTACTGAATAACTTCTTTATACCAACAACTATATCAATTCAACCATGTCTGCCTACAAACAAGCCGGTATTTCGTTAAACAGAGCTTTAGCCATTTCTGCCAGAACTGTCAGAAATTCTTTAAAACCAGAAGCCAAAGCTGCTGCTGAAAGAAGAGGTATCAGTGATGTCAAAGTTATCAAATACGAAAAAGGTGAATCTACCGAAGCCAAAGCATTGGACAAATAAATCAATAGTACCAATTGATTTCAACTCATGTTTTGATGGTGAAAATACAAAAGTATTTAAATGATTCATGAATTGTTTACTAATTGCTAATTTGAAAAATTTTTTTAAAAAAAAAACATAAAACTTTCAATTAATCAGTTTTATTATAATGATAAAACCTTAACTAACGACATAGATCAAATAAACGATATATTCCTTGAGAGAAGTTACATGTAGCCAGTATCACCATACTAATCGAATAAATCATTTATAAGTCTATATATACAAAATAATTAAATATCTATGAAACAATGTTGTTATCATCCAGTTTCTTTTCCAGAACTGCTGCCTTTTTATCATCTTCGAATTCCTTTGAAACTTGTTGCACAAGTTGAGCTCTGAGATCATAAGGTAAATCATCAATCATTGATCTGACAATTTCCATTTCACTTTGTTGTTTCTGTTCCTTTTCAATTCTTAAAGCTTCTTCATCAAGTTTACGTTGTTCGTCATCTTCTTTAACTTCTTCCACGTCTTCATCATCTAAACTTTCATCTTTTGATTCTTTGGAGCTTGATTCGTCAAGTAATTTAGATAATTCAGATTGAGGATTACTAAATAATTCAACAAATCTACCTTGTTCAACAACTTTACCATGCTTACCTAAAACAACAACGTTTTCCGATTTGGAAATGGTAGATAATCTATGTGCAATCGAAATAATGGTCATTCTTCCCTGAGATGTCAAGTTTTTCAATGTTTCATTGATAAGACTTTCCAGTTTAGAATCTAAAGCTGATGTGGCTTCATCTAAAATAAGAATAGAAGGTCTTTTGATTAAAGCCCTAGCAATAGCGACTCTTTGTTTTTGACCACCAGATAATGATGCTCCACGAGCTCCAATTATGGTATCGTATCCTTCAGGAAATGCTGAAATGAAATCATGGCAATTGGCTTGTTTAGACACTTCAATGATATCATCCATGGTTAATTGACTTATTTGTGAAGGAGTTAAACCATAAACGATATTTTCAAGGATACTACCAGATAATAAAATTGGTTCTTGTTGAACAATACCAATTACTGATCTTCTTAAGTCACGAACTTGAAGTTTATTTATATTATGACCGCCAATTAAGATCTCACCTTTTGAAATATTATAAGCTCTGAGTAGTAAAAGGGCAACTGTTGATTTACCACAACCTGAAGGGGCAACAAAACAAGTACTCGAAGAAGCTGGAATTTTGAATGAACAACCATCAAAAATTAAATCATGAGGTCTAGTAGGATAACTAAATTGAACATCTCTGAATTCTATATCATTCTTCATAAAAGCTGGAAGCTTTTCACCCAAGACTGGAGGTACTTCATTTTTATGATCAACTAAATCGAATAATTTAGTACCAGCCCCCGAGCCTTTCATTAATTCCATATATGTAGTGGTCAAACTATATAAGGCCAGGTTAAACAATTCAGAATACATGGTGAAAGCAACAACATCACCAGTTGTCATTTGACCATTCAAGATTAAATAGACACCCAATGCAATACAGGATAAATAACCGGAATGGTACAAAGAATAAATGGAAACCAGGTAATTCGATTGAGCTAAAGCTTCTTTTCTAGCGACATTTATAACATTTCTTAATTGGTCGGAATACTTGGTTAATTCTTTTTGTTCTGCAGTAAATGATTGGACCAATTTGACTGAATTAAGAGTTTCTTCACTTACTTTGGTCAAACCAGCAGTGGCATTTTGAAGACGAGTAGATAATGATCTAATTTTTTCACCATACCAAACAGAACCAAAAGTAATAGGAGGAGAAATCAAGAGCATAACACAGAATAATAAAGGATTGATACTAAACATCATATAAGAACTAATAATTCCGAATAACATATTTTTCAAACCATCAGGTAAATTACCAGTGATTGATCTTGAAACAACATATGCATCACTTGACAAACGAGAGATCAAATCACCAACTTTATGTTTTTCGTTATCATAAAAGGCAGCATCGTGGCGTAATAAATGTTTCATTACTCTTAATCTTAATCTAGCCACTAATCGTTCACCTAATAATTTCAATACCCAAATTCTTGCCCAAAAACAAACGGCACTCACACACATAAATGGAACCATGACACTGAAAACAGTAGAATATTTATAACCCCAGATCAACAAGTCTCCATCTTCATCTTTCAAGTTATCATTAAATGCATCTATAGCGGCCCCAACTAATTTTACTGCAGTAGTTGGATATAAAACAGCAAAAAGAATAAATGCCAACGCGTACAAGAATAGCCTAAGATCAGGTTTCCCCAATTTTAATATTCTACCAATAGTTTTCAAATTCTCTTTAAAGCTCTTTTTGTTATTTGAAAGATTTTGTTTTTCTTCCTCTTTAATTTGCAATTTGCGTATTTTCGTTATTTCAAGATGCTGTTTCAAAGAGTTGGAATTCTCCAAAGCCTTATGCAACTCATTATGATTAGACGTTATGGAAAGCTTGCTAACCAGATCACTTTTATTATCTTGCTGCTTGTTGAAGTAACGAGTACTAGTGCTAAATTCCTGGACTTGTTTCAAGATACCTAAAGGTTTATTCGGCCTATCTAGAAGCAAGTGCTTCGGATATATAGCATTATTCCTTAGACTACCGGTATCTGACCTATTTGTGCAATAATATCTGGCGCTGGTATAGTTTAAACTATTGACCCCGAAAGCACCAAGCCTGGAGAAAATACTCTCCGAGATCGGTCCCACTATAAGTCTGGAACGTATTATAGGAAACATTACCGCTTCTGCAAGTCCTGAAGCAACGTTTAGACTCCTTGAAACCTTTCTTAAATTCAGTAGAGTCTTTAGTGAAGGATAATCTTGGAGATCGTTGAATAATATATTTCTGAGTAAAATTGATTTTTCGTTGATTTTCCGTTGAGCTTCCCAAAAGACTAACAAAACAAAAAAAAAAAAAAAAAAGTTTAATGAGCAAGGGAAAGTATATAAATATCCACGGAGAATAGAAATGGATGCAAAAAAAAATTAAGAGACAGAACTACATTGAACGATTCAATAAAAACATGATAAATATAGTTAAAAGAAAAAAGCGCTAAGGAATCATACTTTTCTATCGGCGAAACTTTGGATGAAGCCAACTTCAGATTCTTCATATTCTTTAACCTCAACTGAAGAATCGTCGGTGATCAAGGTATTTGCTTGGATCAATTGCTTACGAGGTAATTTTTTGTTTAAGACCACATCTCTGAAGCGATGGAATTCTTGAGTGACGTTGGTGATGTCATTGTAGTAAGCAACACCTTCGGTAACGTTTGCGGTGGTTTTGAATATGTGCAAGTTGTGTAAGAATTCACCCAAGGCATCGACAGCAGCAGTAGAGAGTTTGGACTCATCAATGACAATTTCCAAATCATCGTACTTACCGTCATCGGTGAATTTCAAAGAGGCGACACCTGCGTTGTATAAAGTTTTGAAAATACCAAAACGGGCTTGCATGTGAGGTTGGCCCCATTTGGTAGATTTGGGATCCCAAAACTCAAGCCCAAGTAAACCTGCACGGGCCATTAAGAGGGTGGCAATAAATTGAACATCTTTTTGGTCATTTTCATCGGTTATACCAAAAATATTGAGCACTTCGGCTGGTTTTTTCAAGATTAAAAATAATGCCACTAATTCAGCTCTACATTCTTCGTAACTACCAGCAGTGTTACCAAATAAAGATCCCCAAGTCTCGGTGGACTTATAATAAGATTTTATTTCTGGATGTGAATCCTTATCGAAATTGAACTTACCAGAAGAAGTTTCCTGTAATAATTTACCAGTACCATGACCTAATAACTCGTGTAAACCAACTTGAACTTCAAAAGCATCATCCCTCCACTTACGGAATTTATCTTGTAAAGATTCGTTAATGAAAGTGATTACTTCTTCACGTTTTGGCTTTTTTGGATTGGCTGATAACACGTTACCAAGAGAAACATTTTTGAAGCCAACATTTAACCTAACATCGTCATAGTTAGGAATATTGATACCTGCTGGAACACCCGAACCAGCAAAAGTAAGAACTTCCAAACTGGTGAAATCAGGTGGGGTAAAAACGTCTTTTTCGTATAATTTATCCCAAGGTAAAAATTTAATTAAATTAGTAGCATTATTAACCAAATCACTAAATTTTGCAGTACGGTCTTGATTAACCATGGCAACCAAACCTTCCCATTCACCTCTAACACCGGAAGGATCACGGTAGGTTTCAATAAACCCAATATTTGACTCGACTTGAGGTTTCAAATCCTTTACCCATTCAATTTGAGAATTTTTATGAGCATTCATGGAACCAGTTTCAAATGACTCGATATAATAACCAATTAATTTATGCTGGGTTTCATTGGCAACATATTTTTGAGCTTGTTTTAAGTTGGAAACAATTTCTTTAAATTCCTTTGAATGGTCACCAAATTTAAACAGGATTTTCAATCCTTTGGCTTCAATAGTTTCTGGATAATAATCAGTAGTATTAGAAGTCAATGCACTGGCAACATAAACAATGAATTCATTTTCGTTTTTCTTGAAAACCCTAGTGTTCTCAGGCATGATTCCTTTATCAGCTAAAGCTGAATTAACTACTTCAACCTGTTCTTTAGTAATTGATGGTGAATCTGGATAATATGCAGATACGTGCCCATTTTCTGGCCAACCCAATAAACCAACGCCAGTATCAAAAATAGCTTCACGAACTTTTGAGTAAAGCTTAGTGATTTCCTCACCACCGACTTTTTCGACTAAAGTATCGAGCTCTTCAATCTTCAACTTTGGTATAAACTTCTTATCACCAAAGGATTTATAGTTCCCCAAATTTGATAAGAATTGAGAAGCATATTCCAAATAATACGTAACGGCATTCTGATTTTCGGGGAAATGTTTGCTCAATATAACTTCATAAGCTTCGTTGGATTCTGGGAAGTTCAATTGAGCATGAATCCCCAAGATTAACTCATAAATATCTTCACTTTCTGGTGATACCGATCTCAAAACTGCCCTTGTACCCCAATGAGAAGCCTTGGAAAGATAATGAGCATACAATTTGGCTTCCTTTGTAGGTAACTGCTCAAAGTGTTTCTTAGCGGATAACACAACAATTGGAGCTGCTGAATCAGCAAGGAAAGTGTTGGTGGAAATAGACATGACTGGTTATATAAAGAAGATGGTGGTGTACTTTGATTTCTCTCCATATTTGACTTTTTTTTTTTCGCCTTCAACTAATCTCAAGGTTTAATATTGGGAAAAGGAAGCCACATCTTTTCTATTGAAACAACACGATGGACTTATCTAAGAAGGGTTCTCCAGTTACTGAGAGTGGGGCTCTGCTCAAGGAGTCTATCAAGCAGGAAGATGCGCTGACAGAAGATTCCAAGGTCCATGACAAACAGGGCGAAGAGCGTGATGGTGAAGAAGATGAAGACGAGGACGATGAAGAGGACGATGACTACGATCCAGAGGCCAAGCCAGCTAAAGAGGCAAACGAGGAAGAAGAAGAGAGCGAGGACGACGAACCTGAGCCCGACTATTCGGCTATTCAGTCTAGTGGTATCAGTGAAGTCAAGACAAGACATCAAAAACAATTAGAGAAGAGCGGTTTTGGTAGCACTAATAAGCGTGCCCAGTATCAGCAAATGAATGGATATTTGCAGGATGAAAGCCATGTGGATGTGGATTCTCTATTTGAAGATTTGAAACGTAGAAGCAACGATCCTAGTCTACGAGAACGGGAAGTATATTCAAATCACGATACTCCAGAAGTGACCCAGGAACAAGAAAACAGAACCGAATCTACCGAGCAGACTGATTTGGGCCCCCAGAAAATCAAAATACAAACCTCCTATACTTTTGCTGGGAAATTAATTACAGAATCCAAGCTTGTTGATGCAGATTCCGCAGAGGCCAAGGCGTACTTAAACTCGACCAACGGACTCACCGCTGCCGAAACCGAGGACCAGACCAAGACTCGCTCGTATGTGACTGTTATTCGAGAAGTTCCACGAACCAAAGAGCAAGTTCCTTTACGGATTAAATTGAAAAGACCTTCATTGATTGATAAATTTCTTTCAAGCTACAATAACAAACGCCAAAAACTATCGACGTTGGAGAAATCCAGGTTGGACTGGGCCAGTTTTGTGGATCAGCGTAAGCTTCAAGATGACCTCAAGCTCCATAACAAAGCAGGTTATCTTGATAAACAGGAATTCTTGGGCAGATTGGATGCCAAACGAGATGAACAGTACGTTAAGGCCAGAGAAGAGGACCGCAAGCGCCAATGGCAGCTCCAGCAACAGTCGCTATGATCCTTGTATTATAAATGTATAGTAAATGTATAAAATGTATGGGAAATGGATAAATTATATAGTAAAATAGCGATCGTGTGAGTACCAGTGATTGTTTAAAGGAAGCTTTTCGACTAAACTAACAAAAAAATGAGGAATTGGTGGATTAAAAAAAAATTTTTCTTTTTGAAAGAACCAAAACAAAAAGCTTTCGAGAAACAATTACGATAGAAGACGACGTGTTCCAATTGGAGTAACCAATACCAATCAAGACGTTGAAAGAGTTAATTTTGAATCTCTTTGCATTTCCCTTTTTCCCTCTCTTTCCCTTTTCTCTTTCCTCTATCTTCTTTTTTATTTGGAGATCAAAGGCCAAAGATGTCTAAAAGTAATATTTTAAAACGTAAAAATGATGAATCAGAATCTACTGACAATGATCAGCTAAATAAAAGAATTGCCTTGGATAGTGAACAGTTAGATTTGACTGATAAACAAGAAGAAGATGCACAAACTGCTCCAGCTATTAATACAGATACTACAAATACCGATATAACTAGTAATAACACTAATAATACTAATAATACTAACAATCTGGTAGAAGATATTGAGACTGATACTCCTTCCAATTCCGATGAAAGCAAGTTTGTTTCTAAGCCAGTCTCCAATCATCGAGAAAAAGATGATCCAACCTATGTTGCATTTAGAATGTATTGTCCAGTTAAAGAAGCTAGTGTTATAGTTGGTAAAAAAGGTGATACTATTAATCATATCAGAGAGAAAGCTAATGTAAGAATTAATGTTAGCGATAATTTGAAAAATATTCCAGAAAGAGTTGTTTCAGTTAGGGGTCCTGCTGAAAACGTTGCTAAAGCTTTTGGTTTAATTACAAGAACTATTTTAGAAGAACCAGAAGATGAACCTGCATCTTATTCTTCTAAACAATTCGATTTAAAGCTTTTGATTCCTCACCCAATGGTTGGTTATATCATTGGTAAACAAGGTACCAAATTTAGAGAAATTGAAGAAAATTCTGCTGCTAAATTGAAAGCTGCGGAACAACCTTTACCTTTTTCTACCGATAGAATCTTATCTATTACTGGGGTTGGTGACGCAATTCATATTGCCATCTATTACATTTCTCAAGTTATATTAGAGCATAAAGATTGCTTAAAGAAGAACAAAGTCATTTTTTACAATCCAGCTAATTATCGTCAACCCGCTCTTAATGGTATGTTAATGAGTCCTCAAAATAATATGATGGTTATGGGTGGCTCTCCTGCTGCTGCTTCTACTAATCCTCTCACGATGCAAAATGTTGTTAAAGATAATACTCCAAATCCTTATCAAGTTGCAAAACAACCTTACAATTTCCAAATGATGTTCCAACCTTCTATTCATCCTCAACAAGCTTATGGTGCCCCAGTTGCTCCTACTCCTTCTGGTCTTGCTATTCCTCCTCAAAATCAATACACTGATGAACATGGTAATACTATCGTTGGGGACATCATAACTCATGCTCCTAATCCAGTTCCGGGTCAACCTGATAAATTTAATGAAGATATTTTTGTTGCTAATACTAACATTGGTTCGGTCATTGGTAAAGGTGGTAATAATATCAAACAAATTCGTGAAAATAGTGGCTGCTCTTATGTCAAAATTGAACCAGATCAAAACCAATCCATTATGCTTGGTGGTAAAGGTTTAGTTAATATCAGAAAATTAACTTTAACCGGTAACCTCAACGCAATTCAAACTGCCATTTATTTGATAAATCAGAGAATCAGCGCAGATAAAGAAAGGAATAGTGTTTAATCTTATTTGCATTCCTCAGATTATATGTTATATGTCTAACGCATGATTCTTTCTTCTTCTTTTCGACTTCTTTATTTTGTTTTAGTAACTCCCAGTGTACACCATTTAGTGGTACATGTCCATTTTATACCTTTTTTTTTTTGCAACTTTTGCTTCTCGTTTGTTTATAATAAAATATGTACTTCTGAATATTCTACTTTCTTCTTCCCTTCTCATTTCTGTATTATTATCACTTGTACTTTATACTTCTTCAATTCTCCATTTCCCCTGCATTTCCTGGTACTTTTTTTTTTCACTTTTTTTTTTCTTTTGCCCTATTTTCATTTACTTTGATAAAGGAGGTGAGCTACTCGTTGTCTTACCGAATCTTTCCATATAAAATACATAGAGAGAAAAAAAAAGAAGAACGAATGCAAAAACTATGTCAATGTCTAAAAATGCTTTATGTTTAAGCTGGTTAAAAGCATGGTAAAACCACTTAACAAACCCTCACCTAAAACTAAACCACTACTTATAATAATCATCTTAATTTTATCATCATGCTTGTTGTATTTTAACCAAAGATATGCAGCAAGACCACCGATAAATCTAGCGAGAGTGAAATTTGGTGTATTGTAAATACCAATACCAACGGCAACACCATTAGGTAAGTAGATTAAGTATTTGTGGTATTTACTTGTAACAGGACAGGAATTCTTAATCAAAGAAATGATTGCAAAAAAGATACCAAATGCAATTGAAAATTCAAAAGCTCTTGGGGGCAATCCTTCACCAGTCACCAATCTTGAGCAATCGATCCAAATGATAGCAGTTGGGATACGGAATAGATTGTTTGGGATATCGTAAACAATGTTGTAAACTTTATACATAACGCTACTCAAAACGACTGAATATAATGTTCCAATCATTTGCGCAACAAATTGAGCTTTTGGCGAAGCTCCAATTAAATGCCCCGTTTTCAAATCTTGCATTAGATCCCCAGCTTGTTGAGCACCAGCTTCAGCGATTCCCCCAGCTACTAAATTTATAAGAATTTTCGCCGGGTGAGAAGAAGGGATTATAAGAGCGAAAACCAATTGAGAAAGCTTACCAATACCACTAACTGGGTTTAGATCTGTTTCGCCTAATGCCCTAACTCCAAGGATAGAAAAAAGAAGTGCCAATATGATAGCAATTGCAGTGGCATAATAAGGTACAATGGAACCAAAGACCAATCTAACTGAAATCAAACAAATTATTGATGAAAAAGCCAAGCCGATCACTGTAGTTTTATAACTAACTAAATGATTTTCCTCAACATCAGCTAAGTCAATAGGTCTAACTTGGCGCTCTAAATCATATTTTTTCATATTATGTATCACATTTTTAATTGATTTATAGGAAACTACCCCAAATGATACAAGGGAATCACTGATCATGACACTTAAACTTAACCATAAGATCCAGCCTTGGCCTCCATTGATCCAATCATTTATATCTCCCGGAGCCCAACCAATTTTTTTAGCAAAGGGAGCCAAGACCCCCCACCCTAGAAAGGCACCAAAAAGCATGTAAGAAACAGTGGGTAAACCCATGATTATACCTTGACCTATATACGCAGGAGAAGGCTGAAAGCTCCATTGATATTTGTCAGCAGCAATAGAGCCAAAGAGTGGGATATTCTTCAAAATAGGAAAGAAGTATGATAAAAGAGTGTAGGTTGCTGATATGCTGAAAGTATAAATGAGTGAGTTGATATTAGATTTATAAGTATCATCGTTGGAATGATCTTCTGGGTCTATACTTCTATGAACAGGTTGTAAAACGGGAGATTCAATTCTTATCAAGTCGTTAGTATCATCATTAGATTTGGAGTCTTCATAAACTTCACTACCGTGTAATACCGATATTAGGGTAGCGGTAGCTCTACCAGAAGGGAAAGGTAATTTTTCCTTAATTATAACTTGTTTTCTTAATGGAATAGCGAAAAACACTCCAAATAAAGCAAGACCAAAAGACCAAGTAATCAATTGGGATAAAGAAAGGCTAATTTTACTTCCACTACCGCTTTCATCTGCGGTTAAGAATTTTTCAATTGCAGGTATAATTCCAATTAGCCCGTACGCTAAAGGACCCGTTCCAACAGCCACTGCGATACTTTGGATATATACATTTTCAACATCAGTGAAGTTTTTAGCAAACGGAGAAATCTTGAAAATGGTAAAACCGAGCAATGCCGACGGTAACGACATCATTGAAACCCAACCAGTTTGAAGACCAAATTGGAAATTTGAGATCAAGACAACAGAGCCAATCATAAGACCTGCTAGAGTGGCTCTGAAAGTAATTTGAGGAAGATTAAGTTTATCTTCCCAGAGAAGGGTATTATTATTGGCAACATCAACCTCATTATTTAAATCAGAATGGTACTGCAGTTTGGGTAGGAGGTGGTCATTTTCACCAGCAGACATGGAGCTCATCTTCAAAAATAAGGCTAGGGGCGACCAGGTAGGGATCAGGAGAGAAAAGCTGACTATTAAAATCAACGAAAACTGTGGATTATTTGATCTTTTTATTAATAATTCCGTTACTGATAAACTGCGATGCGTACTTAGTAAGCGCTTTTTCTACTATGGGTGTACGGCTGTTGTACCGGAAGATATAACTAAAACAGGAAAAGCCAATCGACTACTAACAATTAATTATCATTTATAGAGAATATCATTATGGAAAAATACATAAGAGAGGGTTTAATCTTCACCAAAGAGAATATATTGTAAGATGTCACTTAAAGTGATGACGGAAATCAATTTACCTTCATCATCCACCACGAATAATCGATGCAAACGAGACTTTCTAATAGTATCCATGATGGTACTAAGACGATCGTTTAAAGTACAAGTATGGACCCCTTCGAAATCTTCTGGTCTTCTTAATAAGGCGTCACCGACACTGAGGTCCAAATCGGTATACATTCCACCTTTCACTAGAGCCAATACATCGACGGCTTCATAGACGTTAATTAATTTACCTTGATCGTCAATGATTGGGGCCGAACTAACTGATTTATGAGCCAATAAATGAATAACTTCGATAACTGGAGTATTCATGGTACAAGTAGAAATATCTTTGATAGTACCTAGACTGATTAAATCTTTAATTGGTTTTAATAACATTTTAGTTTCTTTACAATTTAATGCAACAAATTTCAAGATTCTATATTGAGTTAAAACACTAACCACAATTTCACGATGGGTTTTTTCATCTTCATCAATCAAGGGAATTCTTCTTGCCTTGGAATCCAACATTTTAACACAAGCTTCATATAATGATTTGAAGGGATGAATCGAAGCAGTTTCAATTGGATCCACCCCAATTGCCTTTTCAATATCACGTAATCCATCTAAAGTAAGTTGGTCAACCAATTCAAATTTCTCTGGGAACTGGAAGTAGTACTGGATAACATTAATAAAATCACTCAGAGTTAATAACCCGGCAAATCTAGAGGTTTTATTATTCCATAATGGTGCACTAACAATATTATTTTGTAATAAAATATTTAATGATTTCTTCACCAATAAAGAAGTATCCAAAACCACCAAACGGTAACTGACCGGCAAAACGTCGTACGACGTTTTACTTTGAAGGAAAAGCCTTATGGCCTTGATTCCAATCTTCTGATCGTGTTCAATTTGCTCGGGTGATAACGATTCAATGTAATCGTTGGGTGTTGATGAACTTGGGGCAACTGCCATTTCTGTGTCGGCCATCTTGCTGTATCACTATTGCTCGTGTATCTGTGTCTGGTCTATAGCAATGTTTCTTGAATGGGAATTCGACCTTGAAACTATATATGTTAATGGTATACCAATGGCTAACCTCTAAGATTAAGATTGCCCATTCCTCGTTTTTCTGCTCTGTTTTTTTGACCTAAACCTTTTTTCGCTTTGTCTGTCTTTTTTTTTTTTGTTTTGTTTGCAGTGGGGTAATTAACTACCAGAACCCTAGTGTGCGATGTACGGGTTTTGAATTAATGTATTTTGCAACCAGGCTATATAATTATAAATTTACGTTCCAGTCGTTGTTCAAAGCGCTCATCCAGTCCAACTCGTGGATCTGGAGGTTTTGGTTGAGGCTTGCATCAAACAAGTCGGACAATCCAGTGCTGGAAGCCGGGGGACGGGTTTCCTTTGCTGGGCCGGAAAAGCGGTCTAGCAAATCGCCAAAACGAGAGTCGTTGACTGAACTATCAATGGTGTTTGGGGTGCTGGAAGAAGGGAGGGTTTTCAACTGGCGGTCGAAACGGAGCATCAAGGAGCTGTGGCCCTGGTTCAAGGCCCAAACGACCTCCTTGGCCATTCTAAAGCGGCCTAGGTGGTGATTATTGATGTTATCTTCGAATTGGTTCAAGTACAAAGCTAGGCTTAAGGCATTGGAGTATAAGGATTCGGCGTCTTCTACGTAGATACCACCGTTCATGAAGGCCAAGGAAAAGGAGCCTAAGGTGAAGATCATGTTTAAAACCATGGGACAAGGGCTTTGTAGACTATTTATGGATTTCAATTCATTTAGTATTTTGGAAGTTTCTTTTAAAGAGTCCAAGATGATATCCAAACTCAAGCCGAGATTCGGATAAAACCTTCCAGTTAAGTTTAAAAGAGCGGGTCCATGTAAAGTAAGAACCACATCGTAAAAACTGATCATTACTTGAGCCTTGACTAGCATCAGACAATTGAAGTCTAAATTTTTCAACCAATCACCTAATTCGATTAAGTCATTTGATATTTCGAATATTTCAAAATCAGGATCGATTTTTTCTCTGAACACTATTACTCGATGAGCTAAACAACTTATACGTAGCATTACAAAAGAAATGAAACTAAAACCTGGACGTTTATAATTTTCAGTATAAGTATTTGGGAAAGGAATTTTAATTTGATCATGGGACCAAAAAACTGACACTCTTAATTGGACCGAGTACAAATTATCAAATATGTACAAGCTCCAAAACACCGAAAACTCATCCGAACCTAATCTTTCATTAATTTTTTTCAAATTCATCCCCATGGCTTTAGCAGTTAGATTGGCTTGGCCTAAAGCGTACTGGACGCTTTTTTGGCGATTAGTCATTCTTAAATAAAGAGTGATTAACAACCAGCCTCTCACAATATCAACCGAAGTGTAACTGAATGAAAATGAAGAAAGCACCTGATAAGCATACTCAAAACAAATAATTTCAATATCGATAAAATTGGCATCTAATGAATCAATTTTACAAAATTCTTGATGTCTAATACTGATTGCGTAGATTAAATGGGTTAAAGCAGATAGTAACACTCTTTTATTGGTATTTTCTGAATTCAATTTTTCTATATTAATCGATTGAGGAGGTCCACTTATTTTTAAATAATCTAGAAAATCTCTCGACAATATAGAGTATAGCGAATTGACTTCTTCAATAAATATGTTTAGCAAGGTAAGATGATGGTTATCCAAATTGACACTGGGGAGCGGCGGGTACGGTGGAGTCTTTATATAGGCAACTCCAGACATATTCCATCCATAATGTTGACCTCTTGGAATTTTAAAGTCGTTACTATTTGAGATTCCCGAATTTGAATAGCATAAATTCAATAATACCGCATCCAGGCATTTTAGACTGGCACCCTGTCTTATCTGAGGTTTATGACTGGCACTGAAGGGGACATATTGTAATAGGGCTTGATTTGAAGGAGGCTCGATTTCATTTGGATGGATTAAATCAGAGGATGATGTAGAATGTTTTCTATAATCATTTTGGAAATTATCTCGATTGGATAACTTTCTTTTCTTCAACAGACCGTTGGAAGGTGATAAAACCACGTTTTCAATTTGAGATCTGGTATAATGGGTAGGAGTAAAATTTAAATCAATATCTGGTTTAACGTATTGACAATCTATATTATGGGATTCGCATCTTGAACAAGGTTTCTTTTCAGTACATTTCAATTTCATAGATCGACATCGTTTACAAGCAGAGGAAACTCTGGTATAAGTCTTAGCCGTGTTTGTCATTCTGATTGACAGAATAGAAGTAGTTATTTACAATTAATAAAAATTGATCTTCAAATTCCGATGTAGGAATATAAAGGTTAGTCATACCGGGGTCTCACCTCCGTACATCCCTGTGAAAATACTAAAAGGATAAGTTACAGTACATAATCTATTGAAATATAAGGATTTAAATTAAGGTCTATAAATTACAAAAAGAGAATTAGAATAGATGAAGTGAAAGAAATGAAATAAATAGATCAGGCCCATTTACCAAGTAAAGCCATCAAACCAGCACCCCAACATAAAGTGAAAAAGGCCAATAAAGATTTTTTGAAACCATCTTTACCCTTAAATTCACCAGAGTATAAGAATTCATGGGCCATTAATTCGACAATACCGGCATAGAATAAAATCCCGGCAGAAATGGAATCGAAAACCCCGTTGGTGATTAAGGCTCTACGAGAACCAGGAGCATAAGTGGTTCTAACACCTAAACCAATGGCAATTGCAATTGGAGTGGTGAAAGTATAAGCAAGAGCCAAGGCCCAAGGAGTGTAACGTTTTGATTTAGACCAGTTAGTTAAAGCGATTCTGGTACCAAGACCCAAACCTTCGAACATTTGATGGAAAACAAGAACAATATATAAGGAGATGAATTCGTCACCGGAAACTGATAAAGATAAACCAACAAAGACAGAATGGAAGATAACCCCGAATTCCAAGACAAAGACTGATAATAATTGACCATAATAAGATTCTTTATCTTGATCTTCTAACGGAGTACCAATTAATTCAGGATCTTGATGTTCATGAGCATGTTGAAAATGTTTTGGATAAGGATTTTCTTTTTTAACTTCTTTATTTGAATCAGTTTCTTCTTCTTCATCTTCCAATTTTTTAGTATACAAGTCAGCGTTACCAAAATGCGAATGACTATGACCTTGAGCATCTCCCGATTCTGTTTCAATTTTACGTTCAACCCATTGGAAAGCACAGATTTCAAAAAAGAAAAGCGCAAACAAAGTCATCAACGCAATACCAAAAGCCCAAGGATATTCAGCAAAAGTACCTCCCAAACATTCGTCACCCAAACTATCACTAGCAGGTTCTAATAAATGAATGAAAGCGGTGGCTACAATAACCCCAGAACCAAAATATTTAGCAATGAAAAATACCCACGATGGCATACGAATAAAAGAATAACGAGAACTCAATAATGGTAAAAAGGTACCAATGGCAGAGGATGCCAATATAACGAAAACAGCAGAAATACGGACTCCCATACGACCATCGTAATCGTTATCTGGTTCACAGGTTTCTCTTTTCAGAAGAAATTGTTGTACTATAGATTCGTCCATTATGTATTAACGATGATTAATGATGATTAACGATAAGTAATGATGATTAACGATAATTAATGATGATCGATGATGATTAATGATGATCGATGATTATTAATGTGTTGATGATTGATAAGTCAGTAAAACAAAGAAACTGATATATATATATATATATATACCTATATTTAATTTCCAGTATAGTGGTTATAATTAATTTAAAGTTTCTTTGTTCTGCCGTTTGTCTCACTGAAACTGTAATAACTACTATAGTAGTAAGTTAATTTTAATTAATTCCAATTAATTTTGATGGAATATGCAAGCTCTACGTACGGCAAATGGTTTGTTACAGTGGACGTGGTTGTGTATTGCCAGTAGGTTGACTATCCAAATGGTCTGGTGGTGGTATGACAGGCCTGTTTAGTAACTGTCAGTAGAGAAATATTGCAACCACCAGGGTGCGATGAACGTTGATGGAAAAAATTTTGAGAAAAAAGAAAAGTAAGACAACGTCAAAGTCTGGTTTTGTTATTACAGACACCAAAGTACGAGATGTCGTTGGTTCAATTGTGTGGCATGTATTGGCATCGTATGTATTGACATCGTATGTATTAGATATTGTTAAACAGCGTATTGTTAATTGGAATACATAAAATTAGAGTAAGTGAAAATTAGAGGACAATGGGGAAGCAAGATGTACGGAGGTTGCAACATTAAAATTTGCATAGGCTTAAACCAACATTAACATGTCTGGCAATAAGCCAGGCAAAAACACTCCCTGCTGATAGACAGCCTTCGAATAGAATGAAGTTTCGGTAGTCGGATTTGGTTCCCAGCCCAATGATTAAGGAAGATACGAAAATCCCCAATATAGACAAGAACGATAAATAAAAGTATAATTTACCATACCAGGCACCAAAATTAGTAGAGGAACAAATTTGTGATACTGAAGCACCAATAAGTGAAAGAACTGCCGAGGAGCTGACTCCGAAAAGTACCAGGAAGACATATAATAAAGCTAAGTTAGACCCAGCCGGTAACCAGATAGTAAAGATGAATATGGTAGTGAAAACACAAGTAACAATCATTATGTTGAAGCGGCCGTAAGAATCAGCAAGGTACCCTGAAACAATCCGACCCGGAATCCCACTGACATTGACTATGGTGATCAATAAATAACTTTTCAGTTCATTAATGTTATGATTAATGGCATATGAAGATAAATAAGTTAAGGTAGACATTGATATAATTTCTGCTAAAAAAACACTGAATGTTAAAGTGACAAATTTAAGATTTTTCAATAATGAAAACTCAACAGTTTTCCTAAAAAAATTATCATTTTGAAAAGATGTAGCAAGTTCTTCATTTGCAGAATCTTCCTTTTTCATTAATTCTCGTCCTTTAACAAAGAAAACTGAAATACACATACAGATTAATCCAATGAACGCTAAGAATTTAATCGCCCATTTAAATCCAACTTGATCGTACAATCTTTGTAACATCACTGGGAAGATACTTGATCCAACTAATCCTCCACAAGTTGCAAAACTGATGACAAATGCTCTTTTTTTCAAAAACCAATGTGATAAACTTCCAATCAATGGATGCATTGACATCGATGTACCAATTGCTGTAATCACACTAAACAGCAATATAAATTGATACAATTCTTTACATTCACTAGTTAAAATCAATCCAGTGAAAATTAATAAAGTCCCTAATATAAGAGGCATCTTCGCTCCGTATTTATCGAAAAACTCTCCAAATATGATTCCTCCTAAGTACATTACACCCAAGTGAATTGAAAATACCCAGGATACTCGACTTGATTCAATATCTTGTAATTGATGGGTTGATACATATGATTCCAACGCTCCCATACTGTTGGCAATTCCAAAATCAACAATTAATCCAAAAAATGATCCAAATAAAACCATATATGCTTCTTTACCCCCGTCTGGGAACTGTTCTTGATTCTCTTCATTCTTATACATCAAAGATCGACCACTATTTCCATCTTCTTCATCTTCTGCTCCATCGCTAGTATTAAATCGATTACGAAGACGCTGATTAACCTGTTGTTCCGGGAAAACAGAAGGCCCTGCCTCGGGAACCTGGGTCGTTTGAAGCTCAATGTCAGTACCTTTTCTCAGTGGTGTTGGCCTGGTTAACATGTTTCAATTACTAAATCTTATTGCAAATTTTCAGCATTCGATCTGCTAGGGGGTTTATATAGCCTCACGTCCGCACCTTTTCGCTTGATGACAAATTCCGTCTTTATCATCTCTTTCCGCAGGTACGACAACATCAGAATATCCTCTACAATGATAATACACGAAGGTCTTCGTTTATCTTTGGCGAATTAGTAGACCTATATTTATAGTATGAAAGGCTAATGTGAAAAAAATAATTATGTAAAAAAAATCGTACATATAAACGTTCACGTGACCTCAAAACTTTCTGGTGTATGGGTTTTGGGCTGGGACATCAACGTTGAAACAAATCAACAAAACGGTTGTATCTACTTCTTTTCATTCAAGTTAGAATGGCCGAAAACAAGGATACTGAGGAACAGCTCTCTCATCAATTAGACGCTGAAGTGGGTGAAGATGGTAAGGATCTTACCAAAGAAGAACGTCTTGAAATAGCCCGTAAGAAATTCGAGGATATGAAAAAAAAGAAAAAGAAGGGTAAAAAGAAGTCTAAGAAGTCAAAAGATGATGAAGAGAACGATGATGAAAAAGAGCCAGCTGAACTGGAGGCAAAGGTGAAAGAACCGGAAACTGAAGAGTCAAATGAATCTGAGTCCAAGCCAAAAGAACCGGAGGCTAAAGAGTCAGAACCTGAGGCCAAACTGCCTGATCCTGAGGCCGAAGTGCCTGAACCTAAGGCCAAACTGCCTGAACCTGAGGTCAAACTGCCTGAACCTGAGGTCAAACTGCCTGAACCTGAGGCCGAAGTGCCTGAACCTAAAGATGTTGAGGTTGAAGGTGGTGAAACCATTGAAACTAAGGACCACTCAACAGATTCAAGTGAAATTACTCAACTTAAATCGACTATAGAACAACAAGACAAAACCATTAAAAAGCTTCGAGATGAAAATACCGATTTGAAATTAGGTAGAATGGATTTAAAAGACAAGATTCAAGAATTAGAAGAAGAAATAAAATCATTGAAAACGTCTGGTGTGTCAACCCCAATAAGCCAATCACAACTACCAAATACAGTTGCATCACCGGTGAAACCAGCAAAACCAATCATTACATCCAATGACTATGCATCCTTGTCTCAACAGAATTTCAAGAGCTTTGAAAGCACAGTCGATTTTAGAGAAAGATTAATGCTTTGGAAAGGCTGGCAAGTTGATATGACTAATTGGAATGGTTCAAATCACGTAACTAAAGTGGCAATATAACGAATTAAAATATATTATAAAATGAACAATATGCTATATACAACTTGTAAACTTAACTATTTACTTATAAATGACCATTATCTAATACGACATAATGCTAACCCCAGTTCATCCCTTTTAGCAGCTTCTTGAATTTCCAATATTTCCTTCTTTTTGTTTTGAATAAATAAACATTCAGATGGTTGTAATGGTTTGATGAATCTAACTTGTAACCCTGATGCTAATGCTTTTACTTCAACATCAGTTAAATGGGCTTTACGTCCTGGTGTCGAAATTAAACTGAATTCACGTATAACTGGTTCATTGTTTCTATACTTTAAATCCAACCACAATCTTCTAGATGATATATTATCAGGGGTCACTTCCACAGGGTTTTTATCCGGTCCACTGGTTGATCCCTTTTGTATCGATGAAATGAATCCTTCCCTATATAATTGGAAAGCAAGTTGTAAATGTCCACGGTTGAATGGCACCGAGGTCCTGGTAATATTCACGTTGGTGCAGTTCTTTATGTGACAGCAGAAATTAGCAAGCTTCACCAAAGACATCCTGGGCTTGTATATATGTTGGTATGAATTGTAGTTATCGTTTGATCTTTAGAAAATTGGAATTTTTCACTTTTTTTTGAACGAAGACAAAAAAAAAAAAAAAAATGAAAAACCTCGAAACTCGGGGGTCACGTGATTTACAATCCCCGGCACCCCCGGATATCGACTTGCTCAGCAATAAATAACTATGGAACCATCGATTGGATGACTGCTACTCTTCTTTCAAGCATCGAATTCACCATGTACAGAAGCCTTTTCAATAGAACCATCTCGTGTGGTCGTCAGGTTAGACCTGCCTCCAGACTTGCACCTCAATTCACCAGGAGTAGATTCTATTCGACCCCATCTAATGCACCAAATTCTGATGGACCAAATTCTGATGGACCAAATTCTGATGGACCAAAGTCTAATGGACCAAAGTCTAATGGACCAATTTCTAATAAACAAGGACCCAAGTGGCAAAAACAAGATCAAGGAACCAGATTCCGTTATTTTTTCTACTTGTTTATCTTTTCCAGTGGTCTTTTGGTAGCTGCAACTAGAAAAGTCGATAATAAGAAACCACAAACATCATTTACTGAAAAAGAATATAAAGAGTATGAGGAGGCAACCGGGTTGAAAAGACGTTCGAAACTCATACATGGAGAGTTACTGGAAAAATACAACTTTTATGTAGTACCATTTGTTCATCAAGACGAATCAATCGATAAGATTGTTTCAAAATTACCCAAGGATAAAGAAGTAAAGGTCATTGATCCAAAACAATTGGTTGAACAAGAGATTGATGACCCAACCGCAAAATATTCGATATTATTACAAGATTTGAGAGCATTGAATAAACCATTGGTTAAAGGATTAATCACTGCATTAATAAAGCAAGAAATCAATTTATATATGAATACTCGTAAAGGTACTTTTGATACTAATTTTGTCATTAAGAATTATCCTCAAAATGCCGATGAAGCAATTAGATTTGAAAATACCATTTCTGATATTACTAAATGTTTAGTATTAAGATATGATATTAATAATGAGTTATCGAAATCTAAAACTGAAAATGAACAAAGATTAATAAAAAATGTTATTGGTTATTTCGACGTTGTTAATAAGAACCGTTACATTGATTTAAACCATGATGAAATGGACGATAAACTTCAAGAAATAGTTTTAGAAGATTTATAGTTTAAATAGACCTAAATAAATATATCTTCAGGAAGTTTGAAATTTAGCCCAAGGTTTTCTGCGTATTTTAAATCACTGTCCAGATGATCAGAGCCTCTGCCTGCTGCATCTCCCACGTAAAAACTATTTTGGATTGATACTTCAACTCGTTCGTTTTGCTCTTTCAAATACCTAACCATATGTTCCCACATACCAACATTCGGTTTTCTACTGAAGTCATGGTCTTCTTCGGAACTTACATTACCCGTTGGCTTCTTCCTTTTACCGCCAGGTCTTTTCGGTGATGCAAATACTAACACTTCAAATTTCTCTTCACTTTCGCCATTTAGCGATGCAATAATATTCTCTACCCTGCCACAGAGCTTTGCGTACGATTTACTCTTTGGCTCGTCGTTATTGGCAACAACTGCTCCCTGGTTGGTAAATATCACTATGATATACTTCTCCTTGTTTAGTCTGATCAATGTCTCTGGAACTTTGGATTCGGCGTCTGGTTGACTCCACCATTTCCAATCATTAGAATCTCTTGCAAACTTCATCGGTGACTTGGTCCTCACCAAAGTATCATCCAAATCAAAGGCAGCTATCTTTATACCCATTCTTTCATCAGCATACTTTGAAAGATCCAACACCTGCGGCACATTGGTTATAATATGGGTTCCGTGAACTCTCCATCTGAATTTGAAATTTTCAGTCTTCACCTGATTATTGATTCTTTCGACAGTTTTACCATCCAAGCTCGGGCTAACCTTGGTTCCAGGTTTGCTGACTTTGGAACCCAAAGATCTGGAGCCTTCCTTCACCAAACTGATTATCGAACGGGGCATTCTTGATCTCTTTGATAAAGAGCCATTTTATCACTACGCGTTACAAAAGAAAAATAAACTGAAAATTCAATACTCTTTCTTTACCAACTTTACTAACTTTACCGACATTACCATGTCAGAAGATAACCCTAAGGTATCTGTGGATCAGTACGGACGGAAGACCTGGGACGTGGAAGCGTATGCCCGGGAAGCAAAGCAGGGGGGCAAACCCAAAGCTGTGGAGCCGTCCAACAACGAAGCGATGGCCATCAATCAAGATAAACCAACGTCATATCTACAACATCGATCCAATCTTTTGAACGAGTCAATCGGGGCCGTGAACAAACACACCTTGATCAACCCACTCAATACAAAGTCTTACGGTAAGGATAAACGGTTTGGGTTTTTCTGTCCGGTCTGTGATTTGTCCTTTAGAGACAACTTAGCACTTATTGACCACGTCAACTCTCCGCAGCACATTGGCAGGTCCCAGCAGTTGGCCAAGTCGCTAAAGAAAGACGGAGAAGAGGAAGAGACCGAGTTGCTCGAAGGTGGTATACGACGTGCTTCAGTTGAAGAGGTGATTGCAACCATTGAAAAACTAGTAGCACAGCTGATCCGAGCAAAACAGGACCCTGGCTCTGTAGTATCAATCCAAGATCGAATTAACAAAAGAAAAGCATTTGAACAGAAACAGTTGGAAAAGAGAAGACTCAAAAGACAGAATTTGAAGAAACGAAAGAGAACCCCGGTGGAGCCAGAACCTTCGAGTGACATCTCGAACCTCATGGGGTTCAGTGGGTTCTCAACCTCCAAGAAGTAATCTCTGGCTATCGATTAGACGGTTGTAGGCGTATAATATAGTGTAATATACATAGATATTGGGTATATAAAGTAAAGACTATGGTGTACCGGTTTTGCGGTTTGAGCAGCTGCACTCAAAATCTTCCACCAATAAAATTTATTCGAAATTTATATTACCAAATCCAACAGAAAAAAAATGTATGGACTTGTTTTTTTCAATACTCCGAAGACGATACTTAGTGTACTCTGAAAGAAGACTTTATTAACTTGATTGAAATAGAGTATCGTTGCTGTTGAGTAAGAAGAAATTGTGTGGATAATTTGAAACCGTGTTGGCCATTATTTCAGTAAACTAAGCTCCTCATATAAGATGAAATTTTCATTTAAATTACCGTTCAATAGTCTTTTCAAATATAGACCAGGAAAGTTTAACTATCAAATAGAACAAGATATTCGTTCTAAATTGGATTCTTTACCATCTGTCACGAAGATCTATAGTAATCCAGACGGTACTCCAAGAGTTCCAAGTGATGAAGAATTCAAAACTATTGCTGAATTACAAAACTTATATTATAAACGTAATCATTCAGAATGGAATTTTATATTACCAGGCATTCCAAGAGATCAATTAAACTTATACAAAGATAATACTCAAGACTTGAAAAACTTTCAATTTGTAACTAAAGATGCTGGTAAAATTATCGATAAAATTCCTTATAAAGATGAAGTAACTGGTGAATTAAAATGGAAAGTTATTCGTGAAACTGAAAAAGCTGAAGGTTGGGAATTTTCATATTTTTATATCGTATTACCAGTTTTCGTTTACGTTGCCTATTCTAAATATACTACTCAAATGAAGAGAAGAGCTACTGATGGTCCTGACTGGGCTGAAAAAGAATTAAGATTAAGAGCAATGGAAGAATATTTCCATGGTGATACCGAAAAGGCCAAGGAATTCTTAAGTAATGAAGGTAAATCAAGTAGAGAAATTAGAGACAGAGACGATTTGGTTGTTGCAAGAATTTTGGCTGGTGACTACGATAAATTAGCTGAATTAAAGAAAAAATTACCAAAAGATTTACTTCCAAAAGAAGAACTTCATCCAAATTTGAAAATTTAAGTGATTAAAATTCACTCATTTATTTATTTATTATTGGTTTCTTTATTTGGTTGATGTTTTGACTAAGTATCATTATTTGGTTTGATAACCCTGTACCATAGATGTAAACATTAACTAAATTTCAGACTTCTTTTGATTGAAAATTAAAAAAGAAAAATAAAAAAAAAATTATAAAATTTAGATCACCTCCATCTTTTGGTCGCTAATTTATTCATTTTATGTTCTTATCTTCTTAATCCTTTCCCTTTCTTTTCCTATTTATACAATTACCAATGCATATTATATTCATCGTACGAAAAATTTGTAGCGTTTATTTACAATATTATATAGTTAGTTTATACTTCACCGGATTCTTCAATAACAATGGCAGATCTGGTTTGACCAGAACCGGAGCCTTCGTTTTCAATCTTTTTAACGGTTTCAATACCTTCAATAACTTCACCGAAAACAACATGTTTACCATCTAACCATGGACATGGAACAGTGGTGATGAAGAATTGAGATCCATTGGTGTTTGGACCAGCATTAGCCATAGACAATAAACCTGGCTTGTTATGTGGGATCTTGAAGTTTTCATCTGGGAAATTCTTACCGTAGATAGATTTACCACCGTAACCTTTACCGGTTTCAAAATCACCACCTTGTAACATGAATTGTGGGATTACTCTATGGAAGATGGAATTAGCATAACCAAAACCTTTTTCTCCAGTACATAAAGCTCTGAAATTTTCAGCAGTTTTTGGAACAATATCATCATACAATTCAAATTTGATTGGAGATTGTTTAACCCCGTTAATTGATGGGGTAAAGAAAACTTTGGTACCTAAGTTTCTGGCACTGGTAGAGAATAATCTGGTATTGGCTTTGAACATATTGACAATTGCTGTAATTATAATGAAAAGTAGAAGGAATTGCTTCAGCAAAGAAAAAAAAAAACTCCAGTTTTAACAGACTTCGAAAAGCTTCTCATTACAAAAAAAAAAAAAAACGATTTTGGCAACGTAAGATTGGTTCAAATACTACACTACACTAAACTTAACCAGATAGTTACAATTGAAGTAAATGTAATTCGAATACAAACGAAGAAATGATATCGCCTCCGGTTATGATGTAAAATTCAAAAGTAATAGTAATGAAACAGTTAAAAAGACAAACAAACAATAAAGTAGTAGAATTAAATGGTCAAGAGAAAAAGAAGCATACAGAAGGTTATAATGGGAAACGATGAATAGGCTTGAAATTGATATAAAGAGTACTTTTATTTTTTTGCATTTTTCAATAGTTATACTTTTTTTTTTTTTTTCAAGAATTTGTAAATTTTCTTATTTGAACGAGAGATAATCATCTTAGAAGCTTAATAAGTCGATATCGCCACTATTTGTTTGAGCAGTTCCATTACCGTTTGCATTATTGTTAGTGGCAGGTTTGGTAGTGTTGTTTGAGCTGAAATCACCGAAAAAGTCGTCGTCGGCAGTTTTGGAGACAGGAGCTGGTTTGGCAGCAGGAGTAGAGGCACCACTAGATTTGGAAGTAGTTTTAGTTTTAGCCGAAGAGAACAAGGATGAAAAGGCATCATTATTGTTTGATTTAGCTGGGCCACTAGAAGGAGTGCTATTGATGTTATAATTTGGAGTAGAAGATGAAGTGCTGAATAAGTTTTGTTGAGGAGCAGGAGAAACGAAGGAATTTTGTTGTTGAATTTGAGGTTGAGGTTGAGTTTGGTATAAGTTTGATAAGTTTGAAGAAAGGTTTGGTTTTTGAGGTTGAGAAGGAGCTGCTTGGAAATCATCGAAGTCATCATCGTCATCTTCAGCTGGTGCAGCAGCTTTGGTCGAGCTATTATTATTAGTCGATGAAGGAGCATCAAATGAAACCAAGTCACCTAATAAATCAGGTTGTTCTGTTTGAGCAGGAGCAGTGGTTGGTTTAGCCTTAGCCTTCAGTTTAGAAGAAGTACCATGGACTCTCGAAGTACTAGTTGTTGGCTTAGCAGCGGAGTTACTAGAAGAAGTAGAGCCACCAACGTCATACTCTTCGAAATTATCATTCGAATTACCATTTTCATAAGCAGCAGCAGGATCATCGTATCTTTCACCATAAACACCACCGTCACCATAAACACGGTTAGTAAAGTCGCCATCATCATAATTAGGACCAGTGGTAATAGAAGAGGCACCACCGAAAGCAGCAGAAGAGACCCCACCGAATTTTTTTTGATTAGCTCTAGCCTTTTTACGTTCCGATCTAATGAGAGAATCGTCATTTAATAACGCAATTAAAGTTTTGGATCTATTTCTAACGTTGATACCTTGATCTCTACCCTTTGAATCAATGTAATGGAAAGATTTCAACATTTGTATTAAAGAAATATTAGCTCTGACATCGTCAATAATTCTTTCTGATCCATTTTTAATCAAATAATCTAATAATTGTAAAGATTTATATATTTGTCTCCATTCATTAGCAGCCTTTTCGGTGAAACGACGGAAAATGAATCCAATGATTTCTTCTCTTTCCCTATAATTATAAGTACCCGAAGCAATTTGTGCCATAACCGTTGTTGGACATCCCCAAGGTTCATTATTAGTAGCCTCACGAACCTTGGCTTCCATCTCGGTTAAGTTCATAGCAACGTTTTGGGCTTTACGAACATATGCCTTGACTTCATATAAGTTCAAGTTCTTGGTGGCGTCTTTTAGTAAATCCATGCTATTAACTTTCAAAGGAACTGGAGGAAGAATACGAGCTTTGTCAAGTTCAAAAAATGAAACAGATAAAAGAAAATCGGTATTTTATTATAGAACAAATTGGAATGCAAGAATCAGCAGCTGTGTCGGTTCAAAAACTACTTGTGCAATCGTCTTTCTCTGTGCTGAATGTTTCCGCCGGGTTTGGAAATCGGTGTATTGGATAATTTAAAAGTGCTTCTCTGTCGATCTGGTGAAGTTTATCTTTTTTTTTTGGTTTGAAAAAGCGAACAGAAAGAGAAATTTCCTTTGAAAATCCGAACTGAAAAATTCCTGCACACTGGCCCTGGTTTGAGTTTAATTAAACCCTGTCTTTGGGCTGAACGATGTAATTGGTGATATCTCTGGGAATGAAGAGAGGGTACAGGCTGCAACGAAGGGTGTGGGTAGCTGGTGTGGTGGTGGACAGCTGGTGTTGTTTTCCTGGCATGTTTGCGGTTGTAGCCAAACTTCTAGGGTTGTGCTGAGCGATATTAAGTTTAGGGAGATGGTCTTTAACGGGTATCTTTTGATGAAGATGGGAAAGACGCGGGCTGGTAGTCAGGCCGGTGCTTTTGCTGCATCTGTTGCTGTGCTGGAGCCGTAGCTGAAGCTTTTGCTCAAGTATGTCTACGTAGTGGCTACTATATCTAATTACTGCAAAAAAAAACAAGGTAACCAAATCTATTTGAATTTGAATCCAAATCTAATTGATTTTGGGTCGAATGCATCTGATTTTGGATCCAGGTCTAATTGATTTTGAGTCCAAATCCATTTGATTATGGGCCTGGTGGTAAGTGCCCTTGTTTACAGTAATGAGGGATCTCTGTATAGTACTGGAATATGGTGTTCTATATGCACGTTCAATCTGACTCTAAGGTCGTTGTACAAGTCGTTAAAAGACTTCAGTAGCAAAGCTGCTTGAGCAATGCTCTGTCTTGACTCGTTTTCATCAACAAGTATACTCAAGGTTTTTCTGAATCCATGGTAAAGAAGCCTTATTTGGAGTTTCTCGTCCGGAGTGAAATCCGATAACTTATCTAATGCTCTGAAATAATTGCAATCGACGTTCTTACTCCAATGCTTGAATTTTTCACTGGACTTATCGATCGAGGGCATCTGACTCACTTTAGCAGTCAAATCAAAATGAGAGTAGCCAAAGTCCTGTTTGATCAACATATCCAGTACATAATTTTCCTTCAAATAAGTTTCTGAAGCCTCGATGTGTAGATCAGGATAATCTTCGCTGCTTGGAAATAATACCCGGGAGAATTCTAAAACTATTTGTCTTAGAATATCGTACTCTTCTTCGGGATTATCAGGATTTATGAATAATTGGCGGGCCGGGGCATACTTTACTAGCACTGACAACATTTTCAGCACATACACTGTGAAGTGTTGAAGATTTTTCAATTGTTTTTCCTCCAGTTTGGATAAAACGAATAACCTTGGTGCTTGGTTAAGAGCTGTTCTACAGCCTATTTCAACGAAAAAAAGTGATACGTCTCTAATATGAAACTTTAGAAATACTTGAAGCGTGTTTGCAATGGACGCCTTGGCATCAGGACCCGGCGGTATACGACCTTTCATAGTTCGGTGGACTTTCGAATAAAAGTGGTATAGCGATCGATTTTTTTTTTTTTTTCGTTCTTTGGTACAGCTTTTCGTTGGATGCGCAAATCTTTGCAGTCTATACAACTTTCTTATTTAATACCATTCTTTATTTGAATACAGTTCTCTTATTAAAATATAATCTAAAAGGATACCAAAGTATCCTAAGGGGTGGTAATGTTTATTAATATTATTATACAACTATTATACAAGAGTGAGGAAACTCACTTTTTATATTTGGCTTTAATGCTTGCAGTCAAGTTACGTAAGATTTCAACGTTATTTGAAATATTCTTAGGAGCTGGTTTGGTGAATGATTTTCCCTTGGGTGATGCAAATGGAGTGCTTTCTTCAATAATTCCAACACCTTCTCCGAATGAAGGAAGAATAGACAAATCTTTTTTGAAAGTGGTATCGTTCCCGATGGACGAGTTTAGGTTTAAAAAGGTAGATGAGTTGTTTTGAGTCCTGTTAATTGCACTCAAATATAAGGATGTGGAATCATTGATTGAATTATTTCGAGACTTGATGCTAGAGTTCGAAACATTGGATATGTGGTTGGCCAAGTATCCATATTGACGGTTGTGTTTAGCCCGCTTGAGATACTCGGATTCTTTAGCTCGGTGTTCATCCATGGAGTCGGTGACTGGTGCAGGAGATTCTGACATTTTACGTTTCTTGTTTTCATTCAATTTACGAAGCTTTTCTTTCTTCTTGGCTCCTCTCGGGGTAAGGTCTCCAGTGAAACCGTCACTCAAGTTATTGAACCCTTCAAGTAAGATACCATTAATGTTTTGATCTTTGGCAGTCATGTCACAGACAATAATGTCTTCAATAACGCTGTTGTTTTTATGTTCTGGGATTTTCAAAAGGTTTGAAACATCAGGAGTGTCGGATTTACTAATATTCCAAAAAACAAGAAGAATTTGAACTTTATAATAACCATACCTGGAACATAATTGTATGATTTTATTCAAAATAGTTTCGTCCCTTTGTAATTTCGAACTAAGATCACCATTATATTGGCTAATTTGGCCGTCATTGAAAAATCCAGCTTCAAACAAGATAAAAGCAGTATTACCGAAAAAATCTTTATTCAAATAATTGTTTTGTGGTAAACTTTGTAAATTGATACTCATCCTGTCATCACTTATCTTATTTTCATAGATCATTCTTTCTTTGTTAATCTTTAGCATTAACTTAGTGTTTAGCCATTTTGAATAAGGAGATGTCCAATTCTCAATCACAAGCAAAAATTTTAGCTCCACAAAAGAGTCAATACTAAGCTTGATATGTTTTGAACAGGTTTTGAGAAACTGTGAGAGGTCGATAGGCTCCCACAACTTTCTAACCTCGGTTTGTCTTTCACTAATGTGGTTGAAACTGGGTTCATTTTCAGTAAAATTAAGTCTCTTCTTCATTTTTGTACTTCCTAATGAACTCAAACTAGCATTTGAAGATCGTCTTTTCAATGTGGGGACCTTGAATGAAATACTGTTTAGTTCGTCTAATTTCTTACGTCTCAATTCATGTTTCACCTTCAACTGTTCTCCTTTATCACTTAATCTTCTTAAAATAAATCTTTTAAGGTTAGTTTCATAAAAATTGGTAGCTTGTGCTTTTAAGGTTTGGTTGTAAATAATCTCAGATATAAATGCTTGATATAATTCATTACTGAATGAGTTGATGATCTTCTTACGTTCTTGGTTTCGGTTTTCAATTCGCATCAATTTGGGTAATAATTTGGAAAGTTCATCATCAATCGTAGATTGCAAAATCTCATTATATACTTTTTCCAAGGCTTGGCCAAAATGCTTATGATCTTTGAGCTTTGGTTTTTCAGGAATAAAATCTTTCTTTGGTTTTTCTGTGAGAGAAGGAATGGTTGGTGGGTTCGTCTTAAAAGATGGTTGGTCCTGCTTTTGGGTATGGGATTCGATGGCCGGTTTAAACAGAAACTGTTGTTGATCTTGAGCTGGCACATTGGGTCTTGAAGAGGGTTTAAAGTTGATTGGTGAAGATGAAGATGATTCTTTTTCCGATTGGACTGGATTAGGTTGTTTAGCCTTATCCACGGAAGGGTTGCCAAAACTTTTAAAATTGAAAGAATCCTGTTTACTTTCAGCAAGTGGTGCTTGAGGCTTTGGGAAAAGTTTTGGTGCATTGTCAGTCGAAGAAAATCCTGGTTTAGGGGTAATCAGACTTTGAGATCCAACATTTGTTGTAGAAGTACCAGCAGGTGCCTGAGACGCACCAAAAGGTTTGGTATTATTAGATACTTTAGAAGCATCAAATGTTTGTGAAGTTCCAAAAGTGTTAGTTGGTTGGGAAGGGGCAGAAGCGCCAAACCCTTGACGAGCACCTAATGCTTGAGAAGTACCAAATCCCGGAGTGCTACCAGAAGAACTAAGGAAATCAGATAAGCTTTTAGAACCACCAGGCTGAACAGGCGCTTGGGAGAATCCACCAAATGCACCTTGTGATGAGAAAGTAGGCTTTTGTGCTGGTAGGTTACTTGGAATAACTTCTCTATCTTTTGAAGTTTTTAAGTTCAATGTGTAGGTTGGCTTTCCACAATTGATGAACGATTTCAACGGACCAATTATCTTGTCATCAATCTGTTTTGAGCAAGGTTGTGATAATCTAGGTTTTTCATTAATTGAATTTAGTTTGTAATTGCTTAATTTATCTTTGTTGAATAAATCAATGAGTAATTCTCCGTTATCATTCAAAGAATCGATTTCATAGTATTCTATGAATTTTACAAGGCCTTCAATTGAATCAAATCCTAACATATCTTTTAATGATTCTGCTAGATATGCTTTACCTCTAGTATGATAACATCTAGACATTGCTTTCAACGCATAAAACCTAATCTCATTAAAATGAGTCTCCAACAAGCAAGCAAACAACAATGGAGTTTCAGGACTATAAACAAGTTTGAAGAATTCCAGGAACAAGTTGAGGGCACCAATTGGATTTTGGAAACCCCTTTCGACAATGTTATTTTGTGACAAGATTGTTCTAAATTTGAGTGCCAATTGAACTTCAGGGGACTTGAAAATAAAATCTGGTAATTCTTGTATTTCTCTTTCAACTTCAGCGTCTCTATAATGACTGAGCAAGTAGTATGCTCTAAATTCAGGTTCATTAGGAGCGTTACCTCCATGATTTCTAATATCCTGATAAATTTCAATCAATGTTTGCAAAGCTTTATTAAATTGTTCCAATTCCTGTTGCTGGGAATATTCGACATCTGCACCAGCCATAATATGTAAAGAAATCAAATGAATTCTCACAATCCGCTCGTTACAATCAATTGCTTCAGGACCGAAAAAGTTTTGATAAGTGAAGTCTTGTCGAATTGATCTTGTTCTATCCCAGATGAATGAATGAGCTTCAGGTAACTGAGGAACTATTTCATCGACCATATGATCTAAAGTTTGTTTTAAAATATGAGGGGGTCTAACTTCAGAGGGTAAAGGGGGAGCTTGACCAGCAGCAGGTCGTGAAAAGGCCTTTATGGCTTTAGTAGGAGATATTTTGTTGGTATGAGGATCTTTTTCCAATGCCTTTACATTATTTTCTAATTGTCTTCTAACTCTTTCGAAAATCGGACACATTTCAAGACACGAACCTTGAAATGCAATGGCGTCAGTCAAATCTTTACTGATATTCTCTGCATCCACAAGACCTAAGGATTCCATCTTTGATCTTTCAGTTTCTCTCATTTTTTGAAATTCTTCATACAATCCTTGAAAATCTTTGTTTGATGATTCCATGCTACGCATTTTATCTTGATTTTCTTTATCCCATTGATTTTGGATGAATGGGGGAGTTATAAGCTGACGGGGTTGCGTAAGCATGTATCGTGGAATTGGCCTTTTCAGAGAAGGTGTTTTACGTTGGAAACCTAATGATTCTGGATTACTGAATAAAGGACCAATCAAAGAGGTTTCTTCATTACTGAAATTCTGTAGTTGTTCTTGTGACTGACGAGGTAAAACTTTCGCTGGAGTCTCTAGCGACTCTGGAGTTGGAGAGTTCAGATCAAATGCAGAAACGCTATCATTCAACGAACCATTCAAGAAAGTTTTTTTATCATTAGTTTTATCATTTAGTTTGTCCTTTTTTTTCGTATTTTTTCTTCGATCTTGATTCTTATCATTGGTTCGTTTAGAATTATTTCGATTTGGGTTATTATTATAATTATTAAATCTATTATTGTTGTTTTGATGATTCTGATTATTGTTTTGATGGTTCTGATTGTTGTTGGAAGTATTTGAATTGTGATTGTTTATAAAGACTTTTCTCTTTCTTTGATTTGGATTACCAGGCTTACCAAAGTTATTGGAACCGTTTTTACCAAACACCCCGTTATTCCCATTATTACTGTTATTGCTGGTATTGTTGTTGCTGGTGTTATTGTTCATCTTGAATTGGGAATTAGAAAAAGCCCCAGGAAAGTTCGTATTCCCACTGAAGACGGACATGGCCAGATGCAAGAATTAGTAAATAGAGGATGGGCCAGTCCTGTCGCCTCAGATAATCAGATGTTCTATTTGCAGGGGATTGTACAGAAATACGCAAAGGTGAACAGAATGCAATGTTTTAATCGAATTGGTCTATAGGTTGAAGGTCTAAACTACGATTTTTTTTTTTTTTAGTTTTGTTATTTCGAGAAAATTTATATTGGGTGTACGGGTCTTATTATGTAGTAAACTACAAAACCCAGTAGCAAGTCTTCACTTAGAGATTCTGGAGGAATATAGTGCAATTGAAGACCAGATTCTAATGTTTGTTCGAGGAACAGTTCGATCACTGACTGGTCTCGCAACTGAATACCAATAAGAAGTCCATTTGTGTTGTTCATTGATTGTTGGCACGCATCAAGGAACGGCTGGATTAAAAATTCATTATAAATAGTATCACAAGCAATTAACATATCGGGGACACGATCGTTTACATTATTATAGTTGGACAAGCCTTGCATGGGGTGTTCCCAGTCGTACTCAATAATATCGATTTTAGGATGGGTTTTATTTGAATTGTCCGTGGATATAGTTTCGCTGGAAAACTTATTCGTGGGGACATTATTTGAAAAATTCTCTTTCAAGAGCTTTAGGATATGTTTTTGATCAGAGGCAACGTAGTTTTTAACCCTAGGTCCGAGGAGTGATACTGCAACCCCCGATACTCCAGCACCCATTTCCAATATCGATAAATCTTGTTTTTCAGCAAAAGATTTATAGAAGGGACATTTTGGATCGGTGAGTATCCAGTCGACTAGAAACGACGATGTCTGCCAGCATACAAATCCAGTGGAAGATGCCTGGGTATTAGAAGAAAGCGAAGTTAAAGACTGTTTAATAGTCAAGTCGTTATCAGCACAGCTGATGTTGATTGTTGTCTTTGACTTATTTATGTAGCCAAGGTGTTGGTCATCTCGGGGTTTGTGGTTGGTGTAAAGGTCATAGACATGTTCGTAGATGATATCATCTGTTATTTGATCAAACAACCCAACATCGATCAAGCCATTCATCTTGATGAATCAATAGACTCCGAAGATTTGATTGCCGCAATTTTTTTCTCCACCGTTTTTTTTTCTTTTGCGATGGTCACAAGACTACATGAAAAAGATATGTTTCTATATATTGATATGATTTATTATGTAATATTATATTTATAATATAGTTGAAAGCGTTTAAAGAACGTTTTTGGCTTTTAAGATTTCGGCAATTAATATACCTGCACCAGCAGCACCAATGACGGTGTTGTGAGAAAGAACAACCATTTTGAAATCCAATACAGGGTCTTCTCTAACTCTACCAACAGAAACCCCGTAACCGGCGTCTCTATCTCTGTCTAATCTTGGTTGAGGTCTATCGGCTTGTTCCAAGACATGGATGGTTTGTTTTGGAGCAGAGTGACAGCCTAAATTGAAAGCATCACATTTGTAATCAGATAAAGCTTTTTTAACTTGATCTAAAGAAGGAGCAGGTCTATTAGCAAATCTTAAAGAGATACATTCAGTATGACCATCGCTAACGGCGACACGATTACATTGAGCACTAACTTTCATTGAATCTTCGTTAAGAGGTTCAAATTCATTACCTTCTTTATTAATGTTACCCAAGATTTTTCTAGTTTCCCATTCCATTTTATCTTCTTCACCACTAATATAAGGAATGATATTATCTAAAACATCCATCCCGGGAACCCCTGGAGAAAACCCAGCACCAGAAATGGCTTGTAAAGTGGTAGCAGTCAAAGCATCAATTGGACCAAATTGTTCAACCAAAGGCTTTAATGGAGCAACTAAACCAGCAGTTGAACAATTTGAAATACAAATAACAAAACCAGGTTTTGGTTTACCTTGATCGGCAGCATCTTTGATTTTTTTTTCAACAACTGATAAATGTTCAGGATTAACAATTGGAACAATCAATGGAACATCAGGAGTTCTTCTATAGTTTTTAGCATTTGAAATAACGATTTTCCCAGCATCAACAAATGCTTTTTCAACTTCACCAGCAACATCGGAATCTAAACCAGAGAAAACAACATCAACATCGGCAAATCTACCTTCTGGCTTACATTCTTCCACTGGGAGACCTTTAGCAAAGTCTGGTAAAAGAGCAGTTTGTTTCCAAGTAACTGCATCTTTATATTCTTTACCAGCTGAACGAGAAGATGCACCTAAAGCATAAAGTTCGAAATCTGGATGATCTTGCAACAAAAGAATAAAACGTTGACCAACAGAACCAGTGGCTCCTAAAACACCCGCTTTAACCATCTTTGTATGTAGAGAAGTAATTGGCAGTAGTACTAGTATTCGATCTTTTTCATGATTTTTCACTTGAGAAAAACCTCCGATCTTTGGAATTTGCACTAAGAAAAAGAAACAAAAACGAGAATGACTCAATCGGATTTTTGGTGTGCGGGTGTTATATGTGGTGTGCGGGTGTTTCTCCTGGGGTGGACGCGTTGAAGACTTTTTCTTCACTAAATTGAAAAAGACACCAGGAGGAAGCAAAGGCCATAGAGTATCAGAGAACAGATAAACACGATGGTTAATACTGACTTTGAGAAGATATACCTTAATCAATCGCGTTTTAATGGGCGTATGCGTATTGCCGATAGTGGGCTTGGATGGAAAGTTAGTTCTAATGTGAATGCAAATACCAATAGTGCTCCATTTTTATTACCACTGGAAGAAATATTGACATCAGCATGGTCTCGTGGTAGTCGAGGATACGAATTAAGGGTGCAGACCAAGAATCAAGGGGTTATCTCGTTAGATGGATTTGATGTTGAAGATTTTAGTAAGTTGAAACAAGAATTACAAAGAAATTTTCATATTACCTTAGAACATAAAGAACATAGTTTAAGAGGATGGAATTGGGGTAAAACTGATTTGGCAAGAAATGAATTGATTTTCCAAGTGAACAATAAACCAGCATTTGAATTACCATATAATGATATCAGTAACTCAAATTTGACTGGTAAAAACGAAGTTGCAGTTGAATTTAATTTAGATAATGGCCAAAAAACAGGAGATGAAGTTGTTGAAATGAGATTTTATATACCAGGAGTTATTGAAAATGAAACAGAGAATATGGTTAAAGATGAAGAAGATGGAGAAATGAAGCAAGAAATAGAAGAAGTTAACGCTGCAAATGTATTTTATGAACAATTAAAAGATAAAGCTGATATTGGACAAATTGCCGGTGAAGCAATTGTATCATTCAGTGATGTATTATTCTTAACTCCAAGAGGTCGTTACGATATTGATATGTATCCAACTTCTTTAAGATTACGTGGTAAAACATATGATTATAAAATTCAATATAAACAAATTGAAAGGATTTTTTCATTACCAAAACCGGATGAATCACATCATTTAATTGTTTTACAAATCGATCCTCCTTTAAGACAAGGTCAAACCCGTTATCCATTTTTAGTTTTACAATTTGTTCGTGAAGAAGAAATTGAATTAGAATTAAATGTTTCTGAAGAAGAATATAATTCAAAATATAAAGATCGTTTGAAGAAAAACTATGATTCTCAAGCTCATTTAGTTATGTCTCATTGTTTCAAAGGTTTGACTGAACGTAAATTGGTTACACCTGGAAGTTTTACTTCTCGTTTCTTACAACCAGGTATTTCTTGTTCTTTGAAAGCTTCTGAAGGTTATTTATATCCTTTAGATAGATGCTTTTTATTTGTCACCAAACCAACAGTTTATATTCCGTTTTCGGAAGTCAGTTCCATAACAATGTCAAGAACTGGTACTGGTGTTTCTGCTTCCCGTACTTTTGATTTAGAAATTAACTTGAGAGGTAATAATCAATCTCATATTTTTGGTAGTATTGATCGTGAAGAACAAGAATCAATTGAAAATTTCTGTCAATCAAAAGGTCTTAGAATTAAAAACGAAGAAAAAGTTGCTAAGGCAATGTTGGCTAAAGCTATTAATGAAGCTGATGATGATGATGATGATGGCGATGTTGATATGGGTAGTGCTGGTGATGATGAACTGGAAGATGATGGCGATTTCCAAAGTGGTTCTGATTCAGACGTGGCTGAAGAATTCGATTCGGATGCCCCCGCTGAAAGTGATTCTGAAAGCGGTGGTGATGATAGACCTCCAAAAAAGAAGTCGAAAAATTAATCTGTAATATAATACATTGTGCTTTACTTATTCTCTCTTTTTCTTTTCTTGCAAATGTAGGGTCTTACAACCGTTCAACTTACTTAGACGGGCATCCTCATCGATGCCATTGTATCCGATCTACTGGCGATTGGCTCTTCTACCGATTAAGAATCACAATAGTGAAAAATATATCATCTTCCATCAGCCAGCCTCCGGAAAATAAAAAAATTGTCCCAGTGCGGGTTCGACCCCAGCAATCGGTTTTCTCACTGAAGATGTACGAGACACAATTGGCCCTTATACTGTACTTGTGTGTATGGCTATGATGAAGGGTTTGGAAAAAGAATCTTACTGCTGAAGCTCATAGCGTCATCAGAGTGTTACCAGAGAATCTTATCTAAGAGAAAGGAAAAAAACAGTGTAAAAGAAAAAAAAAAAACATAAATGAAGGGGTTGCTGCANAAAAAAAACATAAATGAAGGGGTTGCTGCACTGCTGCAATTAATCAACCTTCCGAATTTGGACGAACGCAAGAAAGAAACAGATTTAAACAATTTGAAACGCAAAGGAAACAACCATTTCAATGACATACTTATTATCCCTTGCATTAACTCATTTAGAAGGTTATCCAGCGGATTGTCTCTTGCTGAGATGAGTATATATATGAGAGAGGATGTTGGCAGTTCATGGGTTGCAACTTTTTTGTGTAGCATTACTCCCTTTTCCCCCTTTTTTTGACCCTTTAGTCTTTACATTTAGTTTTACATATATCTCATGACAGAGTACGAAAACTACGTGCTTTACCAAGATCCGGTGCAATCAGCACAAGAAAGAATGAGCCAAATAATCATTCAGCAACAATCGATTCCAGTGGAAGAGATCAAAGTTCCGCAAAGATCTCCAGCCAGATTATCGCATAACGCAATCAGTGAGTACATTAGTCAGATGAATTCAAAACTTAAGCTGTACTCACCGGACTTGACTGATGCCAGTTCGTTTGAAGACCGTAACGATGGCTCAGATAAGTCGATTTCAGAATCGATTTTTTCAACTGAATCGGTCAAACAAGAAGAACCGGCTGACGATATTGAAGACTGGGAAATGCTACTTGATGAAATCGAACTTGATGATAATGGTGATTCAAACTTGATTTTCCAAGTTGATGAAGTTGTTTCCGTAGTGGCCATTCATAATAGTACCATGAATGCCAAAAAACCACTTACTTGCGTCAATATAGTTTCGCAAATGGTTGAATAATTATGTTAACGTGTATTCTTTTCTTTTGGGTATTTATTTCTTTCGGTCTTCTCTTTCAGTGTAATATATGGCTTTTATTTGTTTGTACGGTAGTATTTGTTATAATGAAGTAAGCTTTATCTTTGATTCCGTTCGTGCTGGTACCAATCTCCATAGATGTTGCAGAGATGGTTCCAGAGATGGCCCCTACTTGGCTCCAGCTGGGGCCGGTACAGCCTTGCCTCATCCTTGCTTCATAAATGCTCCATGGATACAACATGGATGCTATATCTGGAGGTACCAACTATATGGTCCACTCTCTGAAGAGCCATATTGCAGATAACAGTTGGCCCAGTTTGTTTTTTTTCCGTAGAATAACCTTTTTCTTTTTCCATTTTTTTCAGTCTTCTCAGGATTCTGTCAAGTGCCTTCTTTCTTTCTTTCTTTCTTTCTTTCTTTCTTTCTTTCAGTATATTCTGTTCCTTCAGCGACTAATGTCTATAGGTTGAACTGTTCTATCCCCAAGTCAGTAGTTCTGTTAATATATTATCATGAGTGGAGGAGGAATCCCACTAGGGATGGTGATATACGCGGCCGTTAAGCCGATTTTCAAGATCTACTTTATTATAGCAATAGGTTTTTATTTGGCGAAAAGGAATATCTTATCCGTGCCGACATGTCGAGATATATCGGATGCAATAGTGAGTGCCATTATGCCGTGTTTGATTTTCAATAACATCGTATCAAATTTGAAATCATCCGATATCAAAAATTTGGGGATCATTTTCTTTGAAGGTACTTTACTTTTTTCGTTAGGATTGATGTTGGCTTATATTGTATCGTTGATAACAAATTGTCCTAAAAGATGGTTAGGTGGATTACTTTCGGTTGGCTTATTTCCTAATATTAGTGATTTGCCCATTGCTTATATGCAAACACTTTCAAAGGGAGGAAGAATATTCAGTGCTACTGAAGGTGATAAAGGAGTTGCATATGTTTGTATCTTTTTGGCGTCACAAGTTTTCTATCAATTTAGTTTAGGATTATATCAGTTGGTTGAATGGGATTTCAGAGATGAAATTAAAGGTGAAAATTATAACGATGACGAAAATCAAAACTCTTCCTTAACTGAAAAAGAATCAAATCAGAATAATAGCACCACCCCCAATGAAGAAGATGATGAGCAAACTTCAATCAGCTCAAGTGAACTGAATCAACAGCCCAATCCAGTGAATATAGAAAAGACAGAGTCTCCTCCAGCTAATGATTTAGAAAATAGTCAACATCGAGCATTTTTAAGACAACATGAATTATTAAAGAATAATTCAAACCCAAGATCTTCTATTTCCATGAACAGTGGGGAATCCATCAGTTCTCATAGTTCTCAACCTCAACCCCAAGCACAAACCCATACTTCGAGCCGTCGTCGTAATAGTCAAACTTCTTCAAACACTAATTATTACTCTTTAAACCCAGTCAATTCAAGAGCAGTTGACTTGAGAACTCAAAAATCTCAAGACATTCAAGACGTTATTAATGAATACTCTGAATTCGAAAGATTGCGTACCAATCAAGTCAGACAAAACGTCACTGGTACCAGCGACGTTGGCATCGAACCAATTGATTTGGTAAATGATTCACAGAGCTTACAATCGAGTCATCTTGAAACAAAAGGTGCTAAATTCAAAAGACACGCTATCAGAGTGTTGAAAAACTTTGCAGCACCTAATTCTGCATCCTTAATTATCTCAATTATCATTGCCATGGCTCCTCCTTTGAAAGCCTTATTTGTTCCAAGTAATCAAGTCCATATTCACCCTGCTCCCGATGAACAACCTCCATTATCATTCATAATCGACTTAACTTCTTATGTTGGTAATGCTTCAGTTCCCTTGGGTTTGTTACTATTGGGAGCTACAATTTCAAGATTGAAAGTTCGTGCAATGCCTCCAGGTTTTTGGAAAACTGCCCTTGCCATCACTGCCACTAGATTAATCATCTTACCAATCATTGGAGTAGGCTTGACCACCGGTTTTTACAAAGGTGGTTGGTTTGGTGACGACCACTTGGTCAGATTCATTAGTGTTTTGGAATTCGGCTTACCTAACGCCACTGCTCTTGTTTACTTCACTGCATTCTACACTGACCCCCATCTGGATGATCATTTACAAATGGACTGTTTAGCAGTTTGTTTGATTTGTCAGTATTTGATCCTTTGGATCACCTTACCTTTTTTGGTTACCTTTACTCTAAAAGTTTCAATAGGCTTATAACTTTTATATACTAATCTAATTGACCTTCTTAATGCATTTCAATCAATCGTACCATCAACTAACTGTATAATGTACTACGACACCCATACACCAGTAGTTAATGAGTTGCTGCTAATAAGGAGGAAAAGTGGTGTGCATATAATCCGAGCTTGCTGTCGTTTGAATTTATATGATCGATTTCATTCTTTCGCAAAGCCATTTGGTGAAATTCAACATATTTCATACTTATTTTCAGTCAATTGACTCTTAACTACTTTTCTTCTGTTTCTAAGTTAGTATTAACTTAAACAATTGATCAAATTATACAGTTTAAAGGAACAAAACCACTCAATTAACCATGGCTTTATATTACAATTTAGTCTTTGGCTTACTAGTCATCGAAATGTCATTTTTCACTATTTTATCTTTACCCTTTCCAAGAACTGTAAGAAGAAAAGTTCTCTCAACAGCTTCTGCTCCATTCAAAAATGAAAAAGTTCTTATTGCAATTCGATGTATCTTTGGATTTGTATTGGTACTTTTCATTGATTCCATAAATCGTGTCTATTCCGTAACTTCTGAATTGCATGCATCATCTCCAGCAAATCAACAAGGACATATGCCTCCAGTCAGTGGTATAATGAATGATAGATCTGAAGTTCAAGCTAGAAGATTTTATGCTCAAAGAAATATGTACTTGTGTGGTTTTACTTTATTCTTGCACATGATTTTAACCAGAACTTATTCATTAGTTGCTGAATTACTTGTTACTAAAGATAAATTAGATAACTTGAAAGCAAATGAAGACTTAGATGCTAAAACTAAGGTTGTCACTGAAGAAGACACCCAAGAATTGGCCTCTTTAAAGAAAGAATTGGCCTCTAAAGATGAAGATTTAACTATTTTGAAAGAACAAGCTGAGCATTTATCCAATGAATACGATGCTACATCTTCAAGTGTCAAATCCAGAAAGTAATCTGACTCTTTCTTTCCTCTTACATGCGTTAGAAGTTTATTTTTCAATTTTTGTATCCAAATATATGTCTATAACTAAAATACACTGTAAAATTATTCATAAGAATTACTTTTATGTTTAGGAATGAATTGGAAGTTATCACCAGCTTTACCTAAGAACATTTCACTAATTTTAATCCAATCTTTATAATTATCAGAACCTAATAAAGTTTCTAAATCATCTCTACCTTTCCATTGAGGAGGTCTTTGATTTAATTTTGCTGGTAATTTCTCTAAGATACCAACCGGGATATATCTGTGAGTAAAACTCATAAATTCACATAAAAATCTTCTAGCTAATGCAACCCCATATTCATCAGAACCCCAATGTTCTAAAGCGAAATTAGAATAATTTCTCAAAATTTCTAATCTTTCTTTAGAAGACTTATCTAAATATTGTTGACTTTCAACTTCTTCAAAAATCCAGGGTTTAATTAAAGCACCTCTTGCAACCATAACTGAGTCAATTCCATCAGTATTGACTGCATTATGCCAATCTTCAAAATTGTAAACATCACCATTACCAATAAAATTAGTTCTTTGGATATCGCTACGTTCTTTATCATCCTCCTTTTTATTATTCCAATCTTGAACAACTTTACCAACTTCACCAATATAATCCCAATTAGCTTGTTTAGTATAACGTTGTTGTCTTGAACGACCATGTAAAGTAATTGCTGCAGTATCACCTTCAGATAAAACTCTTTCTACTAAAGCTTTAGCGGTATTTTTATTATCACGAGTACCAGTTCTTATTTTTAAAGTAACTGGAATATCACCAGAAGAAGCATTCATACTTTTCAAGATTCTAACTAATTTAGTTGGTTGATCCATTAAAGCTGAACCTTGACCTTGTTTATACAAAAGATCAATTGGACAACCAGAATTTAAATTAAGTTCAGAAACATGAGTTGTTTCTCTTGAAATAATTTCTGCAACTTTTGCACTTGCAGAGTATTGATTAGTTGCAATTTGAATACCAAAACCAGGATATTCAGAAACATGAGCTTTTGGTAAAGCCCATTCAGCGTTAGTACCTTGCATAAGAGGAGTGGCTAAAGCCATTTCACAGTAAGTAACATCAGCACCTAAAGTCTTCATAAGACGACGATAAGGTAAATTACCAACTGTTGTTAAGGGAGAGACAATTTTAGCCCCTCTTAAATCCAATTTCTTCTTTTCAGAAATTTTAAAAGGTTGTTCAATATAAGAAGCCATTTTTTCTTTTGTTTCATCTTGAGTTGAGCTTGAATCAATTTCCCCCATTGATGCACCGTTTTGAGAAGCAGTAATATTTTTTTGAATATCGAGTTCTTTGATAATTTCTTTTGATACTCCTAATTCATATCTATTTCTTTGTAATGCAAATCTCAGTTCTTGTTTTAATTTATTGACTTCATAATTTGATTCTTTTGATTTTGTCATTAAATCTAAATCTTTAATTAATTTTTTGGTTTCATGATTATAATGAGATTTTAACCATCTACATTTTAATCCAGATGGACAATAACCAATGGCTTCGAAAACTGGACAAGTTCCTTCATTATCTTCAGGTTTTTGAGCAAGATACTCTTCGATATTATGAGTGTTACGACATTTTTCCTTAGTACATTCATTTGAATCTTCCGGATCAATCAATACTGGGCATAATCTGATTTCTTCTTTATTTTGTTTAACTTCACGGTTTTTGTTTTGGCCCTTCTTCTTATTCTTTCTCTTGGATTTATGATCATCGTTATTTCTTTCTCCAGTTTCTGCTTCATCGTCGTTATAAGACGCAGACTTGCTTACATCTACTGATACGATGAATTCGGGCTTTATTGGAGCCATACCTTTGGCAAAATGATCGTGTTTTTCTTCGACATGTTGTTTTTTGGCTTCTGGTACTTCGAACTGGGCGTCTTGCGGCCTTTTGGTTTCAACTGCTTCAGTCATTCTGCTCTAGTTAAATAATAAGCTCTCTTCTTATGTCCTCATATAATTTTTTTTCAATTTCCTCATCACAAATTTTTCTTTTTTTTTTTTGTTTTTTTAGTGCAAAAAATTCCTTCATAAACTCCAGACACCGATTTATGAAGTTTACCAAACTGGGGAAACTTATAGTGTAAACTGAAAACATACTAGTTGAACTGATTCGAAGTGAAACCTGGAATGGAATTTTGGTTTGTTTAATCTTTTTTTGTTTTGGTTGATATTTTTCTATTTTATTGCAACTTTTCCTACTTTTTTTCAAAATTCCCATATATTGGGAATATTCACTAACCTTTAATTTTTTTTAACATGTCTTCTTGCGTTTAACCATACTAAGAGTATTATATAAGCCTATACACCTACACAGAGGTAGCTATAACCAGATTACACCGATAAGCTACACCCCAGCACATTATATAACTTATATAAGAAATCTCATATGGAAATTTCATACCTCAGCCCCATATGGATATCCTAGATAACAACTCCATGAGCCTATATAACAACTCCATGAGCCTATATAACAACTATAGTAACCCTACATAACAACTCTAATAGTAATAAACATTCAAACTTGACGGAAGTAAAATATTTGTTGCATTACCGAATTGGTGCATCTCGCAAAAAAAAAGGTTTACAAAGTCCCCTACAACAACAGTTAAAACAGAGACAGTGGTGTAGTTCTCAGTGCTGATAGTTCACAAAGAGTTTATATGGTACTTCGTAGGTGAATAGCATCCAATTAGTTTCATTTTGTAGTTATTAGGTTTTTGACAAAGATTAGGAATATGTTTTTGAGTGATTGCATTGCTTTTGACCGTTTTTTCGGTATTTATAAGTGGTTCTTAGTTAAGGCACTTGGGTTTCAAATGGCTGCTCCATGAAGATACATTGTCAGGTATGTAGATTTACATATGTATTCCTAGCACAATTTCGCTATGCTTTTTAAGTGTTAAAGATCGGGTGTTAGGGATTGGGTGTTGTGATCTGTTGTGGTATTCGCAAGGGTTAGCGTAAGCCTTCGTATTCAGGGTGAGTTTTCGTAAGAAGAGGCAAACTCAGGTTCACCGTTTCCACTATCTATGGTTCAGGTACTGGTAGTGTTTAGCTTAGTGAATCAACGAGATGAGTGGATGGGGTTTGTGTGCAGGATTTCGAAAGAAAGCACTGAAAAAAAAAAAAAAAAAAAAAATCAAAATTTGAAAATTTAAGAAGAGCAGACTTCATCACCATCAAGACACCGTCAAGAGCAAAACAAATATGGTTGAAGCAGAAAAAAGAAGAAAGCTCGAGAATGTGTCTAAGAAGACAGTGAGACCATCCAAAATCTTCAGTCCGTTCCGGGTTCTTGGTAATGTTTCCAACGAAATCCCATTTGCTTTGGGGACTCTAGGATCAACTTTTTATATGGTTACTTCGGTCGGACGTTCGTTTCAAATCTATGATGCAGCAACATTGCACTTACTTTTCGTATCGCAATCACAAACCGCTTCCAAGATCACTTGTTTGGCTGCTCATTACCATTATGTATACGCTGCCTATGCCAATAAAATTGGTATATATAAAAGAGGCCGTTTGGTTCATACGTTAGAATGTGAATCTGCAAATGCCACCATTCATAACATGTTAATATTTGGTGAGTATCTCATTGTCACTTCTTCAAATGGAGAGATTTCCATTTTCAAAAAACCAAATAACTCAAAATTTCCAACTGAGTTATATACTACTTTGAAAAATATTAATGTTCAATTAGATGGTGAAATAATTGGTTTGGTTCATCCTGCAACTTATTTAAACAAAATCGTGGTGGCCACCACTTCAAGTATTTACTTGTTTAATGTTCGTACCGGGAAATTATTATTCAAATCTCCCGATCAACAATTCATGGAAAATATCTCTTCAATAGAAGCAGCTCCAGTTTTAGATATTATTGCTATTGGTACTGCGGTTGGTAATATTTTCATTTACGATATTAAAAAGGCTAAAATCTTGGGTAATAAAATCGTGGCTTCTCCTCAAGATATTGGTGCTCGTGTCACTTCAATCTCTTTTAGAACTGATGGCTCCCCCCATTTGGTGGCTGGATTAAACACTGGTGATTTATTCTTCTACGATTTAGCAAGAAAAGCTCGTGTCCATAACTTAAGAAATGCTCATAGAGAAGCTCATGGTGGGGTTGCTAATGTAAAATTCTTAAATGGTCAACCGATAGTGGTAACTAATGGTGGTGATAATCATTTGAAAGAGTATGTTTTCGACCCAGCATTATCAACGACAAATTCTTCCATTTCGTCTCCTCCCCGTCATTTAAGATCTAGAGGTGGTCATTCTGCTCCTCCGGTAGCTATTGAATTTCCTCATGAAGAAAAATCTCACTTTGTTTTATCAGCATCAAGAGATAAAACATTTTGGTCCTTTTCATTAAGAAAAGATGCTCAGGCTCAAGAACTTTCACAAAGAAGTAAAAAAAATAATGATAAAAAGAGGAAAGGTGGTCCAGTGGCTGGTGTAAACGAAAAATTCCCAGAAATTAATAGTATTGCTTCTTCTCAAGCTCGTGAAGGTGAATGGGAAAATGTTCTTACTGCCCATAAAGATGAAACTTTTGCTAGAACTTGGGATTCTAAAAATAAAAGAGTCGGTCGTTATCAATTAAATACCGTTGATGGTGGGTTTGCTAAAAGTGTTTGTGTTTCTCACTGTGGTAACTTTGGTTTAGTAGGTTCTTCAAATGGTGGTATTGGTTCTTTTAATTTACAATCCGGTCTATTACGTAAAAAATATATCTTACATAAGAAAGCTGTCACCGGCTTAGCTATGGACGGTATGAATCATAAAATGGTAAGTTGTGGTCTTGATGGTATAGTTGGGTTTTATGATTTTTCTGGTCTGAAATATTTAGGTAAATTACAACTAGATGCTCCTATAACTTCAATGATTTATCATAAGTCTTCTGACTTGATTGCTTGTGCTTTAGATGATTTAACAATAGTGGCCATTGATGTCACTACTCAAAAAGTCGTCAGAGTTCTTTTCGGTCATACAAACCGTATTACTGATATGGATTTTTCTCCTGATGGTAGATGGATTGTTAGTGCTGCATTAGATGGTACCTTAAGAACTTGGGATTTACCTACTGGTGGATGTATTGATGGGGTAAGATTACCTAATGTTGCAACTACCGTCAAGTTTTCTCCAATTGGTGATATGTTAGCTACCACTCATGTTTCAGGAAATGGGATTTCATTATGGACTAATAGAGCTCAATTTAAACCTATATCTACTAGACACGTTGAAGAAGAAGAGTTCTCAAATATTTTATTACCTAACACTTCAGGAGATGGTGGCTCTACCATATTGGATGGTGCTCTAGATACCGATGAACAAGACTTCGATATCAACCAAACTTACACCACTCTTGACCAAATAGATGAATCCTTGGTGACTTTATCGTTGGGCTCAAGAACCAAATACAATACCATTTTGCATTTAGATATAATCAAACAACGTAATAAACCAAGTGAGGCTCCTAAAAAGGCAAAACAAACTCCATTCTTCTTATCTTTAAAAGGTGAAGCAGTTGGGGACAGAGCATCAGTGGCAGAAGGTAAAGTTTCTAATAATGATCCAACTAATGAAGAAGATGATTCAGAAAGTAGATTACTCAAATTAAGAAATGGCGACAGTCATAATTTTGAGTCCGAATTCACAAAACTTTTAAGAAAGGGCAGTGACAAGAGAGATTATACTGACTTTTTGAATTTCTTAGTCAACGCTTCTCCTTCCATCATTGACCTCGAAGTTCGCTCTTTGAATTCCTTCCCACCATTAACCGAAATGGCAACCTTCATTGAAGCATTATCTCAAGGCTTAAATACCAACACCAACTACGATATCTACCAGGCTATTTTCTCCTTATTCTTAAAGAATCATGGTGATGTTGTCCAAAATTTCCCTAATGAAACAAGATTACAAGAAGCTTTACAAGAATGGAGTGAATTAGATAATAAAGAAAAACTAGACGATTTGGTTAAGTACTGTTCTGGAGTAACAAGCTTCTTAACTACTGTATAATTTACGTATCAGGTTAATAGATCTTTCAAGTTGCAACCTTTCGTTTTGTAGAAGTATTGAACGAAAAAAAAGTCATTAATCTTTGAGAAGGGAGAAATGAAAAAAAAAAAAATATATAGAAAAAAATTAAGACATTGAGAGGAATAGTTCACAAATTACCAATTGCAAAGTATAGACATAGCATGAACATTGATATTATTAAGCCATTCAATAGGCTAGATATATCATCTTCGAGCTCGAAGGTGAGCTCTCTACATTTTGCTCACAGCAAGTTATATGTGGGCTATTATAACGGTGATCTTTCCGTTCATTTGGCAGGAAACGGTCAGGCTAATAGAAAAATTCAAAGGAGTTTGAATCCACAGAAATCATTCAATGAAGTCAAAGGGTTATTCAATGATAATAACCACTCACAATTGTTTTCATTAGAGTCCAAATTTAGCAATGTGACCGAGAATGGATCCTCAATCGATTCCATATCAGTGTTGCCTCTTGCAAATGATAGCAGCAAGACGATCTTGGCCATTGGAAGCGCTGGAGTACTTAGAATTGTGGAAGCAGTTGGAAGACGTATCCACACCATAATGATGTTCGATGAAGCCAAATCATATGTGGGATATGAGTATCTAAGTGACCAACAGAAGTTTATTATTGCTGCAAAGAAGAAAGTTTTGGTTTATGATGTGGTCCAAAAATCACGGAATATAACTCACTTTAATAAAATAAAGGAATTGAGTCTTAAGGATAAAGTCAAGGCTATTGGTATTATACCCAATCAAGAAATTTTAATTGCATCTGTATACGATTTTGTTCTCCTAGATATTGAAACATTTGGTTTAAAATCTTTACCAGTTGATGAATCTAGCTTGTACAATTTTAATCACAGCACTTCTTTCAGCTACTTTGGTATTTCTTACTCGGGCCCACAAACCCAGATCATTAATATCAGCTCAAATAAAACTCTTCTCATCAAGGATACGCAGGTCGTATCCTTGATTACCAAGGATGGAAGTCCATGCATAATTGAGCAAAGTCCAATTAAGTTTTCAACAATACCTATCCGCATATCTTTTATCAAACCATTATATCTTGTATTGATTTATCCCAAAAAAATCGATATAATCGATATAAAAACAGGAGATTTAATTCAAAGATTTCATCAACAAATTAATTCAAATTCCATTTTCACTACAATAGATTCTGATAATTTTATTATGGGATCAGGAACTGATATATTGATATTTAAAGTTTTAGATTTGAAGAATCAAATCCATCAATACTTAAGTATTAGGGGAGCGGGGTCACATAGTAAGAACACAATAGATCCTAAGAATGATTTAAGGTTGATTGGATTAGAAAAAGCCATTAGTTTAGTTTCTTTGGAAAATGACAAGGAAGAAGATCAAAAAAATAAATTGTTATACATTCGAACATTCTACATTACAAAGGCCAAGATTTTGTTTGAGTCATACTCGAAATATCACGAGTCTCTTGTTGATATAAGTTCGGAATGGCTCATTCCTTATGATGAGATTCTTCCTTTATTTCCAGATTTTTTAAATGGAGAAAAATATAATCCTAACGATGCCATGACAATAAATAGTGTTGACTCGGGAAGGTCCATTTCACCTAACATTGTGAAGAGAATACTGGTATCAGATATTGAAGGTAATAAACACAATAATTCTACTGATTCTGGAACAGAGAATGAAGCCAATAGCAAAATTAGCACACCTTCATCACCTTCATCTAAACCGCAACAACAGATGAATTTACAGCACAAATCTCAGCATATGCGTAAGTTCAGTAAAGCATTGAATAATTTGATTGTATATCTCACCGACCAAAGAAGAATTCATGCCAATTTCTTAGACAATCGTGATTTGGAATGGAAAGGAGTTAAAGTCAATCCAGTCGATATTTATCCAATATTAGAGAATGCTCAAGATAAGAAGCAGCTAAATTCACAACTCCGTCAAATTGCCACCACAATTGATACATCATTGTTCCTTTGTTATTATTATATGAAACCAATGTTGTTGGGACCACTTTTAAGATTACCAAATAATAATTGTAATGCTAGAATTGTGAATGAATGTTTATTATCAGATTTACATAAACACACTGACCAGCTGCAAAATTTTTTGAAAGAATTATTAGACTTTTATTTTGGAAGAAAATTACATAAAGATGCATTAGAAATGTTATACAAATTGGCCCACGAAGAGAAAAAAGACGACCATGAATTTGATCGATTTATTGGCGGAGTTGATTTGACCATACAATATCTTAATAAATTGGGGAACGAACATTTAGACTTGATTTTCAAATTTGCCCATTGGGTAATCACTGAAGAAACAGATGACATTAAACATGGGGAACTTCTTTTCATGAACGATCTGTATGAGTGTGAAAGTTATAATAATACCAAAGTGCTTGATTATTTTATCTCAGTAATCAAAAGCGATGAGTTAGCAATTAGGTATTTAGAATGGTTATTATTCGAAAGTGATGTTTTCGATGGCAAGCAGCATCTGAAATTTTACACTAGACTTTGTTTACTTTATTTGAAGAAATTAAAAGAAGGTGCTGATAAATGGTATCCCAAATTATATAATTTTTTGGAAACCAGTACTTCATATGAACCGTGGACAGTACTTAAAAACATTCCTACCAGTGAAGACAGATATCTTAGGCTTACAATTTTTATTTATAAAAGATTAGGAGAACATGATAAATCGATTGATGTGTTATTCAACCAATTAGATGATTTAGATGCTGCTATGACCTATTGTTCCGATATTTATTATCAACCACATAACAAAACCACCGGAGAGAACTTATTACATAAACTAATGGAAGACCTATTGATTCATTATGATGAAAATTTAGATAAAATTGAAAAATTATTAATCCTGCAAGGATCTAAAATGTCTATTTTACGAATCTTGACTTCATTGCCCAATTCATTCCCAATGAACAAGTTATCAATATTCTTACAGGCAAATTTACGAAATATTCAAGAACTGTTGCACGATAGTCGATTAGCACAACAATTATACAAAGTAGGATCCCAGAAAACTCGACATAAACTACTCACCAAACAAAGCGAAGGATACCCGGTTCAAAATGCAAGACAATTATGTGGGATTTGTAATAAGAAGCTCGGGTACACGGTCTTGAGTATTGATAAGAACAACCAGGTGGTTCATTATGGATGTTTTCAAAGAGAACGTGCTGGGACTGATCCGAGAAGAAAGAGCCACACATGAAACATCAATTGCTAGACGTGGTTACTCAGTGACGTACCAGTGAGTCATTCATACAATTATATATAGCTAACTAGAAAAGTAAGACGTACGAGTTCAAAGTAGTGTATTGTTCGTGGGGTAAGTAAAGGAGCGCAATTGAACGATGGCAGTTTTTTCAAGTTCAGTTTTTTCCCTCGAAGAAAAAAATCACATCAATTCCATGAAGAGCTTATCAATTGAGTCTACCATTATATATAGTGATTGGTTGGAATCGAGTTAATAATGAATGCGTCTACTTCGGAACAGCAACAGGCAGGAAATGGAGGTGAACAGCTCCAATCACCACCACAGCTGAAACAAGAACAATCAGTCGATGAGTTGGATTCGCTAGCGGACACTGGAGATAATAAACCGTTAGACACCAAGTCACCGGGCGACACGCAGCCATCACAACAAGCACAACCCCATGCCCACCATCATCACCATCATCACCACCATGGATCACGTCGTCCAAGTAATGCCACCAGTAAACACCTGCACATTCACCGGGGAGGACATATAGTTCAAGTGCACGGACATCCACACCATAACCACCACCATCACCACCACCACCACCGTCACCAGGCTATTGGGAGCAAGAAGAACACAATTTCCAAAAGACTAAATAAAGTGCAACTTGATAAATTACCCATTCTTGAAATATTAAGTACTTATTTCCCGGAGCGCAAATTTCTCGGAGGTCTTATATACAATAGCACCACCAGTTGGTCGAACATTCAATTGAAATCGTTGATTGGGTTGAAGCCGCAATATTTGAATCGGTTAGAGGAAATCAAGCAAAATTTTCTAGATAGAGTAGAGGAGGAAGGACAGAATCTAACCATCAAATACATACTGGTTATTCCACCGTTGAATAACGAGTACATCAACCATTTGATTGAGGTTCGAATTCCATACAGATATATCAAGATATTTCGAGAGCAATTCGAAGAAGTCCACCAAGTAAAGAGACAATTATGGGGAGGTGGTTCAGGAATATACCTGGATGACCTGGATCTTCTAGCCGTGTTGGCCCACCAGGGTCTATTTGATAACAATATAAACTTGAGTGAATGGAATGCAGCCTGGCAGCAAAACGATTTAATAATACCCCCAAACTTGGTCTATGATGAAGAGTTGAAAATCTATAACGGGGATTTGAATGTCAGTATCTTACTATTACCGGGCTTACCCAACTACAAAGGTTATACCCAAAACGGAATCAACTCCAGATCGTGGCTGCCATCAAACAAAAACCAAATCCATTCCAGGCTTTCCTATTGCGTATTCGATATCAAATGGGAACAATCCGGAAGCTATCTCAAAGATTACAAGTATCGACATTTAGTGGAAGAAGAATTACAGAATGACTTGAAACTAATTGAAAATAACTTACTCACAGAGAAAGGATGGCAGTTCAACCTCGACTACTACAAAAAACTAAAGCAAAAGTTTGACAACTTACAACCTTCAAAAGATTAATTTGTTTGTATTGTATATTTGTATCTCAATATATTTATCTATGCGCATACAAAATGTACACCTTGAAAATTAATGGGGCGGCTAATCTAATACACTTCTACTACTTCTTCTTCTTGTTCATCCACAGGTGGTTCTTCCTTTAGCCTTCTTTCGTTTGTATTCGTCCGACCATCGCAGTCGCTGACTTAACTTATCTACGTTGTCCGAGTCGCCGTTTCCCTAAACATCTTGTGAGCAGTTATCGCCCCACAATTACCACCTTACTGGATCTCAACTACACACTTGACTAATCCAGGGCTTATCGTGCAGCTTGGTCACATACTTGCCGCTTACCGCCCTACTCATCCAGAAGAGCTTCTTTGTCGGTGGAGTAGAATGCTATTTTTGACCATCTAAGTCTGCCAAAAGATTACTCTAATTCCATTAGATTAAGTTTTGTTGGTTATTTCTGGCCCTTTTGCCTTCTCTTGCACTATTGTTTCTCAGCCGGTGTTTTAAGCTCGGTAGTTCTTGTCGCTTGCTGTTGATAAAGAATCAACCTTGCTAATATTGATATCACAAAATACTTGATTACGTTCAGTTAAATCTAGTCGAGTTTGGCCTTTTACTTTGCTACGGTCTTTGCTACGGTCTTTGATTTAAAGTTTCTAGTGGCCCCCCTCCTCTGGACTTGACTTCCCCAAACCGGTACCTTTTTCCAAAAGAACTCTTTTTTTCTGTTGAACACTGTTCTTTTATTGGTTTTTTTTTTTTTTTTTTTTTTTTTTTTTTTTTTTTTTTTTTTTTTTTTTTTTTTTTTTTTTTCTTTTGTTACTTCTTTGTGTTTTCTCTCAATATCCAGAGAGCAGAAAATTTTTATCATATTTGATTTTCTCCTGACCTTGCTTTTAACAACCACTTGCATCCATGGTTTACGATACATCGGTGAAACCACGGCCTCCGAAGAACAAGAATAGTTCAGCTTTCCATAGTCCTGGTTCAGGTGTGACCGCCATAAATAACTCAGCACCTTCATTAACGACTTCGGCATCTACTCCATATTTCCAACCAAAATCAATTTTGAGAAACTCAAGCTCAAAATCTACTAATATATCAAAATCTTCAACTAATAACATCACCCGTTCCAGCACCACGTCTTCCTCCGGCTCTAAAAAGAGACTATCATCTATTTTTAGAAAAATATCTATCGAGTGGAACTTGTTTGTTTTAAGACTAAAGTCCATTTCTGAAGAAGTCTTCGTTACTGACGAATATATTGATGACCTTTTCACTGATTGTGACCTGGATGATACTTTAGATCGTTTATCAAAAAGTTACCGTGGATTCACTCCTGCTGAAGAAAAATTCCTACAAGATTTTAAAAAGTATAAATCTCTTGAAAATCTCTATAGAGCTCATCAACGAGAATTGAGAAATACCCCCAGTATACCCCATATTCCCAATAACCCGGCCTCTTCAATGGATACTAGCACCACCGTTACAAATACTACCGAACAACGTCCCTTGCATTATAGTTTACAAGATGTCATACGGCAAAGTGCCGATAGTATATCAAGGTCAGCCGACCTCGATGATGATAATTTAAGTGATGATGACATGAGCGATGATGATAATAATGAAGAAGAAGATGATGATGAACTTTCGTTTGCAGATGTTAATGTTGTTAAATTGAGAATGGAGTATGAAAATCATTTGAAAAAATTGAATGAATTAAATGATGACTCGACTGATTCTTCGTCTAAAACTACTACTTCTGATCACGTACAACATAAAAACATCAACATTGGAGAACAGATCTGGGAGTTTCGTCGGTCCAAATGGCTTAAATCTCCTCCTTCAACTTCAAAAGAACAAACTGAGAACAAAATAAGTGAAAGATTATCTGAACAATCCATTAAGCATATTCCAAAGGACTCATATCCAAAGATTTATTCAACTTTTGTTGATAAGGGTAAAAATTTGAAAAATGATAAACGTCTTAACTTGACTGATTTAATTAAAATTATCAATGCAGGTTGGGTTCATGAAGAAAAATGGGCAAGAGCTGCTAAAGGGTTAGCATAATTAAAAAGAATAAAATATTTCATTTCATAATTCGTTAATTAATTTTATACACTAATATACACTTCAATTCTTTTATCATGTTCTGTTCTGTTTAACATTGTGTAAACAATTTTCCAATATCCTCAATTCTTGATCGATTAATTCTGATCTAGCTTGTAAATTATCAATAACTTTATAATTTTTGGTTTCTTTATCTAATTTATCATCACATTTTTGTAACTGTTTTTCTAACTGATGTTTTTGATAAATCATTTTCTCAAAATTAACCGAGATATCATAATTCAATTGCTTATCGATCTTATCATCCAATTGGTGAATTGTTGTAATCTTATCAAGTACTATACTGCAACCATTATTTGAGTTTGTCAGATTAGATTTCACGATCGAGTTGAGTGTTGTCTTCAACTGGTTCGAGAGCTGTGTGGACTCTTGCAACTTGAGTCTCTGCTGTCTTTTAGCCTGGTTCAACAAATCCCTATGATCCATGATGTGGAGTTGGAGTTGAGTGAGCTGTTGTGAGCTTTTTTTTTGTTTTTTTTTAGCTTTTTTTTTTTTGTTTTTTTAGTTCGCTCTTGATCTTTTTAAGGATAACCGATAAATCGTTTAGTCCAAAGAGGAGAAGTATCGATAATGACGGACGATACCAGTTTTTTAACCAAGGAATCGTTATTTTTGAGGTTCCCACCCACGTCGCCATCTATAACCATTACAATTGATGATTTTTTGATCAGCTTAACCCAGAAGAAACCTAATTATTTACAGCTAATTGATTACACTTATTTCTTAATAAAGGATGAACAATTAAATTTAAAACAACTATTGAAAGTTTGGGAAATAAGATTAGTCTTATTACTTTTCAATAACCAATTAACATTTGCCAAAAAGGAAGCGATCAATTTGAACAATTCATTATACCAATTTGAAAATGGGACATCTTTCCAGCCTAATCAACCCTCCTTACAAATGGAGGCAAGTCGAATGAACTCGATGAGTTCCAATAGTTCTCTCAATAGCTTATCGAAAACCGCACAGCCAATCTATCCATTGCCCAAGAATAATTCGGGGATCATCCAATACGACTTATTAATATTATTATTGAGATTAAAATCAATACCAAATCTCAATTTAGTGAACGATATATATAAATTGAGTTATCAAATGAGATTAGGAGCCACCGCCAAAGACGATGGCCAACTCATGATCAAGTTAATAAACCTAAGTTATGAAATTATAGTGGCATTATCTATAACCAAGAATTATATTAGTTTAATTCAATTTTTAAAATCATTGAGGTACGATTTGCAAGGTCAAAAAACCCAGCTATACGAAAAGTACTATTCAAATATAACTTTACTATTAATAATCATTGAGATCTTGAATCATAACGATCAGTCGTTTGAACACATTTACTCCGAAGTCAATAATGAATCAGTCAACTGTCTTGCATACGTCTTGGACAATGTCTCCCCTACACTACCTACACCCACCAATGAACCGGTGGTTGAATCACCGGAACCTGAAACTCTAAAACAAGTTAACCATGAGGAAAAGCGGATCCAATACGAAGAACTCCGATCCAAACTAAACAATGGGCAGATCACCGGCCGTATAATCTGCTCGCTCTTGGGTTTATGGGACCTATCCAATATGTACCAAGGCTATTTTCGAGAAACCCAGGGGAACAAGTTGGTATTTAAACTTCAAATTGAAGATCACGATGCCCCTGAAATCACCAAGCTCGACGAACTAACCAGCGAGCAATTAGAGCTCCGCATCAACCTTGCCTATGACCAAGTCACCAAAAAATGGAGTAAACACATTCATAAAGTATATGGATTAGAATAATCATGTATATAGAAATACCCTAATAGAATTAATGTTGCAACACTAATTGAGAAATTTTCCCTTGTAGTGCGAATGGGCTGCTCCCTTAGGGCTGCTGCCCTGGTGTTTCCAACTGAGTGCACGTGATTGACTTTTTTTTTTTCTCACACTTTTTTTCTTTTGTTTTCTCATCTCAGTTTTTTTTATTAATTTATTTTTGTTTTGTATGGGAAAACTCTCACTAGCGAAATACCGCACTAACTGAGAGGAAAATTTTTTGAAAAAAAAAAGTCTTCTAATATAATTGATTTTTGAAAGTTCCTTTACTTTTAGAGTCTTACAACATATCCTTAATTATAAGCAAAAATGGCCATCAAACAAGACGTTGTTACCCGTGAATACACCATCAACTTGCACAAGAGAGTATGTTTTATTTGAATACATTGGATGTTATGAAGTGAAGACGAAGTTGGGTGAAGGAATCAAGGACGAACAGGAAATGAAGAAGTACAGTTGGAAGTAGACCCAGGAAATAGACCCAAGAAGTAGTTGAAAGAATACATGAATGAAGAGATGAATGAAGAGATGAATGAAAAGATGAACGAAGTGAAAGCTCGAGATTAAAGTGAAATATGTATGACGAGTTGACAAGTTAGAGTCTGGAGCAGTCAACTGTATTAGATTAAGAAGAAAGAAGCATTTCGTCGGATAAGATGCCGATTCTTATGGTATATGGAAAGGAGAGGTTGAACGAGTTCATCCATGTTGACGAAAGTTTGATGTCCAACTAGCAATTTCGTAATTCACTTCACTACATGATATGTTTAAAGCATTATACTAACCATAATTCTAGTTACACGGTGTTCATTTCAAAAAGAGAGCTCCAAAAGCTGTCAAAGAAATCAAAAAATTCGCCACTTTACACATGGGTACCACCGATGTTAGATTAGATCCAAGATTAAACGTTCAATTATGGTCTAGAGGTGTTCAAGGTGTTTCTACCAGATTAAGATTAAGAATCTCCAGAAAGAGAAACGACGAAGAAGATGCTAAGGAAAAATTATTCGCCTTTGTTGAACCAGTCAATGTCCCATCTGCTAAAGGTTTACACACCGTTAACGTTGAAGATGACGAAGAATAAATATTTTAATAGGGTATAAAATATTTTGTATTAAAATAATATTAACTGTTTGAATCCTTTCTGTAATTAATAATATAATTCTGCGATATAATATCTTGTAGTACCCAATAGTAACCAAGCACATCAATCCTACACTAATATATGTTCGAACAACTACATTGAATCTTTGGAAATTGAATGAATATTTATTCGTCTATAAACTCTCTAACTCTGTTAGTATTTTCCACAATTTAACTACTTCACATTTTAGAATTAATCAGTGTAACTATGACAAATTTACCAGGTCATTGCAATAGAAACCATGTGCTACCAAAACGGTAACGATTCCCAAAGAAAGCTCAATATTGGTAAGAAAAATAAAAAGTTCTTCATCAGCTAATCCCAAACTGCTATGTGATTGTCTTCAAACATACCTTTCCCAATGAACTTGGTGAAGTAAATCAAACTGAAAAATCTTCTCGATGTTTAGTCTCTTTTATAGTGATGTTTAGTCGCGGAATAAAGTAGGGTAACCTTTTTTTATGGTGTGGTGTCTGGGTGTCATTCGTTAGGCCCATTTATGACTCTATTTATGACTCCATCCAGCACCTTGTCTTCATCCAACTGCCTTCGGAGCCCGTCACCGTAATTGCAACGTTGTCTTTGAGGGACTCCAAGCTCGCTGGAAGGATAGCTTGTGCAAAGTGTGCAGATTTGGACAGAAACAGCGGAATCCACCGTGAAATTTCCCCCACAATAATCTTTTTCTCACTAAATTAGCCCGAGGATTTGGCGGTTATCAACGATTTATAACTTCTTTAATAACTTCGTTACTACTTGTTCTTTCTTTGGTTATTGCAATGCTGCCATCAGTTAGTAATGGTGGGATACCGCCGATCAAGTCGCTTTCAACAATTGCTAATGTTCATATCAGTAACGATCCAACAATTAATGAATATGATTCTCTTCATATATCATTCGAACTATTCATTAGGCTATTTCCCGATGCATCCAATTCAGATTTCCCTTCCAAGAATGACATTATTGAATCCAATAACAGAAAGAATCGATTTGTGTTGATCAAGTTCTTAGGGGTGCCCGATTACTTTGATAGTTTCAAAATATATAAAATATCTAAGATTGATCATCAATCACAAACTTCTAATTCAATCAACTTTATTAATAACTCACAATTGTCAACGTTTGGTAGTCACTTGACTTTCAATACCGCCATCATTCAATCTATTGACTATTCGGTTATTCCAAAGTTAGATCAAATTTTCATCAATTTACCAAATCACATCTATGATATATTACAAAATGGCGACGCTGAATCACTTAGATCCAAGTTTATCAATGAATACTTGACTCATAGCGGAGCTGTGGTTTCCAATGGCGAAATAATCAGACTTCTAAATGGACTGATTAAGTTATGCGAACCAGTTCCTCAAGGTATTGTTAACAGTGAAACAAATATAGTGCTTATTAAAGAGGTTGATGAAGACCAGTCTTCCCCTGATGAAGACAACGACGACATTGAATCCGACGAAGAGGACTATGATGAAAATGAAGTTGATTTGTCCGACTATCTAGCATCATCCATGAAATTGGATTTGGTATCTGAATCTTCAAAGCCAAATTTTGAATTTAAGATTAAACCGTTACCTTCTAAAATCACAATCGATGGTTTACCTCCTTCGGTGGCTAGCGAAGATTCTGACTTGTTTATTTTTGTTAATACAAAAGATTTGAAAAAAATTAATTTCCCAATCTTTAATGGTGATTCTGTTATATTAAATTATCAAGAAGACAAAATCATTGTCAAGCTATTTACTTTATTAGAACCAAATAATTCATTCCCAACTGGCCACATATATATCTCGCCGTTACTTTTAATCAATTCAAACTTGAATCCAAACTCAAAGGTTACAGTCGAACAAATTCGTAATGAAAACTTGCAAAATAACCAATTCAATGAAATTATCCCTATTGCTAAATCAGTAACCATTTCTCGTATCGCCTCCCCAATAACTATGGATCGAACTTTTCAACAAAGTTTTTTCACTGCATTAAAAGATACTTTCCACAATTCCTTTAAATGCATTAGACAAAATGACCTTATAGCAGTTGTGATTGATTCTGTTTTGGCCAAAACGTTCTTTGATGTAAGCAACTCTCTGGCCAATGATGAGAAAAATGCTGTGGAGTCTGAGGAGGCTATTATTCCATCCGGTGATCCTGATAGTGTTGCGTGGTTTAAAATTGTTGAATTAAGTGGTGATGCCTCTGAAACCTCACAATTCATAATTGATCCATTGAAAACAACCTTAATTTCATCCGGTCTTGAATTTATAAAACTACCAGGTGACGAATTCACTCAATGGTATCAATATTTTGAATTACCACCAATATTTAACTATAACAAAGCTATTCAAGGAAATCCAGCAAATTTCAAGTATGCAAGCGAATTAAAAAAGATCATCACTACTTGTTTATCAACGCCAATTAAATTGAAAACCTCTATTTTGCTTAATTCAATGTCAAGAGGATTGGGTAAGACGACTTTGGTTCGTAATTTATGTTTAGAGCTTGGTTTAAATCTAATTGAATTAGATGGATTTGAATTAATTAATCCAGGAGCAGAATTGAAAACAGTTGGTTTATTAACTGGTAAAATTGATAAAGTAATTAACGGACAAGATGAAATTACTTCTAACAGTAGTTTCCATGTTATTTATTTAAAACATATTGAAAATCTATGTGTTCAAACTAATCAGAATGAGCAAGGGGCCAATATGACAACTTCATTATCGTTAAGAATAGTTCAAACCTTGAATGATTACTTGGATAAATATCCAAATGTTATAGTTATCATGAGTTGTAATGATATTGATAAATTGAATGATTCTGTTAGACTGATGGTTAAATTCCAAATAGATTTAAACGTACCAAATGAACAAGAACGTTTAGAAATTTTTAAATTTTTGATATCAAATGAAACCCCAGTGCAAGAAAAACTTGATCCATTTGAAGACAAATTAGAATTTCAAGATAATGCTCCCATTGATGTACAGAGTTTCCCATTTTATAGAAGACAAGATGTAAGTTATCAAGCACTTGCATTACAATCAGCCGGTTTAACTCCACGGGATTTAATATCTATTGTAAATAAAGCTAAACAATTGGCTATTAAAAGATTGATGAAACTTTCTATTGAACAAGGTATACCAATAAAACAACTTATCAAGATTGGTAATGGAGGAATAATTACCTGGATTCCTGATGATTTCAATAAATCCATTAATGATGCACGTAATCAATTCAGTGATTCTATAGGAGCACCGCGTATACCCGATGTTAAATGGGAAGATATTGGAGGACTTGATTTAGTTAAAGATGAAATTTTGGATACTATTGATATGCCATTAAAACATCCCGAATTGTTTAATAATGGACTTAAAAAAAGAAGTGGTATTTTATTCTATGGACCACCAGGAACTGGTAAAACCTTATTAGCAAAAGCAATTGCAACCAATTTTCTGTTAAATTTTTTCAGTGTTAAAGGTCCGGAATTACTTAATATGTATATTGGGGAGTCAGAAGCCAATGTACGTCGAGTATTCCAAAAGGCCCGAGATGCAAAGCCCTGTGTGATTTTTTTCGATGAATTGGATTCGGTTGCACCCAAAAGAGGTAACCAAGGAGATAGTGGAGGGGTTATGGATAGAATTGTATCGCAATTATTAGCAGAATTAGATGGGATGAGTGGAGGAGATAATGGAGACGGTGTATTTGTTGTTGGAGCAACCAACAGACCTGATTTATTAGATGAAGCATTATTGAGACCGGGTAGATTTGATAAAATGTTATATTTAGGAATATCAGATACTGATGAAAAACAAGCTAAGATATTAGAGGCATTGACTAGAAAATTCAAATTACATGACGATGTTAATTTAGAAGAAATCGCCCATAATTGTTCATTTACATTTACTGGGGCTGATTTTTATGCATTATGTTCTGATTCAATGTTGAATGCAATGACCAGAAGTGCCAATGAAGTTGATATAAAAATTAAACGAATGAATGAAACTTTGAAGCAACTGGGTAAACCTCCGGTGTCAACTAGATGGTGGTTTGATAATGTAGCCACCAAAGAAGATATTGAAGTTTTGGTTAGTATGGAAGATTTTATTAAAGCACAAAGTGAATTAAATCCATCGGTTAGTGCTGAAGAATTACAGCACTATTTAAGAGTTCGGGAGAACTTTGAAGGAGGTAAAGAAAAAGCACAAGAAGCAAGTAATGGATTAAGGGACAAGGTTACCGAATTAATTGGAGAAGATATAAGTGGGATTATTGATGACCACGGTAATATGATAAATATCGGTGAATAATTACATAGACTATTTTCTAAATAAATAACTTTTATCAAGAATATCTTTTGCCTGATTAATTTTTTGAGTAAGGTATTGGCTACCGTTTCTATCTGGATGGTTCATCACCATTAATTTTCTATATCGATTTTTCAAGATATCTTTATTTAAATGATTGATATCGTCACCTTCGATCCCCATTACCAACAATGCTTCTCTTTCGGTCATCTTCTCTTCGAACCCCGAGGCCCTATAGTGTCTTTTCAAGTAGTCTAGATGCAGATTTTCGCTTTTAAGTGACGTTGAAGGCGAATCAATTTTGATATTGTTCAAGTACGCAATCATACTGGGCGTCAAATGGATGTACTTTCGGTACGCCGCTAGGGTGGACTTGGCCGTGAGGACCGCCACGCTCACTCCTATACCCAAGATAATTGGAACCACCATACTTACTGCCTTACTTCTTCTTGACTTCATTATCATACTTGTATATCATGTCCTGGTTTTCGCCTCCGTACATCCCAAACAAAATTGTGCATTGTGCACTACCCCTCTCTTTTCTTGTCAAATGCGCCCGTACATCCAAATTATCCGTACACCCGTACATCTGTTTTTTTATTCCCAAGTTGACGTTGACACAAAGGAAAAACTCCGATTCCGAGATTTATCAATCCGCCAATGGCCCCCAGCACAGCACTCGGAAGCGTGGAACAGGTTTGGAGGGAGCGCCTGGTAGGCCATTGGGTTTACGGCAAGAGCATGGAGCTCGCGGACCACCTGAGAGCATTACGTAGTTGGCCTGTTCATCATCTGACGTTAGTCAGATGATAGCACTCGCTCTCCCCCTCGGAGGTGGGCCTGACTTACGAGGGCGCGGCCGGGGAGTGGCCGACCCCGATCGGAGCACGTTTCCCCAGCGAGGAATATGCGATCAGTAGGCGGCAGGCTGCCCTCGGAAGTGCCCAGTCTCGGAGTTGGCCCTGGCGCTCTTCTCCCCTCGGAAGTCGTCTCCGTGAGACGGTTGATAGTGGGCCGTTCGTTCGGGACACAACAAAAACACCTGATGAGAATTTTTTGAAAAATTAATTGAATCAGCACCGGAAGTGCCAAAAACTCCTGAAACTATATATAAATTGGTAATTCCTCATTGAAAAGTTTCAATTGGAAAAGCGAAATTTATTTCTTTATCTTATAATAATAATAATAATAATATGTCTCACGCAGCTTTATCTTGGTTAACCAAATTGAATACTTCTGAAACCCCTGACAAGGTTTTACGTCGTTCATCAATTATTGGTACTATTGGTCCAAAAACCAATAATGTTGATGTTTTAGTTAAATTAAGAAAAGCCGGTTTGAACATTGTTCGTATGAATTTCTCTCATGGATCATACGAATACCATCAATCCGTTATTGATAATGCTAAAAAATCCGAAGAAATATATAAAGGACGTCCATTGGCCATTGCTTTAGATACCAAAGGACCAGAAATTAGAACTGGTACCACTATCGATGAAAAAGATTACCCAATTCAACCAAACCACGAAATGATTTTCACCACCGATGATGCATATTTGAAAAAATGTGATGATAAAATCATGTATATCGATTATAAAAACATTACTAAAGTTATTGAAGCTGGTAGAATCATTTATGTTGATGATGGGGTTTTATCCTTTGAAGTTTTAGAAGTTGTTGATGATAAAACTTTAAGAGTCAAATCAGTTAATGCTGGTAAAATTTGTTCTCATAAAGGGGTTAACTTACCAGGTACCGATGTTGATTTACCTGCTTTATCAGAAAAGGATAAAGCTGATATTAAATTTGGGGTTAAAAATGGTGTTCACATGATCTTTGCCTCTTTCATTCGTACTGGTGATGATATTAAAGAAATTAGAAAAGTTTTGGGTGAAGAAGGTAAAGATATTCAAATTATTTCTAAAATTGAAAATCAACAAGGGGTTAATAACTTCGATGATATTTTAACTCAAACCGATGGGGTTATGGTTGCAAGAGGTGATTTGGGTATTGAAATTCCTGCTCCTCAAGTTTTCGTTGTTCAAAAACAATTAATTGCTAAATGTAACTTAGCTGCTAAACCAGTTATTTGTGCTACTCAAATGTTAGAATCAATGACTTACAATCCAAGACCAACCAGAGCTGAAGTCTCGGATGTTGGTAATGCTATCTTAGATGGTGCCGATTGTGTTATGTTATCTGGTGAAACTGCTAAAGGTACTTATCCTTTCGAAGCTGTTTCAATGATGCATAATACTGCTATCATTGCTGAAAAGGCAATTGCTTATCAACCTTTACATAACGAAATTAGATCCTTGGCTTTAAGACCAACTCCTACTTCTGAAACTTGTGCTATGGCTGCTGTTTCTGCTTCTTATGAACAAGATGCTAAAGCCATTGTTGTTTTATCCACTTCTGGTTTAACTCCAAGATTAGTCTCTAAATATAAACCAAACGTTCCAATCATGATGGTTACTAGAAACGATAGAGCCGCTAGATACTCTCATCTTTATAGAGGGGTTTATCCTTTCATTTACTCTAAACCTCAAGTTGAAAACTGGCAAGAAGATGTCGAAAATAGATTAAGATGGGCTGTTTCCGAAGCAATCGACTTGGGTATCATTAAAAAGGGTGACTCCATCATTACCGTCCAAGGTTGGACCCGTGGTGTTGGTCACAGTAACACCATTCGTGTCGTTAAAGCTTAATCTTTTCTATATATTTAAATACTTTCATAATCAATTAATTTATAAACGTTACTTTATATACTGTAAAAACATCACCATATCCGTTGCGTGCGGACTTCAAATTCTTAACAAATCAAAAAAAAAAAAAAAAAAACTGAAAAAAAAAAAGAACTCGAGCAATGAAAATCTTACCATCTCTTTATCTCTTTATATCTGTTCATACCATCCTGTGTATCAATGAGCTCGCATCTTATTACGAGACCCTTGGTGAGGCTCGAGTCACGTTCGCTTCTTAACCGTGCAATTGCACCAATTAGATACTACTCTAGTAAGAAAGATGAAACCACCCATTTTGGTTATAAAACCGTGAATAAAGACGAAAAGGAAAAACTTGTTGGTGGAGTTTTTTCATCGGTTGCTTCTAATTATGATGTTATGAACGATGCCATGTCTCTTGGTATACATCGTTTATGGAAATCACACTTTATCAATCGTTTGGATGCCGGAATGAGACCAGGATCTTCAAGACCTCTTGATTTCTTGGATGTTGCTGGTGGGACTGGTGATATTGCATTTGGTTTACTTGATCATGCAGAATCAAGATTTAATGATATTTCTTCAACCATGACCATTGCTGACATTAATGCTGATATGTTGGCTGAAGGTAAAAATAGATTTCAATCAACTAAATGGAATGATGGTTCTGATCGAGTAAACTTTTTGGTTCAAAATGGTGAAACTATGGATCAAATTGAAGATAATTCAAAAGACGTTTATACTATTGCTTTTGGTATTAGAAATTTCACCAATATACAGGCTGGGTTGGATACTGCTTATCGTGTTTTAAGACCAGGTGGAATTTTTGCATGTCTTGAATTTAGTCAAGTTGATAATCCAGTAATTGATTATGTTTATCAAGCATATTCTTTTAGCTTATTACCGTTAATGGGTCAATTGATTGCCAATGACCGTGACTCTTATCAGTACTTGGTTGAAAGTATTAGAAATTTCCCAAAACAAGAAGAATTTAAAGGTATGATTGAAAAAGCTGGCTTCTACGTTCCTGAAAAAGGTTATGAAAATTTGACTTTTGGTGTGGCAAGTATTCATATCGGTGTTAAACTTTAGGGTTCTGTTTCATGAGTTATGATTATGATAAAGTATATTAATTACCAATATTTCCTCTGTAAATACAATATATAAAAGCTATTTATCTATCAAAAAAAAAAAAAAAAAAAAAAAAATTGTGGACTCAAGTATATGCAAAATGTAAACTTTCTACTAAATCTTCTGAAACATTAAGTCCCTTGATCACTTTCTTATGAAATTCGTCATTGGACTCTTCGCTTCCCTTCATTTCGATATCATCATCTTGTGGAATCAACCTTATTTCCCCATTAGATATTCTAAATCTCAAGGTTCCATTGATACCTTTCAATTTAAAAGTTAAATCCTTGTTTTCACTTTGGTATTCGATATCTTCCCAGACTAATTCAATTCCTGGATCTTCTTTACCACTTGAATCCTCGTTATCGTTCAGTTCTGTCATAAAAGTTTCCACGTCAATTTCTTTCGGATTGATAATTTTATTATTGGTATAATTGGCATTTTCTGAAACTGCTCCAAGTCCCAATAATGCTTCTTCGGTAACATCATCTGGAAGCTTAAGAGATTCTTTCAATTTTTTCTTAGCTTCTGCTGATAATTCAGTACTTCTCGTACTGATTCCGTGTTCAGTTTTAATTTCGAAACCTTGGGTGACCGAATGATGCTTGAGTGATGATCTTATGATATTTGTGAGTATTATTTGATTTCTTAGTATTGCAACCAAATTTGTGATATCACTTAAATGATTCAATTCTAGCGATTTTAATGCAATCATTTTATGGGCTAATTGTTGTTTAAATGTAAGTTTGGTTGGTTTATCAAGATCAAAACTGATCATTGCTTCATCCTGTTGCAATAAGTTGTATACTTCATCTTTCTCTGGCGATACAGTCAGATAATTAACCAATCCTAAAAGCTCAATACTTGATGCTGGGACATATACTGGTTTGTTCAATTTTAAATATATAGACCATCTTTTAGTTTCTGTTGATGACTCCGAAGAATCGCTCGAGTTTGGTGGTAGTAATTGAGTTCCATCTTGAAATCCAAATTTATATTTGATTGGTTGGTTTTGATCATCGTCTAAGATCCAGTCATTATATTTCTGTTCTTCTAAATAATCGATTGGTTCACGAGTTGTTTCATCAATATATAATTCAAAGGTATACTCGTCGTCACTTAGACTAGCTTCATGGTCTAGATACCTTAGATCCTTCCAGTATGTTATAAATAATCCAAGTTCATTGGTTTTAACGTTGTTCGACGATGGTTTCCCTATTTTACTAGCGTAACCTTTTTCAACTTGCCAATTACCCGGTTGTTTCTCTAACTCGATTTTGTGAATAACGTGGAATAATAATACAAGAGAGTTAAAATAATGGAATAAATCCAACGATGAGGAAGACAACCTATCAAGATTAGATATAAACTTTAGATTTTCAGGGAAGGTATTCAATTTTAACTGATTTAAGTTATTGAAAAGTAGTTTTTCGATTCCGTTTTCATTGAAATCACCTAATGTAATTGAGTAAGCATGCTCCTTTGTCAAATCAAGAGTTATAACCTTGGTTCCATTATTTTCTGATCTACTAATGTACAGATCGAGTTCAGCCAGTGGCATTTCATGATCATTTTCTTCACTGGATTTACGGCTGGCTAATGAAATCCCCACTCTAATTATATTTTTATCGTCAGTGAAATCAATATCTATCAACAGTCTGGTCCCAGCTATCGATAACCTCGCATGCTTATCTGTAGAACCTTTAAGCTTTGTCAAAGAATTACTAAAACTAACATCAGTATCAACAAAAGTTTCAAATTTCAAATGCCTGGCCAATTTTTGTATTAGTTCAATGGACACATTGAATGTGGGCGACTTCTCATACAACTTTGCTAATGACACCTCCAAGCTTTCGTTGAAGCTTGTCATTTCACTAGTGGTCTATCTCTGTATATCGTTAACTGTATAATTCAATCTATTTGGGTTCGACTTTCTGTTTAGCTTTGAGGTAAAAACTGCTGGTGTGCGGATCTTTGAAAATTTTTCAAAAAAAAAAAAAAATAAAATAAAATACTTTAGAAGATGAATCAGAATTACGTCTTGAAGACATATTTCAGAATATTTGGAATACTGCAAACATGAGTGACAGTCTCACACCTGAAATATTGGCTTTGGTGGACCCAGTGGTGTCCCAGATGAAGCGTCACCAAATCGGTGGTGACAAGGACATTGCATTGGCCATTGCCCATTTATTGATGAGAGTTATATCGGCAGCTAGATGGAGTAATTCTTATGATTTAATTGCTTTGATTAGAAAAGTTGGTACTGTCATGATAAATGCCCAGCCTCGAGAGATGATCACCGGTAACATCATAAGACGAGTTTTAGCATTGATAAGAGATGAGATTGAAACCGAAGGTAATAATGATAATACCCCAATGATGAGTTCGATGTTTAGTTTATTAAGTACTAATAATAATAATAATAAGTCGGATCAAAATCAACTGAAGAAACAAAGTAGTGATTTCAGATCAATCATAATTCAAGGTATAAGAGATTTAATCGATGAAATTCAAAATGTTAATGAGGGTATCGAAACCATGTCAGCTGATTTAATTCACGATAATGAGATCTTATTGACACCAACACCTACTTCAGATACCCTTTTACAATTCCTCATCAGAGCAAGATCCAAAAGAAAGTTTACTGTTCTTGTCACTGAAAATTACCCAAATGACATTAAAGCTGCTCACATTTTTGCCAAAAAATTATGTGATCATAAGATTGAGACTATCGTGATACCTGATACAACTACATTTGCAGTCATGTCTCGTGTTGGAAAAGTCATATTGGGGACTAAATCTGTTTTCGCCAATGGAGGTTGTATGGCAAATTCGGGTGTTGCCAACGTAGTTGAATGTGCCAAAGAACATAAAACTCCCGTTTTGGCTGTTGCTGGTTTATATAAATTATCCCCATTATATCCTTTCAATCGTGATGATTTGATCGAAGTGGGTAATTCCGGTAAAGTTTTGGATTATAGTGATTCCAAACTAGTTGATAACGTCGATGTAGTCACCAATCCTTTGGATGATTATGTCTCCCCCGAACATATCGATATTTATATCACCAATATTGGTGGGTTCGCTCCTTCTTTCATATATAGAATTGTCCTAGACAACTACAAAGTGGAAGATAATAATTTAGATTAGTCATTCTTCTCTATGTAAATTAATACAAGTTTAAGTATATTTTGTCAAAAAAACTGCAAATTTTCTAAAAATTATCCTAGTCCGCAATTCTTACCCGATATTGCTACATTAAACCTCCCTTTTAAACCGATTAAAAAGTTTTTCTTATCATACTATACAATTGAAAATCAGCAAGATGAGGATTCTTCATGTTCTAATTAGTTTGGCATGGGTTGTCCTTGTTAGCAGTAATGGCGCAAACCTTTCCCCACAAGAACTTTTCAATTTGAACATTGATAAGAGAGAGCGAATTGCAATTATTGGAGCTGGAGCTGGTGGTAGTTCTGCTGCTTATTATTTACAAAGATTCAGTCCCGGTAAATACGATATCACAATATTTGAAAAATCTGATAGTGTCGGAGGAAGATCTACTACTGTTGATGTTAAGGGACATAAAGTTGAGTTAGGTGCCTCAGTATTTGTAAAAGCTAATAAAATCTTGACGAATGCAGTGGAGACGTTCAATTTGTCGACCCAGAAGTTTGGCGAAAAGGTTAAGGGAACCGTTGCAATTTGGAATGGTGACCGGGTTGTTCTCGAACTAGGCTCATCGTGGTGGTCAAATATCAAACTTTTAATAAAGTATGGACTTTCACCCATAAGATTGGTGAGATTAAAGAACAGATTCATTAGCAAATTCCTTCAAAGTTATTACGATGGAAACTTCCCCTTCGCTAACCTTACAGATTTGACTGTGGAATCAAAATTCTCCGAAGTCACTCATTTGACTGCGGAGGAATACTTGTACGAACAGGAAATCAGTGATGATTTTGCAAATAATTTGATTCAGGCTGCCACTAGAGTAAATTATGCCCAGAACCTTGATCAAATACATGGAATTGGATCATTGGTGGCAGTCGCTGCCGATGGGGCGGAACAAGTTAAGGATGGTAATTGGATAATCTTTGACAACTTTATCAAATATTCGGATGCAAAATTACATCTTCAAACTCGAGTTAAATCAATAATGAAAAATGAAGAAGGTTGGCTAGTTTCCTACGACGATAAGACGTCTTATTTTGACCAAGTCATTATTGCATCACCGTTTGGCCAATCTAGGATAAATCTCCAATCCGGGTCTGGCAAAAAGCTCTCAGAGCATCCAGTTGAGTATGTTAATTTACATGTTACTTTAATCTCTACTAATTGTACTATCTCCCCATCTTTTATTGATTCAGATTCAAATGAATCACCCAAATCAATTTTAACCACGAAGGACGGTCAAGGTAACACTCCTGATTTCTATTCAATATCAGCCATTGATTATTTTGAAGATACTGATGAGTACCTTTATAAAATTTTTTCACCAAGAAGAATCAAGGCCGAGTTTCTCGAAGATGTCTTCACCGGATGCAATGGGAATATAAGTTGGATCTTTAGAAAAAAATGGAGGTCATACCCATATTTAAAACCAAATAAAAACTTTGGAAGTTTTGAGATCGAACAAGGATTATGGTATTTGAATATTATTGAACCTTTCATAAGCACTATGGAAACCTCTGCCTTGGCTGGTGCTAATGTGGCTGGATTAATAAGTCACGGTAAAAATACTACAGAGATCAAAATACCATAAATCATGTTTATTTTTCATTTCAACTAACAATCAAAGAGAATAAATATTTAAATAAAGAGGAAAAAAGGTTGCAAAGAATTGAAATAATTAAATCTTTTTTGGTTCAAATCATTACTTATCACTAGATAAAATTTCTTGAGCTTCGTCGGAGATTTCGTCACGTTGTCTTTCTTCTAAGGAAGGTCTGTTCAACAAAGCTTCGAAATCTTTAGAATATGGTGCTTTATCAATATATGGAGGGTTATTGTCTTTAACAATCTTGTAGTAATTTTCATAGATATTACCATCGTAAGAACCCAAGGATGAGTTGATCATCATATCGGATAATTGGAAGGCATCAGTTAAAGGAATAACATGAGGTCTTAAATCAGTACATAAAGTAGGAATATGTTCAGCAGATAAGTAAGAAATAGTTTCAGTTGAAACAACTTTGTAAGTTAAGAAAATACCGGAGAAACCTTCCAAGATAATAGAAGCAGAATATAATTGGGCCAATTTGTCTAAAACTGGAACCAATTCTCTTTCTGGGATTGCATCAACCTTATCTAAGAAAGATTTTAATAAAAAGAAATGAGCCAATAATTTAGATAATTGAACCAAATCAGCACCAATATAATCCCAATCTTGATTTCTAGCATCCAAAGTGATTAAAGCTTGATTTGAAGCTCTGACAATGGCAACTTCAACAGCTTCCAAAACTTTTCTTGGATTTTTCAAATCATTTGGAGTTAAAATAACTTTATCACCAATGATTGATTTTGAATTGTTTAAAAATTCCAAGATACCACTAGTTTGGACTCCATCCTTCAAGACAGACGAAATATTTTTAACCAATTGTTTACCAACAGACATACCCAAGATATTATTATCACCTTCCCAAGTACATTGAACAGCAAAATCATTAAAAGCTTTACCAAAACCAGCATAGGAGGAATAACCGTGACCACCACAAGATTGTCTACATTCATCGATATTTTTCAAGGTTAACCAAGTACAAGTTGATTTCAAGGAACCAGAGGCAATGAATAAAGATTTCATACTTTCAATACCGGCATCAATACCAGCTTGATTTTCATCAGCAACGGCATCATCCAATTCTTCCAAAGTTTTAGAAGAGGTTTCAGCCAAGACATTAGCACCATTTGAAAAGGCATAAGTTAAGGCCAAGATTGGAATCAAACGACGTTGATGTAAAGGATAATCAATTAATTTTGATTCCAAGTCATCTGGTTTAGCAGTGGCAGCTTTAAATTGACGTCTACCAACGGCATAACGAGTAGCAATAGTAATAACTCTGGAAGACCATCTAAAAGCATCTTTAACCATAACCACACGTCCACTTAACAAAGCAGAATAAGATAATTGATCATTTGGAGGTAATTTAACATCACCATCAGCGGTAACTTTAGTATATTTTTGTAACATGAAATATCTTGGAATACGAACACTTGAAAATTGAATCCAACCATTATCGATACCATCTCTACCCATTTTAGCCCCGATATCCCCAATCGAAATACCAGGGAGTAAATCATGTTTGCTATCTCTTAAAGGAACAACAAAAGTTTTAACCCCATAATCTTTACCCTTTACAATCAATCTGGCATAAACAGCAGCATGAGTAGCCGAGTGAGCAGCACCACCAATCCACCATTTGGTGGCACCAATATGAGGAGTATTAATAACAAATTGATCTTCTTCCTGATCAAAAGTAGCGGTGGTTTCCAAACCAGCAACGTTGGATCCATGGGCCAATTCCGTCATGGCAAAACAACCATATATATTTTTAACAAAAGCAGTCTCCTTTTTCAAAGCCCAATAACCCATTTGGTCAAAGGAACCATTGCCTCGAAGACAGCCAATAAACAACCCCAAGTGAACCCCAATTCTAGTATGCAATTGAGGATCAAAAACACTAATCAAACTAATACGACGTTCAAATTCATCAAAAGTTTCCAGTTCAATATACTTGGAAAGACGAGCAATTTTTTTGGCCGTCCATTCACGATGTTCAGCCTTAGTGAAATCGTACTGTTTGGGAGATGCCGCCAAAATAGGATCTCTTTCCATCTGCTGGATAAATCTTTCCACCTCCTCAGAACGTTCTTTGGAACCTTCCAAAAAATAGTTCATCTTGGTGATATCAAATTGAGCATTGTTACGTTCCAGCTCAATTTGATTACGTGGATTAGGAGGAGTCTTAGAATTAATGGTGGTGTTGACCGTCATTTTTATTGTTTTATACTAGTAGCAAAGAACAATCTCCGGTTCTATCGAAATATATATATACCTTCAGACAAATATCATATTCAAAATTTCAGTACCGAAGCCTCGCTAACAAAACGAAAAAAAAAAAATTCGAATCCGTCGGTGAGCAGCGAATTTTGTATGGCGGGGTATTCCATCACATGAAAAACTAGTGTTTGCTTCAACTACCGTTGTCTGACCAGCAAGCCATTGACCGCGGCTTGTGCTCTTGCAACAGACTCCATTAGCTGAATTGGCAGCTCTTGGGCAAGTGGACCAACCTGGGTCGACGGTCAGACCAAATGGTGAGTTTTGTGGGGGAGGGGCACCAACCACGGATACATCGTACGATGCCCTCGAAGAGCATGATAATGTGAAGGTCAACTACTGCTACAGAAAAGATAGTAAATCATAATTCATTACTTTATATAGGTTGCGTCGATTTTGGATAGGGACTTGCCTAGGTTTAACCTTAATTTTCTTCTGTAAGCCGTTGGATTATTGAGCTGGATTGGATTACCTTCGAAATAAACGGTATCCAAATTTTGTAAGTCGCCTAATTCGGAAGCGATGTCTTCAAAATTTGATATTTGGTTATAAGAACACCAGAAATCGGTTAAGTTTGATAAGTGCTTCAAGTTGGATAGAGAGGTTAGCTTATTTGAAGTGATGTCGATCGTGGTTAGTTTGGGGTTGTTATCCAAATTTTCAATTTTGGAAATACCGTTATGCGATAAGTATAGTTCTTCCAAATTGGTTAACTCGTCCAAGCCTTCAATTTTGGTTAATCGATTTGATTGAATTGATAAGATTTTTAAATTTTTCAACGGGTTCAAGTTTACTAATTGGCTTATTTTATTTTTGCCTAGCCAAATTTGCTCCAAGTGGACCAAGTTATCCAAATTTTCAATTTTTTCAATCTTATTACCGCCTAGCTCCAAGTTGGTAAGTTTGGTTAAAGTAGATAAGTTTTTGATTTCTTTAATTTTATTCTGAACAAAGTACACCGATTCCAATTCGGTTAGGTCTTCGATATTTTTAATGTTCTTGATTTTATTAAACGATAAGTCTAAATTCTTCAATTTCTTAAACTTGGCGATACTCGAACTGATGTGATTGATTCGATTATCGTAGAAATCCAATTCTTCAATATCCTCACTATTCAAGTATTTCAAATCACTTATACTTTCAATTAAGTTTTGTCTTAGACATAAACTGGTCAATTTAGTAAATCTGCCCAAGTTCAAATCCTTTAAATTGGTGATCTTCAAATGAATCAAGTCCAAATAGTCAATGTCGTCTTCATAATCTTTAGTCAATTCCAGATCGTGGTCGATTTTTTCAATCTTGGTATCTGGTAATACTGTCCCTGGATACTCAACTGCTCCCGATTCTTCTTCTTCTTCTTCTTCTTCTTCTTCCTCCCCTTCGTCTTCGGTGTGGGACAATTCCACCTCGCTCTTCTCACACACCTCGTCAATCGTGGTCTTATCCATTCTGCTTGCAAGTTCTTCTGGCATCGTGCTTGCTTGCTGATGTAGTCCTTGCTGGCTTGACTCATCACTCTGAAGAAGGCCCAAAAAGGACAAAACCTCCGTACATCAACAACGAAAAACCCCCGTGCATTTCCCACCGGCCAATCAAGTTGGACAATATTACAAATAGACCATACTCCACAATTCACTACAACTTTATTAAAATAAGGATATTATGAATAGCTTAACACTGAAAAAAGAATATAAAACGAGTAAAAAGAATCGTGATATTAATAGTATATACAATTTGCGAACCTTTTATTTATGTCCGGTATCAATTCAACTGTAGGTCATATGAATGGAGTCTGTCTTCATAGTGGATCAAGTTTATAACTTTTGTTCTTCTTCAAAGATGTAGTTAATGGCTTCACCTACAGTTTTAATTTCATCGGAGATTTTATCAGGAATTTCCAAATCAAATTCTTCTTCTAAAGCAACCAAGGCTTCAACGGTATCCAAAGAGTCCAAACCCAAGTCTTTGGTGAAGGATGATTCGACACTCAAGTTAGATTCTTGTAAAGCAGCAACGGTTTTCAATGCTTCAAAAGCACGATTAGTAACTTCTTCTTTGGTGATTGGTGCAACGGCATAGGTACGAATGGCGTTGAATGGCTTGATGGCTCTAATTGGAGCAGGAGCAAATCTGGCTTGACGTAAGGCTAATCTAAACATTTTGTAGTAGTATTCCAAGTAACAAAATTAAGAAGGCAAAACCCTTTGATAATCTGGAAATCTGATTTCTTATATAAAAACAAAAAAAAAAAAAAATAAAAAATTTCAGAGTTCATTTGGTGCTGGTGACTTCGGTATTTTTTTTTTTTTTTTTTTTTTTTGCTCGTTTTTCTCATTAGAAAAAAAAAGAAAAAAAGTCGTAGTGGGCCTTTGGTTCAGTCAGTTTGATTCCTTTGACTTACACCAGTAGGGCAATTGATAGGGGGATCAGGCCCACAATCGGTAGGAGCAAGTGTACAATTGTTAAACCTACATTAGGATTGTCCTGCGGGATACACGTAGAAAGGCGACCAGGAAACAAAGATGAAAGAAAAAAAAAGCCATTCCAATTTTGTAGTATTGTTTAAACCAACCGATACTTACAGGATTAGGTAAGAAGTAGAATAAGGACCGAAGCAGGATGAAGTTAAATTAGGCAGAATTCCAAATGACTAAAGGGATCTGCAGAATCAATCTCCAATTTTACCCATTTTACTTTGGGAGGCGGTATAGTTTGGGCTATTTGGAGATTGGTTATATCACATGGAGTAGGCAATGATGGCAAAGGAGAATTGGTTATCAATTCAACCTGTTGAGGTTATCTCCCGAAATTAAATTAAAGATGGCAGCTTATTGTTTAAAACTCCCTGTCGTAATTAATAATTGAGGTTTCAATTGTTTTCGCTAATACTTACTTTTGTCTTCTATACAAGTGCCTTTCTACGAGTTTGGTTGTTACAGTTGACCCCGAGTTGGAGGTAGACTTCGGATATATGTGAACAAAGATCTACTAAATTTAAATATAAAACATCAACTATATTAAGTTTACTATGTAAATTGGGTAGCTAATTTCTCATTACATTATCTCTCCAGTAGACGGCGCTATGTTTTTGTTTTAAACCAATGAATGTAAAGCTACTATTGTTCAGGTTTTGGGTAGTTGAATTTTGTTCTGATGGAGGTGAAACTAGGCCAGAAGCACTAGAGTTTGAGTTTGAACTGGCTTTGGATGTTCTACTGGTAGTACGGGTTAATCTCGACCCAATACTACCACCAATCATACTTCCACCACCGTTCAATGTAGTATTACTACTAATATTTCTCTTACTATTATTTTCTAATTGTAATGATTGGGGGTAATGAGAAATACTATGGTTATAAATACTATTCTCATAATCGGTGGATATTTTAAGATTAGCAATATCTTCTTTAAAATTCTTTTTAAATAATTCAACCAAAACATCATGGGATGCTTTCATATTATTACTTATTAGTTTCCCATGTAAATGTAAACAGCGATTTAATATAATTGTTAAATCATTAAAGGCATTTTTCAATAATCTGATATTATATGTATAATCTTCTTTACCATTGTATTTTGGATCATTGAAAAAAGTTCTATATTGTCCAACTCCTCCATTAACTGGAGAATCAACAGTACCAGCTAATTGTCTTGATAAATCATTGAATAATGAAGTATAATCAGCTTTTTCTTTGAATGATATATTAATCATACTTTCTAATTGAATCAAATCGTTATTCTTATTAACAATGGTACGAATTGCATTATCTAACGGTGATAATTTGATTGTTTTAACCGATTTAATATCACTTCTATTCATTAACGTTGGGAATGACATTTGCGTTTCATAGGTTGTTTCTTCAGTCCATAAATCAAATACCGACGTGGCTCCAGGAATTTTCTTCATCGTGGTGAAAAATCTTAAATTTTTATTTCTAGCATATTGTCTAACCCCAATTGATGTATTAAACAATTTATCACTTATTTCATTAATTGGTTCAACGGCATTTACATGTAAATATCTACCAGTTTGAACTTTTTCTTTCAATTTTTGGGCTTGAATATCGTCACTTATAATTCTAGCTCCGGGATACAATCTTAACAATCTTTCATGAATTGAAGTTATATGCTCAAATGGTAGCCCTTCATAAATTTGTTCTTTTCCTCTAATGTTAGTTGGGAATCCAGCTCCAATAAATGCAACTCGGAAAAATGATGGACTCAATTTATCCGATGATTCCATTTCAATATATAAATTGGCTAATTTTCGATGAACATGAGCAAAACTTTTCAAATCATATGTATGTTCACTATATGAATCTAATAATTCATTATAAGTATCCGTAGCTCTTTCTAAACTATTTCCCTTAATATAATTGGTAGCTATCATATTATATAATGTCTCTTTTCTTTCAAAAGATGTTTGTTCTGGAAATTTGGGTTTTAATGTAGCTGATAAGATTTCATGATGATTCCAGGAATAGGTCGATGCTAATAATTCTAAACTAAGAGCAGCTTGAATAAAATCACCTTTATTAATATTCTCTTCATACATATTATTAATAAATGAATGGAATAACTCAGGCTTATTAGCATTTTTCAAATATGCATTAATATTCAACTTATGGAATGTACGATCATCATCAAATTCAGGACCAACTGGTACACTATTCAAATCATTTAAAACTTCTAAAAATCCAGTTAAACTTTCAATAAAATTATAAACCATTCCAAATGCTTCATCTTCTCTATCTAATCTAATCGTCAATTTCATTCTCTCAATAAACCTTTTTTGTTCTTGAACTGTTGGTTTATAAGCAGTTCTATAATAAATATCATGCAATCCAATTAAACATTCTCTTTCAATATCAACCATAGTATCATTTAAATATAAAAATTCTGAAACCATTATTGACCACAACATTTTAACACTAACAATTTGACAACTTTCATTTCTTTGTAACGCAAATAACATTAAATCCTGTAAAGTCTCATAATCATTACTGATAAATTCAACTTGGTAACCTCCAAATTTCTTCAAATTGAATCTGACCATGACTTCTTCATCAGAATCCCAAGCTAAAGCATCCCATGCCTCCATTAATAAAAAGGAAATACGATCTCTCATATCACCAGTAATTAAATGACATGCTTTTCTAGGTACAGTGGATAAATGTTCAATGGCAACTGGTGCAACAGTACCCAACCTTAGCAATGTTTTCAAGTAACTACCCCAAACTGCTTTATCAAACAACTCTGCATCTTCCATTGGAGGTACATAATGTTTGATTAACAATGGTCTTATTAATTCTAACGATACCAAACATCCTTCAGCAATTAATGAAAATAACGATAACCATTTATCTTCTGGGAAATATTTACCTTGTCTTATAATCTTAACACCATTAATCAAAGTCAAAATATCTTCATTACCAAAATTACTAGCCAAATATTTTTCATTAGAAAAAAAATCATCTTCAGGAGCTTCAGCCGCCAAAATTTTAGAGTATCCCTCGTTTCCTGAAGCAGCTTTACCAATTCTTGCAATGAACGTAAAAATAACACTGAGCTCAACTAAAACTTCTACTAATGATTCATCATTAACAATTGGATCCATAGATGTTTCCTTGAATGGATAATCAGTTGGAAAAAGATCAGTAAAAGTTCTCTTTGGTTTGAAATATTCATTACCCCTAGTAAACTTATTATATTTGATAAATGTTCTTGAAATTGCTGGTAACAATTTAGCAAGTGAAAAGCATAAATGAATTTCATCTTCAACACCTTTGTTAACAATGTCGTCCCATAAAAGAGTACAAACAGCATTCATAATTGAACAGGCCAATCTGACAGCATCAATATCAGTTGGTCCTAAAAATACATCCATAACCCACGTAATGGATTTGGAAATCAAAAATTTTCGAGTGTCAGCACTTTCAACTAGAGTGGTATTAAACAAACGATGAATCAATAATAACTTACTAATGATAATTTTATGATCTTTTGAAACAACATTTTTTTTAGCTCCATAGACGTCTTCATTTGCACCTAATCCCCTAGTTCCAATTGAATCAATGAAGCTAATAATAAACTTCAAGATTTTGGCCTGGTCTAAGTATACTCTAAAAGTAAGAACATAATCAATGATCTCTAAAATTAATACTTGGTCATTAATTAAAGCAGGCGAGTCAAGTGAAAGAAATATGGAACCTGATCTAAATAAAGAACTTAATGCTTCTAAATAGGCATCCAAATCATTAATTTCATTGATTGAGCTGATTCCAAGTTTCAAAAGTAATGACACAACTCTACATAAAGAGCGTGACATTGAATTCCAATTACTTTCAGCTCTAGAGAAGATTTCGGAGATCTTATTCAAAATAAATATACCGATATGTGGTAACTTTGTGTATCTTGTAGTAAAAGTTTCAACCATATACATGTACTGATCTTGCTTACCGAAAAGAGTATCTAATAAATGAACAATTGCTTTGAAGGTATTATCTTGTAATATCTCAATACCAGGAGAACTAGGTTGTTTCAATGCAACATCTGCAATGTTATATAAGGAGCTCAATAACTCTGGGAAAAACTTAACTAACTGAGTTATGTCAAGTTTAGTAAAAGCAATTAAAGTCTTTGCTAATTCATCAATTCCCTGCTGACCACCTTTAAAAAATCTATCGAATTGAAAAACGTTATCGATTGAAATATCATGATTATAAACTTTACCAACATATTCAGTGGTAATTTCAACCAGGGCTACTGGTAATTTATGAGTTGTCGAACTGATTTCAACACTATGGCTTTTCTTCTTGTATTCCACTAACTTGTTACCTGACTTGTACATGAATTTACCTTCTCCCGCCAATAAACCATTAATATATAATGATAAGATTATGTAGTCATCCTTTGGAACTTTTTTAGTAGGGTTCTTTGAAGAAACACCGTTGATTTTAACAATTTCACCAACAGCTTCATCTGGATAAACCGAAACATATTGCCACATACGTCTTTCTTGTTCATTAGAAGCTTTTGCAAAAGTTATCATATCATTATTAGGAGCACTAACTTCGAATGTTAATAAATCATCTTTAGTGATGCTATTAAGCAAAGATACTTTATGCATACTCAAATAAATACGTTCATAATTTTCAGCAAGGGGGTCGAAAAAGATTGGCTTGATTCTTGAAATTGGAGCAGTGGCGCCAATTGGATTGAAGTTAGCAACAAATTGATGTTTGAATTCTTTAACTGAAATGACCAATTTTTCAGCTCTAGGATTAACTGCAACACCATGACTGGATCCAGATATAATTCTATCAACAAGCTCACCCCAACCATTATTATCAAAATTGAGAAGTTCATCATTAAGCTTAGAATTACCTTTATTTTGATTCTTATAAGAACCAAACAATCTGATTGAAAATTGATGAGGTTCACCTGACGCCAATGAACCCTGATTCTTTGAAAAAATTCTAGTGATATCAGTAACACCTGCTGCCACACCCTTCTTAATTCTTCTGACGTGAGGGCTAGAAGCATCTTTAACAGGTAATTCAATTTCTTCAGTCAAAACAGCAACCAAGTAGACCTTACCATTGTCAATTTCACTCGAAGGAATATTTCTAAAAAGAGCAGCACGAAGTTTTTCGACATGGACTAAATCATCAACTGAGCTAGCATGTACAGCAAAAGCTTCGGTAAGTCTTCTATTACTATTACGAATATATAAATAAGCGATCATACCAACAAATCCAGGAGGCTGATAAGCAGATGAACCACTAACTGATTTGAAATCAACCAAGATATGAGAAGGAGGTTCATGATATAACTTCTTATTGGGAGATGGTTTTAAGGAGAAAGACTCTTGATGGTAATGGGCATTGATGGGGAAATTTGGAGCCAAAGCACATAATACTTGGTTCAAAGCAACTCTCGAAGGGATGGCAGTATCATTTGATAAAAGTTGACCTGATATAGCATCTCTTGCCAATATAGCTTTATAACCAGAGATATCAGTGTAACGGTTATCCAAGTCATAAGACTTTTCGTTTAATCTAGCCGATCTTGAAGCCAATTTTTTAGGAATTTTGTTGAGGAGGAAAGTTGCAGTTTCTTTAGCAACTTGGATTTCATTGGTAGTTAATATTTCATTGGTTAATTTGATTCTCGTTTCGTCCAATCTAGTATAAACCAGGGATAATTTATTAAATAATCTAAATTCACCAATTGAGTATAAAGCAAAAATGTGTGAGGCCAATAAATTAAGAGCGTGTTTAATTTCCTTAAGTAAGTCTGCACCAAGATCAAAGTTTTGTACTGGCAAAGGGGGAACTAATGATTTAACTTTACCATTAGAATCGTATCCAATATCAGCGTTCAAAGCTTGTTTATGAGCCACTTCTGCATCTTGAATAGTTGGAACCAATTCACCATTGCCCGCAACGACTGATACTTCCTCAGCCTCTAATTTAGTTATTGGAACATTTTCCACTACTTGAACATATTTCAATGGGAAAATAACAATCTTAATATCCAAACTAGGAAGTTCATCTAAATTAACTGACGTAATGGTAAAATCATTAGGAAATGGTTTAGTTAAAGTATAACCCCTAGCCCATTTTTCATTCTTAGTTTCAAATATATAGACATCGTCACCTGGATATAAGTTTTTGAAGTTTTCATTTGTTAAGGTTGGATGTTTTTGAAATGGTAAAAAAGGTTTAATTATCTTACCACGTAAGAATTCATTCGTAGGTACCCACGACATACTCCTTTGTAACTAATGTAACCCCAAACGTTAGAAATAGACCTGAATAATGATTTTCAAGTATCAAAAGGGTAATTGGGTGAAGAAATACCTTTTCTTTGACGTTTTAATTAAAGTAGATCAAATTAAAGGATGATAAAAATTTTTTTTTAACCGTTAGGACCACGATATCACTTGATTCTATAAGATTGCGATGCTAGCACAAAAGAACCCAAAATCACCGCAGATTGTGTTTCTAAGAAGTATGGAAGCGAATTGCAAGAGATTCAACAAAAAACACAATAAATACGTTGAAATAGACGAGACCAGTATGGAAATGCTCTTGATATTTTGGAGTGCGTGTAGTGGGAATTTTTCACTCGAATCAATTTTTGTGAGTTAAATCAATTAACTCTCCGTTTTGGGAAAAATTAGGGCAGGTGCAAAAAATAGGCAGGGAAAGACGTCTACAGGAGCTGGTTCTACGGATTAAACAACTTGAATTGACTATCATTGATTATTGTTAAGTATACACATTTATACAAGGCGACGAAGAACTGAAAATTTAGGTAAAGACTATCTTTTTTGCAATTTTTTATGATTTTTTTTTGTAGATAGATTAGAAAATGTAATAATAATGAATAGGAGAATTGAAAATTAAAGTATTAAAGTTTTGAAAAGCTTCAAGCCAATACGGAAATGAATTTATGGGCAACCTCTCTTAAGTTTCTGGCGTTATACTCACGACCACCGTCCCATATATATCTGTCCATTTCTCTTCTACCAGAGTCGAAATCCAAGGTCTCTAAACTTGGAGTCCGATTTCCTCTTATCAAACGATATCCGATATACAAGACTGCAAAAATGATAAGGGTTCCATAACTTGAGAAAAAATATAGAGTGTCCCATTCATCTTTCATGAATACCGCAAACCCCATTCCTAATAAAAGAATAGTAGATCCTATTAAACCAATATAAGCACAGTAAGGTTGGAAAGGAGACTTATAGGGATATGATTTATCATCTCTACTGATTATATCTGGTCTGAGTTTCATACCATAAAAAAACCTGAGAAATGATAAGCACATTGCAAACCAAACCATGATTCCTGATGATGCAATAAGACTGGTTAAGTTTTGGAAAACAACCGTGGCCTTTTCAGAAACACAGAGAAATGCTAATAGACCAAATGCAGCCGATAATAAAACAGAATTATAAGGTATTCCTGCCCGGTTACAATAAGCCAAACAACGAGGAGCCTTTTTTTGAAGTGCTAAAGAATACATTGTCCTCGACGCAACATAAAGCTGAGAGTTCCCACAAGAAACTGCAAAAAAAGTTAAGAATCCATTGGCGACTGAGCTAAGCTTACAAAGTCCCGACAGTTGTAAAGCAACAGTCCAGGGACTTTGCAGGCCGCTACCAAAACCGGCAAATATAGTTGAATTAGTACTACAATGTTCTCCTCCAACATAATTGACAGCATAATTTGATTCAAAACTTGAAGCTGCAGTCCCAGTGCTCCCCGAATAGAAACGTAGTAGTCTTGGATCACCGGCATAGATATTAAGGGAAACTAAAAATGATGATAAAATATAAAAAATTAATATTCTCCAAAAGACTCTTTTAGTAGCGGATGGTAAAGCAATACGAGGATTTTTAGCTTCACAAGCTGCAATACAGACAATTTCAGTACCACTATATGCAAATGCTACAACCATCATAGCTGCCATTAAAGAAAGGAATCTTCCTTTATCCCCTCCTATACCTATATTTGGATCATTTGTACCGGTATCATTCAAATTAAAACTAGGTCTAAATAGACCAAATATGAGATTATGATCAAAATCCAGCTTCAGGTAGTCCCAATACCTAAAACCCAATACTTGAGTACCATTACCCAAACCACCACGATTTAATACAATCATCAAAATAATCATTAGAAGAGCACATATTAATTTAATTAAGCTTGAAAAGTATTCAATTTCACCAAAGACTCGAACATCAACCAAATTAGCAAATAAAATCAGTAGAAGAAAAAGAGCAACAAATCCAACGGTTGAGCCTTTATTCGTTAAAATTTTGGCATCTGGGAAATAAGTTAATAAAATAACTGAAGCAACCACTTCACCAGCTAACCCAAAAGCAAAACTTAAGAAATACAACCACCCCACAGAAAACCCAAAAGAATCATCAACAAACCTAGAGCTTAACCCACTGACACCATCGACAACCGATACAAAAGTGACCATTTCACAGAAGGATACAATTGTACAAAGAACAATGATTCCACAGATTATATAAGCAAGGGTAGTACCAAACCCCCCAGCTATTGTAATGGCTTTACCTGAATTCAAGTAGAGACCAACACCTAGAGTACCACCAAGAGAAATCATTTGAAGATGGCGAACTTTTAATTTTCTTTGTAAATAATTTGGACCATTAGAGATTTCTTGTTTATGGATTGACGATTCGGGAGAAGCTGAATTTGCAGCTGGTATATTTGATTCAACCACATCTTGATTTTTCTTTTTATACCAATCTTTATTATACCAGGAGGGTTTTTTCAGATTTGATTGAATTTTTTTCGTATTTGAAAAAGGAAGTGGGGTTTTTTCAGCTTCCATATAATTAGCAGCCAATTGGTTTGGGTTAACGATACTCAAGACATTTGAATCATTTTGAGACATAATTTTTTTCTTAATTATTTCATTAATCTCAGTCAGTTTAACATATTTTGTATAATCCTCGAGTTTTGATAAACCAAAGATTGAAGAATGAGAAGATCTTAAAGAAGACTTATCATTTATGGTTTCCATCGGTATATCATTACTGGTTTTCATTTGAGTCAAGATGTTTTGTATTTTAGCCGACTGGTTTTTCTCCTTTTTAAAATTTTGATAAAGAGAAAGAAATTTAAAACGGTCATTTGATTCTGGAGCAGGGGAGTCTAATGATTTACCAACTTTATTAATCACCGATGAGTCAAGAGATATATCCGATACATTAGAAGTGTGTTGACTCAAAGTTCGACTCTCAAGATCATTTTCTGAATCGAAGTTAGTTTGGAAAAGATTTTGACTATTTGATAAATCATATTCAGTTTCATTATTTCTATTGAAAACTTGACCCAAGTTTTCGACCGAGGTTGGATATTGATCATCCTCATCAATATCCAAGTTTGAATCATAGTAAGAACGACGTTTTATTTGAGAGTGTCTTTGAGTTTGGTTTACTCTTGGGAAAAGTGGATTATCCAGAACATCTCCTAATGAAGTAGCATTGGAGTAAACCGAGTTTCTATTGGGTTGATAGTTTGAATACGCCAGTAATCTATTCGAACCATTATATAAGGACACATTTGGATCTTCGTTTAAATTATTATCATTATAGTCATTTGAAGGTATTATTGAACCATTCAGATTTCTCCTTGACCCCAGTTGGGCCATTTTGATTTAGCTTCAACCAGATATAAAACTGCAGCAAACCGTACTTCGTTGAAATTGCAAAAATTAAACCTGGATGAAGCAGTCAGTAAGCAGTCAGTAAGCAGTCAGTAAAAGCAAGTTGTAAGTAAAGCTAATGTTGACTAATCTACCTTATCTTATTTCCTAAATCATTTTCTCGATTAAGTAAACGCCCGTACACCAGAAAACACCAAAATATTCTACTTAATATACCCAACTCCATACAATAAGCAGTTACCCAATACAACTCAACAAAAACCTTTTCAAATGGTTATCATGAACCCACAATAAACACCTAAAAAGTAGAATATGTTGAAAAGCGTCAGAAGCCGGGAAATGTGCAATGGCAACGACACAAGACAAGAACCAAGATGTGAGCAAGCCCATCAGTCTCTGGTCCAAGCATACGTTAGATCCAAAAATAGGGTAAAGTAACAAAAATGATTACATCTTATAAGATGTAGTTTCAGTTGTTACACTGAAAAGAACAGATACTACACATGATCTAAGCCAAAAGGCAAAGAGATTTCATTGGGGTTCAGAAAAAGGGATCTTAGGGGAACAGCCAGTATTTATACTGTGCGCACCGGTGATTTGTGGCCGGGTAACCGCCGCCGCCGTCCTCGGCGATGAGGTCGTGTCGCTACCGACCCAGCGCAGTGACTTCCATAGTGTTCGTTTGTGTAGTGGTAAAGACCCAGCACGCGTTTAGTGTTAAGTTCCATGGAGTTCTGATAACATTGTAGAAAGTTCCAGAGAATTCTTAGAAGCAAACAGAAGTTTATGGGTTTTTCTATGGGTTTCAAAGGGACAGCGATAAGTCTGGTGCCCGCTTCCCCTTTGGGCAGGTACAGTAGTTAGCGGGGCGAGCCGCACGTCGCACTAACATTAAAATTTTTCAAAATGTGAAGGCAGTACCTGCAGATAAGCGGGTTATTAGGAGATGAGCAGTTATACCAGAGATGAAAATTTGAAAAAATTGGTGGGGCAAATAGATTATCAAGGTTAGGTTGTTCAACTAGTTTCTTTATTTAAGTTAGTGAATATCCCTTTAGTATTGGTAATAAATAAAAGGTTTACTATAGATATATAACAGTATTTCTATTATATAAGATTTATTAATTGCACGATATAATGCCATCTTTCAAACCATATAATAATAAAAGATATCAACCAAAGAGTTTCTCTAATAGAGCTCAAGCCCGTTCATATCCTGGTCGTTATGCAAACAACCGTCCTCAAATAATAAGACCTTCTACTACTAGAAGAAGAAAGAACTATACCAAAGGGTATTATCCGCAATCTCGTTCTGGTAATTTGGTTTATGTCGAAGAACCAGAAACTGAATCTGAAGTTGAAGAAAGTTATGAATCTGGTAGTGATGATTCTGAAGTCTCTGAAGAAGAAGCTTACTATGTTCCAGAATCCGATGAAGATGCTTATGAATTTAACTTAAATTATAATGATTCTGATGATGACCACGTTGATTATTTGGTGGATTCTTCTGATGATGGGTTTAATGTCATTGACATGAATGATGAGTTGGAAAATGACGTTGTTGATGCTTTTGATTCCCAAGGTGATGTTATTGACTTAAATGATGAATTGGTTAGATTATACGATTCAGAATCAGACTTCGAAGATTCCGATATTGATATTGACTCAGAATCCGAATTAGATTCAGAATCCGAATCTGAATCCGAATCAGACTCAGACTCAGAATCCGAATCCGAATCAGACTCAGACTCAGACTCAGAATCCGAATCCGAATCAGAAGCTGAAGACATTTTAGATGTCGTCGACTTAAATGACCAATTACAAGCTCAAGCTCTCTACGATGTTTTAAATAGTGTCGATGAAAATGATATTGAAGTCTCCACCGATGATGAATCCCTCACCGACTTGGAAATCGATTACGATAACAAAGAACTCGACGATCAATTAGCATTAGAATCAATCAGACAAGATTTCGATGAAGCATTAAATAGCGAAGATGAAGTTTCATTTTCTGATGCTTCTGATGATTATTTAATTGACACTGATGGTGACGAATTTATTGAACTTGATTCTGATTATGAATCATCCGATGATGAAGATTTAAATCAAAAATTAATCGACGCTGGTGATGCCAATAATTATGATTACTCTGATTACTCATCTGATTCTTCCGATGACGAAGGTGTCACTATCTATAAACATAGATTCGATTTACCAGACTCTTATGAATCTGACAACGATTCTACCGATGAAGAATTAATCTATAACCCAGATGATGATTTATTAAGAGCTCAAGACTCTGATGATGAAGTTGAAATAGTTGACTTATCTAACGATTTAGCTAACTCAAAAGATTGTGAAATTGTTGAAAATGATGATTTTTATAAATTAAATTTGAGATTTCCTTCTTTAATCAAAGATGAGCTAAAAATTGATTTCAAAAAAGCTGAAAATGAATTAGTTATAAATGGTAAATTCGATATCAATCTTGAGGATGATGACGAAGATGAAGATGAAGTTTTTGAAGATGCTGAAGAAGAAGAACCAAAATCCCAAGAAGAACAAGAAGAACAAGAACAAGAACAAAATGACGATATCGAAATTGATAATGAAGAAAAAGCTGAAAATTCTTCAGAATCAGAATCAGATTCCGAATCTGAATCTAGCTCTTCAGAATCATCTGATTCCGAATCTGAATCTAGTTCCTCTGAATCATCCGACTCCGAATCTGAATCATCTGAATCAGACTCCGAATCCTCTGACGATGAAGAAGAAATTGAAGAAGATGCTGATGCATTAATCAAAGATTATGCCAATCATGAAATTAAATTTGAGAAAAAATTTCAATTTGATAAACTTGTCAAGCATGATGAAATCACTGCTTTCTTCTTGGAAAACGGTGAATTAGAATTAATCGTTCCTAAAATTGCTGACTCCACTTTCAATAAAGATGATAATGTTGTCGCTGTCTCCATTAACAATATCGACAAAGATGATGAAACTACCACTGATGAAATTGAACCTGCTAAAGAGTCCAAAGCTTCTCAATCAGAAGATGTTCCAATGGAAAACTAAACACATTTAAGCTATTTCAATTCTTAATTTTCAGTTCTTGCTTGTTTTACAAATTATAAAATACTTCTTTTTTTAATGATGACGAAAAGATAATTTTTCTGGCCACTTCATGGTCTTAACCAAATGAAAAAGGAAAAAAGAAAAAAAAAATTAGAAAATAATAAAATTATTAAAAAGAAGACCAATTGTACATTAGATGATTTTTCATAGACTTTAAAACGTTAAACTACTCAAATTTTTAAAAAAACATATATAATATTTGTATACTACTAATAATAATTATCATTTCGAGTTAAAAAACTGTTCAAGTATGTAATATTTAGTACTCTTTCCGTTAACCTGATTTCAATTAATGCAAAACTATGAAAATAAAAATCAAAGAGTTTTGCACTGACTTTTGATATAAAAAAAATATAAAAAATAAATGGACGAGTTGGGAGTCGAACCCAAGACCTTTCGCATGCTAAGCGAACGCGCTACCAACTACGCCACACGCCCCAATTTATAAAATAATTTATGTTATGAATTGAGGGATGCACAAGTATGAAAAAAGCATCTTGAAAACACGTGAAAAAAAAGACGAGTTTCTCACCCATGTCTATTTAGAGTGCCGTGCAACTTATCTCATTTGGGCTTACTGCCAGTATCCTTCGACACAAAATATCCCTGACAGAACTTGGTCTCTTTTTATAGCCAATGCTTCTCTGGACACCAA